ACCATCGCGCCTGAAATTCATTGGAAGACCCACGCGGGCGCGGCCACATCAGTCAAGCGTCGCAGGCGGGGGTCGACGGCATAGGAGTCTTCTGGCTGCCAGGGGCCCCCCGACTCCCGAGACGCATCAGAGCCCCACTTCCAAGCAGCACTTGCATCGAGATTTCGATCTCATCAACTAGGAAGCGCATGAGGGCGAGGCCCCAGGCGCATCGGTCGAGCGCCACACCGGCGAAGTTCAGGAGACAGCGCCAGCGCGGCTCGCGATAGTAGTGGCGACCAGTCTCCGCATGTCCTCATGGGCCGCGCAGGGTCTCAGCGGGGCGCTCTTTGCGATGATCGCGGTAGGTGGGCGCAATCTGCGGAGCGGGCCACGCGCGAACATTGCAGCGCCCCCGTCCCCGACCCCAGGAAGTACGGGGGTCGGGCGAAAGGGCGCGGTATTGCTAGGGATCAGACCAAAGCGACCCCTGACCAACCGCACTTGGAGATTGTGCCTGAGTTGCCGAGCACGCGCGCGTCGCTGCTGTCGAGGCCCCAGATCTTGCGACGCGGCGCTTATATTCCAGAGGCGAGCGCCACGCACAGCATGTTGAAGGACATTTACCAAGCCGGCCTCGCATCAGAGACCCCAAGCGCCTCGACGCAGGATCAGAGCATCCACCAGGGGGGGGAGACATCGGACCTCGCGAGCCAGATCGACATATCCGATCGATGGATGCTGGGGGCCATCGGCAGGTCTCTCTCCATTTCTCTGCGCCCATGTCAGGCGTGCGCTGCGAGGATGTGGAAGCCCGCCCCAGGTGCCCAGTCGGCACGCCCAGAGCTCCTGACAAACCAGATGAGATAATTTCGGATGAGGCATACTCCTGTCCTGGCGAGATGATTTGGAGCAATGCCGACACTTGGCGTGACTTCTGGGGCAGTCCGGAGCATTCCCAGTCGAAGGTCTTGAAGGGCGCGGGGCGCGTCGCGGGCCGCGCCGGGAACGATGGCGCGGAGGAGCATGCCTCGGTTTCTTCGGATCGTGCTGCGTTTTCCACGAATGCGAAGAATTCCAAGGGAGGGGACACGACGGGCCCTAGAGAAGGCCAGAGACCCCCCGAAGTCGCGCGATCCGAATTCCGCCCCACGCCACGCCAAGAAGTGAGAAGCGCGGCTGCATGCGGCCAACCCAGGCCCCCACGCTGACCGGGGGCGCGCTAGAGCTGCCCCTTTCTCCTGTTAGTAGCGGGCCAAAACCAGGAGCGGAGACCGCGCAATGAGCGGTGGACGCGGACGAGCATACGCGGGCGAGCATCGGGGCGCGGCCACGCGCGGGTCGTCGACTCTTCAGGCAGCACTGGCACGAGCCTCGTTGGACGAGGGCTGCAGACAGCACAAGATGTCATGTTCGACTCTTCTGTTAGACGATGGCCTTGATTTCGCCAAGTTGCGCGCAGCAGGCATCGGCCAAGGATTCCCCTCACTGGCGACGACGAACGAGTTGCAGACGCGCTCGCCCCCACCCCGTCGCCCGCAGGATAGAAGCTGGATGTGCCGGGCGACGTTTTGCGGAGCGCGGCATTTCTGCTGGGTCCCCCAAAGGCGGTCGATGGGCCAAAGCAGCACTTGGGCCTCTGCCATAACGCGCACGCGCGCGATTCGGCATGAGGGCCCTGCTTCTCACGATGCGCAGATATGACGGATGCCGGTTTCAAAGGCAGTGTCAGAACAGTTGTTGTTCGCTCGTCGTCGAAGATTTCGCCGGTTGTCTCCAATGGAACACGCAATCGAGGAGCACCAGCGGTCGCGGCGCAAGACGCGGCCGACTTAGGCATGGACACCTCTGCGGGACGGCGACGCACACGATCGGGAACATCCAGGAAAACGCGGAAAGCCATCCGCGCCGAGGCGAGCAAGCAAATAACGTAATACCCGAGCATAAGGGAGATCTCGACATCGCCATGGGCCACTGGCTCGCGCCCGCAGGCCGCGCCTGTTGGCTGGCCGCCTGGCGCCCCAATCTACGAGATGGCCAACGTTCGCCGACGGTCTCGGCGCGCGGTCGGGGAAGGGCCACGTTGGAACAGAGACCCAGCCAGAAATTACACGGCGCGAACAAATACTCTCGCGGATACAACTGCGGCGCGAACAGCCCGAGGCACATGCTCGAGTGACACTGGCACGGGAGTCTATACATAAGCGCCCTCCGCTAGCAGGTTGTCCAAGATGTAGAGTTGCGCGCGGACCCGTCGCGGCCACGATCTGCACCCTGATGGACATTGGATGGGCGGCGCACTTCCCCATGAGTTGGGAGTCGCCCGTGAGCGCGCGGCCCGTTCCTTGCGCTGCTGATCCAGAACACTCTGTTTGTTTCGCGGCGATGTCCTTGACATGCCAAGTGGCGTTGAAGCTCTGGTCAATGCTAATATGTGGCCCACTGCGTCCAAGAACGAGCGTTCGAAAGCGAGTTTCTGCGTCCAAGAACGAGCTTGCGTCGGACTTGGACAGATGCGCCGACTTGCCCCATGTCTCCCGCGAGATGGCCAGGATGACAAGGGACGACGATGGTGGCCCGCGGGCTTTGAAAGTGGCGGCGACCACGGTGGCGCGGCCGCAGTGGACTCGCGAAGGGCCCTTGTCCGCGGGATCTAAGGTCCTTTTGCAAGATGTGCCGCAAGGCGCCCGAGACGTTATTTCACAGAGCCTGGGATTGCGAGGCCAACGTCGGCCATCCTACTTTCGAGCAGTCCCAGCATCTCATCGAGCAAGCCAGAGTGAATCACGAGAGCGCCCTTGGTTTCTGGCTCCGTGGAGCCCCTGGATCTTTGGAGACGGTCCCCGCTTCTGCTGACGGGCCTCCTGTTCGCTTTTTGTTTGGCAGTGTCGGCTCCATCCGCGGAAGCGCCGACGGTTACGCTACCGCGTTCGGGGAGGGGTCGGGTGGGAAGTTTTCGGACGACCCTCGGCGTCGAGGGTTGGCGCAGTTGCCGTAGAACTTTCCGGCGGCGTCTGGTCTGTGGCCCAGGCCAAGGGGGCCACGCTTGAGGGGCGAAGACAGTCCGTGCCTCGCGCGGAGATATCCGCCCAGGCTCCCGCGATCGAGTGTATCTTTGGCCTTATCAGGTTGGTTGCTGGCCACCTTCCTATCGTCGGCTCGTGGGCCAAAGGTTTGAAATTGGATTTTGGAGGCCCTTTTTGAGGCCTCTGAGGCCAGCGTGAATGATGACCTCTGGTTTCGAATAAGCAGGCGATGTCATCCAGAGAATCGACATGCCATGAGTTGATTGTCGAGGCCTCCTCGGACTCCTACCCAGAGGAGGGAGCGCTCCGCGACGAGGGCTCGAAGTTTCTGGCCTTCGGCCATGAGCGCGCGGACTCGACTGCTGCAGCGAAGTCCGAGCTTGCCTGGACTGGCATTGTTTTGACGGAGCCTCCCACGTAGGATGAACTTCGAGCGTTCCGTGGTCCGTCGGCGTGCGAGGAGAGCCCTGGGAACGTCTATCCAAACCGACCCCTGGACCTCGAAGAAATCAAAAACGGATTCACGCAAATTCCTGTCCCCAAATTGGCGAGGGCGATGCATATGTCTGAGCAGAATTGGGGCACTGCTGATGCTAAGTTGCATGCAGAAAGTGCACCTTCCGTGTTTTCGAATCAGGATTCGATGTTTCAAATGCGCGGGACGCGCTGTGTTGAAGGATCCCCTGGGCCCGAGTTTGCCCCGCCTCGTGGATCCCAGGTGATCGGCGGTAAGGCCCTCCACCCGCTTCATACGTTGCAATAGTAGCGTAAGTTCACCCTCACTTTTTGTAGCACTTGTGGCAGAAGATCACCACCAACCCCCGCCACTTCCTCAAAGCTTGTGAACCCACGCCAACAGGGCGACATAAACTCGCGAGGATTCATTCGAGCAGGTGTCCCCATCCGCCGGGTGCTCCGAAGGCGGCCCGAGAGGCTGACGGCCAACGTTTCCTGAGGTACTTCGATTTTGGTCCCTATTAGGCCCTTGGTCTTTCGGGTTCCCGTTGAATTCATCCTGAATGTTCCTGAATGTTCCTCCTGCGCCTTCCTTCTCATTCCTCCTCCTTCTCCTCCTCCTCCTCCTCCTCCTGCTCCCCCTCCTCGGTGTTCGAACCCCGACTCTTTCGCGGCGCACATCCTGGCGCACCTCATTCCATGCTTCTCTTTGGAGCTGGCTGGGGGTCTGCAGTGGCCCAGCACTCGTTCCGGCCAGCCGGAAGGGGGTGCGAGGTTCGAGACGTTGGGTTCGTTTTTGTTGATTTGTTGTTTCTGCGGTTTGTGGGAGCCGTCGTCTGGCCCCGGAACCGTCGGAAACGGATCGGGGGCGCAAATTTGCACCAGATGGACCCCGGGAGGGGTCCAGAGACCGCCCCCCCTCTTGACAGATGTTCTGGGGTCCCAACTTGTTCCCACCCCCCGGCCGCCTCTAAGCTCCTCCCCTCCCTCCTCGTTCCCGTCTCTGCTTGGCCTTCCGCCCTTGGAAGAGCTACGGCGGCTTGGGGGCACGACACGCCGGCGCTGCCCGAGAAAACGCCTGGCGAGTCCACGTCGCAGTGCGCGGGTGCGGCGCGGCGCGCGGGGACGGCGCGCCATGCGGGCGGCACGTGTCTGGCCCTCTGAAGGCTGGGCACGGCACGGGGGACGGCGCACGCACGCCACGGCGCGCCGCGCGGGCACGGCACGCCACGGCACGCGGGCGGCGCGGCTGCCACGTTTCGGAGCGTGGGTTCGGTCCGGCCCGGCACGCGGGCAGGGCAAGAGGGGCACGCGGGTGCGGCACGTGTTCAGCCTTCCAGAACGCGGGGGTGGACAGACCTCCTACCCTGACACGTCGATTGAGGAATTGGCCGTTTTCGGTTCGCGAGAGGGCGTCGCGGCCGTCACTTTTGCGGGTCCAGGTCCGTCGGTTTCGGTCCCAGGCCGCTTTCACTAAGAGGAGGTTTACTAAAGGGAGGTTTGTCCACCGCCGAAGAGCGCGGGCGGAATGCGGGTGCGGCAGGGCACCGCAGGCGGGCGGCACCTCCTTCGCATGGTCGAGCACAGGGTCACCTGCGTGAGCCAATCCGGGCGCTGCCCAGGATTCGCTGCGCGGGGGGGAAAGAGAGCCGCATCTTCGAATGCCAAAACCAACATTGTAGATTTTCGGAGGTCGGGCCGGATTTCCCGAATCGGCGCTGGCCCCCCCTGGCGGCGCCGAGGTTCCGCCTTTGGCGCGTTCCGGGCACAGGGGAATGGGAGTCCAGCGCCGATCCGAGAAAACCGCACAGACCTCCGACAGTTTCTGTTTCTGTCTTTGCACTTGCCTTCTATCCCTGATCCCGGATCCCTCTCCGCCTCATCCTCCTCAACGTGGCCAGGGGAGGGCGACGAGCCCTGTTCCGGTTTGGCTTCGCTTGGCTCATCTCCATCCACGTATTGGACCTTATTTTGGCAGGCGCGCCGGGCACAGACGAGGGTCCCACGGGATCGACGGTGCCAGGGCATTCGCGGGGAGGGAAGCGGATGGGAGGGAGACGGACAGGGATGCGGGAGATTCATGGATGGAGACGGACTGGGAGGGTGAAGGTGCGGGGGAAGGGTGTCGAGTATCGAGTTAGCGTAAGTCACACGAGGGGCGCATGTCCCGTAAGAGGAGACGACACGACGTCCACAGATTGGGCGGGAAAGAGAGGAGGACGGGGGGGATGGGGATGCAGGACAGGGGGAGGGAGGGGATAGGGGCAGATGCACAGATTGGAAGGAGGCGAAGGGGGAGCGGGAAGAGAGGGGGAGGATAAAAGGAGCTGCGGCAGGGCAGTGGAAGGGGAAGGGGAAAAGAGAAGGTGAGCTGGGGGGCGAAGAGGGAGGGGTGCCGAGCTGGGGGAGGGGGCAGGGCACCTGGCGACCAGGACACGAGGGAGAGTGGGAAAGGGACCGAAGATGGGTGAGGGAGGCAGAGAGAGAGAGAGAAACAAGAAGAGAGAGAGAGGGCGAGGGAGAGGGAGAGGGAGAGAGAGAAAGATAGGAGAGAGAGAGAGAGGGACAAACACACACACACACACGCACACACGCGCACACACAAAACACACACACACACGTACTCTCACACACACACACACACACACACACACACACACACACACACACACGCGCGCGCACGCGCGCAAGCAGACGTGCCCTGACTGGTCAGTCTTGCTCATCTGCTTATTACCAGAAGAGGTAATGTCAATGAGTGTTTCAATGTCTCGTTGCTATCGTTCACCGTGCTTTTTGACATCAGCCCGAGGCCTTCGAGGAATGCCAGTGTGGGAGATGCTCTCATGTTGGCGTTGCATGCTCTCTCTCTCTCTCTCTGTAGTTTTCTCCATGTCCCTCTCTTTGTCTCTCTCTCTCTCTCTCTTTCTCTCTCTCTCTCTCTCTCTCTCTCTCTCTCTATATATATACATATATACGTATCGCTCTCTATCTATCTCTCTCTCCCTCTCTTTATATCTCGCTCGCTTGCTCTCTCTCTCTCTCTCTCTCGCGTTGTGTCTCTCTCTCTCTCTCTCTGTCAGTGTCAGTGTACATCGAAGACGCCTTCGGCGAATCACCGCCGCCCCTGCTTTTTTGGAAGCGCCTATGTGGCCGAACGTTGAGGCCAGACCTGCCAAGCTATCGGATCATGTGTTCCCAGAATCGGTTTGGAAAGCCTTCGGGGAACACATGGGCACCTTGAAGGTCATCTTGGCCGTCTGGAGGCCATTTTGACCCTTTCGGCCCTTCTTGGAGGACGTCCTGGAGGGCTCTTGGGCCGTCTGCAGGCCATCTTGAGCGTTTTGGAGGCCTCTTGGGCCGTCTTGGGGGCCTCTTGGGGCCGTCTTGGGCGATCTTTGGGGGCACTTGGGCCGTCTCGGGCCGTCGGAAGGCCGAAAAAAAACAAATGCCAAAATCTTTCAAAAACTTTAGGGGAATCAATGATTTTGGTCTTCTTGGAGGCCTCTTGGGCCATCTTAGGGCCATGTTCGGCCGTCTTGGTGGGCTCCTGGCCCGTCTGACGCCGGCGAAAGCCGTTTGGGGGTGCTCTCTGGGCCGACTTGGGGCCCTCTTGGATTGCTCCAGGGCCGTCTTGGAGGCCTCTTGGGCCGTCTTGGGGCCGTCTTGAGGGGCCTCTTGGGCCGTCATGGGGCCATCTTGAAGGCCTTTTGGGCGATCTTACGGCGACCTTTGGGGCCTCTTGGGCCGTCTTGGGCTGTCGGAAGGCCGAAAATGCGCAAATGTCAAAATCTTTCAAAAACCTACGGAAAATCAATGATTTTGGCCTCTTCGGGCCTTCCTGGAGGACCTCTTGGAGGCCTCTTGGGCCGCCTTGGAGGCATCTTGGGAGCCTCTCGGGCCGTTTTGGGCCATCTTGAGGCCATCTTAGGCCGTTGTGGGTGCATCTTGGGCCATCTTGGAGGCATCTTGGGGCCATCTTAGCCGTCTTGGAGGCCATCTTGGCCGTCTTGGAGGCCATCTTGGAGCCGTCTGGAACGGGAAAACCCTTTGCAACCACCTCTGGAAGATCTTTCGGCATCCTCCCGGGACCCCGGCGGGACGCGCTGGAGCCCATTGGGAGAGTTCTTTTGGAAAATCGTAAGAAGTTCAGCACGCCAGGCACCCTTGTGATTAATCAACAGGGGGCGGCGGATCGAAGACGCCTACGGCGAATCACCGCCGCCCCCTGCCTTTTTGGAAACGCCGATGTGGCCGAAAGTTGGACTAGAGCTTGGCCAAGCTATCGGACCATGAGTTCCCCGAGTCGGTTTGGAAAGCTTTCGGGGAACACATGGGAGAGAATGATTATGAACAGGAAGAGGAAGAGGAAGAAATAGAGTAGGAGGATGAGGGTTGTTAGGAGTCTCTTGGGGCACCCTTGGGGTCTGTTGGGGGCTTCTTGGGGGCCTCTTCGAGGCCTCTTGGAGGCATCTTGGGGGCCTCCTTGGGCCTCTTGGGGGCCTTTGGGGGCTTCCTGGGGGTCTCTTTGGCCGTCTTAGGGCGTTCCTGGTCCGTCTGACGCCGTCTGGAGCCGTCTTGGGGGCCTCTCTGGGCCGTCTTGGGGCCCTCTTGGGGCGCTTCAGGGCCGTCTTGGAGGCCATGTTGGGCGTCTTGGAGGCCTCTTGGGCCGTCTTGGGGCGCTCTTGGGGCCGTCTTGGGGGGCCCTTGGGCCGTCATAGGGCCTTCTTGGAGGCCTCTTGGGCGATCTTGGGGGCCTCTTGGGCCGTCGGAAGGCCGAAAAGAAGAAAACGCAAAAAACCGTCAAAAACCTAAGGAAAACCAATGAGTTTGGCCTCTTCGGGCTCTCCTGGAGAACGTCTTGGAGGCCTCTTGGGCCATCTTGGAGGCATCTTGGGGCCATCTTGGCCGTCTTGGAGGGCATCTTGGGCCGTCTTGGAGGCATCTTGGAGCCATCTTACCCGTCTTGGAGGCCATCTTGGCCGTCTTGGAGGCATCTTGGAGGCCATCTTGGGCCATCTTGGCCGTCTTGGAGGCCATCTTGGGCCAAGTTGGGGCAACAAAGTCATTGACAGATGGATTTTCGGAAACTTACGGGTGGCCGGCGGGACGGGCCGAAGCCCACTGGGGAGTTCTTTTAGAAAAAGAACCAAAACCAAAACCTGAAACGTCCAGCACGCCGTGCACCCCTGTGGCAAGACCACAGGGGGCGGCGGATCGAAGACGCCTACGGCGAATCACCGCCGCCCCCTGCCTTTGTGGAAGCGCCTATGTGGCCGAACGTTGAGGCCAGACCTGCCAAGCCATCGGACCATGTGTTCCCCGAATCGGTTTGGAAAGCCTTCGGGGAACACGTGGGCGTCTTGATGGTCATCGTCGCCGTCTTGGAGGCCTCTTGGGCGATCTTTCGGCGATCTTTGGGGGCTCTTGGGCCGTCTCGGGCCGTCGGAAGGCCGAAAGAAGGGAAATGCCCAAATCCATCAAAAACCTTGGGAAAATCAGTAATTTTGGCATCTTTTGGCCTTCCTGGAGGCCCTCTTGGGGGCCTCTTGGGCCCTTTTGGGCCAGCTTCGAGCCAACTTCGGCCATCTTGGTGGGTTCCTGGCACGTCTGACGCCGTCGGGAGCCGTTTTGGGGGCCTTTCTGGGCCAACGGGGGACCCTCTTGGGGCGCTCCAGGGCCGTCTTGGAGGCCATCTTGGGCGTCTTGGAGGCCATCTTGGGCGTGTTGGAGGCCTCTTGGGCCCTCTTGGGGCCCTCTAGGGGCCATCTTGGAGGCCACTTGGGCCATCATGGGGCTCTCTTGGGGGCCTCTTGGGCGATCTTGGGGGCTTCTTGGGCCGTCTTGAGCCGTCGGAGAGCCGAAAAGGCGCAAATGCCAAAATCCTTCAAAAACCAAGGGAAAATCAATGATTTTGCCCTCTTCGGACTCTCCTGGAGGACCTCTTGGAGGCCTCTTGGGCCGTCTGGGAGGCCTCTGGGGGGCCTCTTGGGCCGTCTTGGGCCGTCTTGGACTCTCTTGGGCCGTTTTGGAGGCCGTCTTGGACCATCTCGGGCGGACTTGGAGGCCATCTTGGGCCATCTTCGCGATTTTTTGAGGATGTCCCGAGCGAAACGGCCGTTTTTGCGCACGGTGGCGGGTTCTGCCGGAGCCCACTGGGGAGTTCTTTTGGAAAAAGAACCAAAACCAAAACCTAACAGCTCGTCCAGCACGCCGTGCACCCCTGCAAGCAGGGGGCGGCGGATCTAGTGGCCTTCGGTCCATCCCGCCACCGTGTCTAGTTTGTAGGTCAACGGTCTCTTGGATGCTTGTGTGGATCTCTTGGCAGGCCTCTCGGAAGGCTCTAGGCAGCGGTTTGTAAGGTGTCTTGCGGCCTTTAGGGGCTTCCTGGGTCTGATTTGGACCTCTTTGGGGCCTGCTGGGGCGTTGGGTGCCCTTGGGGCCTGGGTGGTCTCCAGGGTTATCTTGGTGCGAACTGCGCGAAATGTCCGTTCTAGTTCCCCCTCTCGAGGGCCGTCCTTGGCCGACTTTAGTGCCTGGGCCCCTCGGAGCCGGTTGGGACGTGCGAGGTCGGAGGACTGTTAGGTATTTGGGCGTTGGCTTCGGCGCCATGGTGGCGGCCTCGAGTCGAGGTGTGTCCTGTGCATTGTAGTGGTTGGTGAGTAGTGCTGGCGCGCTGGCTACGCGAAGCCGTGCTCGCGGATCGGCACGCGCCTTCCGCAACCGCCTTTGCCAGGCGGTGCTGCGGGACCGGCGGGTCGGTGAGACCGTTGTCGACGTGGGGTCTACAGTCGGGGCCCTGAAGAAGGAACCCTTTTCGTTGGGGAGGGGCTCCGCGTTCCTTGAGTGTTTCGCAGCTTGCCTCAGGTTTTCCTTATGTTTTCGATCGGAAATCGAAGTTTAACTTATGGAAAAAAGGGGCCTCGTTCCTTATTTTGGGTTCCTTAGGTCAAGGCCCCGACTGTAGCGGGCCACGAGAGAACAGGTATCAGTCGTGGGTGATGTGGTAGTCTATCGCGGCCGCCCCGCCTGCGCGGCGCGGGCGACGCGCCTGGCCCCTGGCGCGATCTCTCGGGCAAGCGGTGTTCCTCCTCCTCCTCCTCCTCCTCCTCCTCCTCCTCCTCCTCCTCCTCCTCCTCCTCCTCCTCCTCCTTCCCCTCCTCCTCCTCCTTCCCCTCCTCCTCTAGGAATTGCCACGCCGTGGATTTTGAGATTGTCACGCCGTGGATGTAGGAATTGCCACGGGTGGTAGTAGGCCTTGCCACGCCGTGGATGTAGGACTTGCCACGCCGTGGATGTAGGACTTGCCACGCCGTGGATGTAGGCATTGCCACGCCGTTGATGTAGGCATTGCCACGCCGTGGATGTAGGCATTGCCACGCCGTGAATGTAGGAATTACCACGCCGTGGATGTAGGAATTGCCACGCCGTGGATGTAGGCATTGCCACGCCGTGGATGGAGGAAGCTTCGCCGCCCTCCAGGAGAGGGAGCCGCCCTCCACGAGAGGGAGCCGCCCTCCACGAGAGGGAGCCGCCCTCCACGAGAGAGAGCCGCCCTCCACGAGAGGGAGCCGCCCTCCACGAGAGGGAGCCGCCCTCCACGAGAGGGAGCCGCCCTCCACGAGAGAGGGAGCCGCCCTCCACGAGAGGGAGCCGCCCTCCTCCACGAGAGGGAGCCGGAGAGGGAGCCGGCCGGTTTCAACGCAGGCCCTCTCCTCCTCACTTCCCCCACTTGTTTCTATGGCTGTCGGTGGGTGTGCCTTCCACCTTTTCGACCGAGCGTGGGCTGGGGCGAATGCCATTCCCCAGCCACGCCAAGAGAATAGGGAAGTGTTGTGTCCAAGCGTGGACTGGGATGGGATTTTTCTTCCCCTCACTCTCCTCACCTTTAGCCTCGCCGCCCTCCACGAGAGGGAGCCGCCCTCCACGAGAGGGAGCCGCCCTCCACGAGAGGGAGCCGCCCTCCAGGAGAGGGAGCCGCCCTCCAAGAGAGGGAACCGCCCTCCACGAGAGGGAGCCGCCCTCCACGAGAGGGAGCCGCCCTCCAGGAGAGGGAGCCGCCCTCCACGAGAGGGAGCCCGCGTTTTCAACGCAGGCCCTCCCCCCTCTCACCTTCCCCATTGCCCTCTACGAGAGGGAGCCGCCCTCCACGAGAGGGAGCCGCCCTCCAGGAGAGGGAGCCGCCCTCCACGAGAGGGAGCCGCCCTCGATGAGAAGGAACCGCCCTCCACGAGAGGGAGCCGCCCTCCACGAGAGGGAGCCGCCCTCCACGAGAGGGGGCCGCCCTCCACGAGAGCCCTCCACGAGAGGAAGCCCCTCCACGAGAGGGAGCCGAGAGGGCCCACGAGAAGGAGCCGCGAGAGCCGGGAGAGGGAGCCGCCCTCCACGAGAGGGAGCCGCCCTCCACGAGGGGGCCGCCCTCCACGAGGAGAGGGGGGACCCACGAGAGGGAGCCGCCCTCCACGAGAGGGAGCCGCCCTCCACGAGAGGGGGCCGCCCTCCACGAGAGGGAGCCGCCCTCCACGAGAGGGAGCGCCCTCCACGACATCGCAGGCTCTCTCCTCCCTCCCCCACTGCCAGCCCTCCACGAGAGGGAGCCGGCGTTTTTCAATCCAGGGCCTTTCCTCCTCACCCCCCCCACTCTCCCCCCCCCCCTCTCCCTCCTCCCTCTTCCCCTTCCCCTCTCGTCCTCCCCCACACCCGGGGAGGACGATTTCTATGGCTGTCGGTGGGTGTGCTTTCCACCTTTTCCAGTCGTTTGGAGGAGGGCCGAGGGGCCCAGACCCCATCACGTCGTGAACATGTCACGACGGAATGTTTCTATGGCTGTTGGTGGGTGTGCCTTCCACCTTTTCGTCCGAGCGTGGGCTGGGGCGAATGCCATCCCCCAGCCACGCCAAGAGGATAGGGAAGTGTTGTGTCCAAGAGTGGACTGAGGCGAAGGTTTCTCCCCCTGACTGTCGGCAGCCCCCATTACCCCCTTCCCTTCCACTTCTCTCGCCCGCTCCCCCCCTTCCCATATTCTGGCCCGCTCCGCCTCCTTTTCTTGCCGCCCTCCACGAGAGGAAACCGCCCTCCACGAAAGGGAGCCGCCCTCCACGAGAGTGAGCCGCCCTCCACGAGGGGGAGCCGCCCTCCACGAGAGGGAGCCGCCCTCCACGAGAGGGAGCCGCCCTCCATGAGAGGGAGCCGCCCTCCACGAGAGGGAGCCGCCCTCCACGAGAGGGAACCGCCCTCCACGAGAGGGAGCCGCCCTCCACGAGAGGGAGCCGCCCTCCACGAGAGGGAACCGCCTTCCACGAGAAGGAGCCGCCCTCCACGAGAGGGAGTCGCCCTCCACGAAAGGGAGCCGCCCTCCACGAGAGGTTGCACTGAATATGGTACTGAGGATTAGCGCCTTCGGCATCTTAGCTGTCTCCCTGGATATACGCCCCACACATTATTTGCAAGCTGGAATTCTGGCAGAAAGCCGCACTAGGCAGGTAAGGCTAGCGCCGTCCGCACTGGAACTCTGCCAGGACTGTGGGCTACGGCTACGCTGCGCATACCCATCTAGCCTGCGGTCCGTTGTTACGGCTGGCCCGACTCAACAAATAAGGCTGGAGTTCTGGTGGCAAGCAGTACTAGGTAGGCAAGACTAGTGCCGTCCGCACTGGAACTCTGCTAGGATTGTGGGCTACGGCTATGCTGCGCATACCCATCTAGCCTGCGGTCCGTTGTTTCGGCTTGCCCGACTCAACACATAAGCCTTGAGTTCTGGTAGCACGCCGCACTAGGTAGGCAAGAAATTTGGAATTCTGTTAGGGCCCCGGGTTAAGGCCTTCGAATTTGCGTGATTCTAAAAGTTTTTAGAGTCACGCAAATTTTCCAGTCGCCAGAGGGAAGGCGAAGGCGTATGGGGTAAAGTTACCCTGGTCTGGGTGTTGGTTCCTGGGGGCCACACCTCCATCCTTGCGGGTTTCAGGGTTTAGGGGGTGGGGATATCCCTTTAAGCTTGGCACCCCTTGTCCCGGCCTGCCCAGCTCAGGGGTAGTAGCCGGATCCCCTACAGGGCAGGCTCGCCCCTCAACCACGTGGCGGGGTCTTCCGGCGTACCCAGCCATCTCGGGTCGAGGAGCACAACCTGTCATATCATGACAGGCGTCCTTACATCCGTTGCAGCGCGGCTGTATAGGCTGGCGCCTTTCGCACTGGAACTCTGCCCGGATTGTGGGCTACGGCTATGCTTCGCATACCCATCTACCCTGCGGTCCGTTGTTTCGGCTGGTCCGACTCAACAAATAAAGCTGGAGTTATGGCAGAAAGCCGCACTAGGCAGTTAAGGCTAGCGCCGTCCGCACTGGAACTCTGCCAGGACTGTGGGTTACGGCTATGCTACGCATGCCCATCTAGCCTGCGGTCCGTTGTTACGGCTGGCCCGACTCAACAAATAAGGCTGGAGTTCTGGTGGCAAGCAGTACTAGGTAGGCAAGACTAGTGCCGTCCGCACTGGAACTCTGCTAGGATTGTGGGCTACGGCTATGCTGCGCATACCCATCTAGCCTGCGGTCCGTTGTTTCGGCTTGCCCGACCCAACACATAAGCCTTGAGTTCTGGTAGCACGCCGCACGAGGCAGGCAAGATATTCCCAACACTAGGGGGATCCATGTAGGCTGGGCCCAGATTGCTAAAGAGTAGCCACCAACGCAGCGCTCCCGTCCCCACATCCCTTCTCTAACCCAAGCCAGTCCCAACCTTACCGCCGCCCAGCCCCCCAGAGGCCGGACACCATCCTGCCTCCTCGCTCTCCCCCGCCTCGTCTGCCCCCCCATTCCCCTCTCTCATTCCCCCATTCAGCCCCTCAGAGGGGTGGAGATACCTTCTCCGTCCGCCTCATAGGACAGGAGTCCGAAGAGGGGGATGGCGGAGTAAGTGACAAGGGCCCCACGACGACGACAACGACGACGACGGCCAGCATGCGGGCCGTTTCCGCCCCGCGCGAAGAGAGCATCAAGGTTCCCGCCGGCTCCCACTGCCCTCCCCCCCTTGCGCTCTCCTCTCTATCTCCTCCTCCCCCAGCCCAAGCTTGCTTTCGACGTGGGGCTGCTAGCCAGGGCGGGACCTCGCTAGCATCCCCCATAGACAGGCTGCGAGTTGGGCCTCCCCAAGCAATGGGTGTCCCCCATTGGCAGTCCCAAGTGCGGCCAACGGCCCCGAAGGACTGCTCAATGGCGGCCCGCTCGCAGACCTGGCAGTTTGGTCAGTGATCCTCCTCCCCCTCCTCCTCCTCCTCCTCCTCCTCCTCCTCCTCCTCCTCCTCCTCCTCCTCCTCCTCCTCCTCCTCCTCCTCATTCTGGATGTACCCCATCCCCCCATTAGCATTCTCGTGCTGGGTTCCTCGCTTCCCCCGCCCCTCCCTGCTCATCCTGATGCTCTCCATGACCGCCCCTCTCCGCGCTCCCCCCCCCCCCTTTGTCGAGTAGGTGATCGACTACAAAATTGATGTGCCAAAAAATTCATTTCCCCGTCGACTCCACGAAAAATGCTTATAATATTTGTAGAGATGCGAGAATTATACGTCTGTCTGTAGATTCGCCCCAAAAAAATAAATTTGGGGCGAATAGATTATGCAGCCGATCTCTTCTTCGACCATTTGCCAAGTCCACGCGATTCCCTCTCCCGGCCCGCCCCGCCCGGCCGCAGGCGCGCCCAGAGCCGGGGAGGTGCCCGCCATACATGTTTCCGGGCAGCGATGTGCTCTTCCTGGAGGGCCCTCCGCCCCAGGAGCTGGGGCGGGGGGGGGCGCCGGAGAGGGGGGAAGGCGAGGGAGGGGGAGGAGGAGGGGGAGGAGGAGGAGGAGGAGGAGGAGGAGGAGGAGGAGGAGGAGGAGGAGGCGGAGGCGGAGGAGCGAGGAGGAGCGAGGAGGAGCGAGGAGCGAGGAGGAGGAGGAGGGGAGGAGAGAGGGAGGCGCGGCGGGTGGTTCCTGGCATCAACGTGCTCCTCCTGAGAGGGGCATCCGCCTCAGGTGCCTCGGGCGGGCGCCAAAAGATGCGGGGAGGGCAGGGAGGGGAATGGGCGTCAGAGGAGGAGCAGGTGCCGATACCGGTGCTCGTACCGGAGAGCTCTCGTCGCCAAGTAACCCACGGCATGCCGAACAAGTGGGGCCACGAAACCGACCTTTGGGATCCAGAATTCTGCCAAGGGGCTAGCAGACGACCCCACGGGCCAAGAACAAGATGGGCTGACAACCTCTGAGGGGCTACGGCCCCGCCGCCGTCGTCCACAGGAGGCGTTCCCCGCGCGCGCGCGGAGCGGCGTCGGCGCTCACTCGCTCGCCCCCCCCCCCCGCCAGGAGCTGCTGGACAAGAGATGGCTGTGGCGCCTCCTGCTGGTCATACTGGCCGTGACTTTCGTGCTGCGGATCGTGGGGGCCGCCCCGCCCCGCTCTGCCGCGCCTCCGCCCGGCGGGAGACCAGGACAAAGATTCACCAGGACGTTTCGGTATCGCTTAACCGATCCCCATCCCCATCCCGATTCCAACCATCCCACCACCCGAGTTGGGGATATGCCCCTCGAAACCCGAAGGGAACAGCGTACGACAGATCACGAGCCAACTGTGCCAAGTTTGTGCCGCTTGCGCCCCTTTCTGACCTGCATGCATGCAGGTCCTGTGCGCGCCACGCAGACCTGTTTGCATGCAGGTCCGTGCGCCCTCCTGTTCGGTGTCCTCATCCTCATCCTCGCCGTCATCACCGTCCTCATCGTCATCATCCTTACCGCCATCACCGTCATCATCGCCATCAGAATCACCATCATCCTCGTTCGGCGTCGAAGCTACTGCCCCCTCAGCATCATCCTGATCGTCCCCATCGTCAGCAGCTCTTTCTCCCCCAATCTTCATTATGACCCGCACCCGCTGGTGTGCCTTGTGTGTCTCGTCGGTGTGCCTGGTGCATCTGACACAACTGGCACAACAGTTACAACTGGCACAACAGGAGGTCGAGAACGAGGGGGAGGGGGACGAGGAGGACAAGGAGGAGGACGAGGAGTAGAACGACGACGAGGACGAGGAGGGCGGGGAGGAAGAAGACGACGATGAGAAGGACCCGTTCCGCCCTCGGCGTTCTGACCTTGTGCCGCCTTCTCTGTCCTCCTCCTCCGCCTCCTCCTCCTCGTCCTCCTCCTCATCGCCCTCCTCCCTCCTGGCCCAGGAGCACCCCTGTGGGTCCCCACCCCCGTCGCGCAGAGGGGCCCCTGGGCTTTGGGGTTCGAGTGCAGCGTCTCGTTGCCACCGCGGCCTGGCCACTCCCTTGTTCGAACCGGCTCCCAAGGCACTCCAGGGCCCGGGCCCCGGGCCGGTCCCCTCTTTGGACTGGCTCCCAAGGCGCTCCAGCCGAGACAGCAGCATGTTGGAGGCGGGGAGGAGATGGAGGGCAGCAGCAGGAGGGAACCAGAAGGGAACTGGGAGCCGGAGGCGACGGACGCACGGCCAGGGGCCTTGCGCCACCAGTCCCCTCCGTTAGGCGCGCGCGCGCCTGCAGTAGGCAAGGATCGAAGAAAAGGGAGAGGAGAGGAGGAGGTGGAAGAGGAAGAGCCTAGAATCAAGAGGAAGCGCCCGAGGGCTAGCGAAGTCAAGACAGCTCAGCTGCCCTTCGGCGCTGCAGGGCCAGCTGGGCCTGGACCGCGCAGCTCACGACATTGTAGGCCCTCGTGAGCTCTTTGAGCTGCCGGTCGGCTGGCAAGCCCGCACTTGCCGTAGGAGCCATTGTTTGGCCTCACCGCCAAGGCAACCCGGGGTCTCCACCACGAAGGGTGTCAGGCGATGTTCCAGGTACAACCTGACGTGTTTCTGGCGCTCGCCCCTCCTGACAGTCTCGCCGCGCCGTCGCGCGCCGCTGCCGCCGCCACGTCCCCCGCCGCCAGGTTCAGGACCGACACGTCGATCCAGTGCCGCCCAGCCACGTCGTTCTACTCGACGTCAAGGACGGCGCGCACGACCAGGTCCGCGTCTGGCGGGTCCGACGACCCCCCCGTGCGGACCCAGCCCCAAACCGGCACCCGCTGTTCCATCAGCAAATCTCTTGGTGCAGCCAGCGTCAGACCAGGCCGGCCACCCCATTCTCGAGGCTGTCGTGCAGGCGCTCCACCCCGCCGCCCAGCGAGCAGGTGGCCGCGTGCGTGCCTTGCTCGTCCAACGAATGTCCGCAGGGCGTGCCGCGCGCCCCTTCGGCGGCATGGCGGTTCTGGCAGGTCTGCGCGGCCGTCTAGAGCTTTGCCTGCGCGCATTCAGGCCTGGGCATGCGCGCGCGGGCACGAAGCCCCGTGGCCCGGAGTGCGTCCTCCGTCGAGCACGCGGGATTGCCCGGGTAGCCGAGGAATTCTGCGGACCCCAGCCCTCCAGCCCCCAGGGGTGTCGCCCGCTCGTAGCTGCGCAAACGCTGCCGCAGGCCAGCGTGGGTTTTCTTGTGAACAGATTGCACGAGCGTGCCCTGCGTCGCTGGGCACTGCAGGGCTTCCAGCAGGGAAGCGCTTGGCGCGGGGTCCGCGCCCGGGAGGGGGAGCCCCGTCCGCGCGTCGGAGGGGAGGGGCCTCGCCGAGTCGCGGCGCCGCGCCCAGGAGCTCGAGAAGGTCCGCGGCCACGCTGGACACGCGCGCGGCCCAGCCGGCCCAGAAGGCCGCGGCTCGTCGCGCAGTGGCCGACTGCAGCCCCGCGCCAGAGAGCTCGGGAGGGGGGCCAAGAACCCCCGCGTCGCGGCGCCCAGGGGCCGCCTGGCAAGCTCCTCCCAGTAGTGCGCCAGAGTGGCGTCGCAGCGGGCCGCCCCCCCCTCGCCGGCCCGCTGCGCGCGCAGGACGCGCTGGCTCGCAGCGCCCGCGCAGGTGCTCAGCAAGCCCCCAGTCGCTTGCAGTGAGACGCCGCGCTCGCCGACCGTGCGCTTCCCGAGCGGCCGGAGGGCGCCCCAGAGCTGCGCCAAGCGCCTGGCCTCCTGCTCAAGGCACCTGTTCTGGCCCAGCTTGAAGGGGGCGTCGGCCACGTCGCCCCGCGCCCGCGGGCTCGCGTCGAGCACGGGGAGAGCCGGCACGGGGCGCGCGCTCAGTGCTGGGGGCGTGGCCTGCGGCCCTGTCGGAGACCTCGCGCGCTTCCCGGGCGGGGGGCGTTCCGGAGCTGCGTCAAGCGCCCGGCCGCCTGCTCAAAGCCGCCGTTCTGGCCCAGCTCGAAGGGGGCGCCGGCCACGTCGCCCCGCGCCCGCGGGCGCACGTCGAGCGCGGAGAGAGCTGGCAAGGAGTGCGCGCTCAGTGATGGGGGCACGGCCTGCAGCCCTGTCGGAGACCATGCCCGCGTCTTCTCGGCGTTAATCTCCAGCCCGAGAGACTCCAGGAGCTCTCCCAAGCGGCGGGGGGAGTGCCAGGCAGGCGCACCCCAAGTACGGGAAGAGTTTCTCACGCCGCTCTCTGGCCGAGCGCGAATGCAGCTGGCGCCAGACCGCCCCCCTAGTCGAAGCCGAGGGCGGATCTCGACTTCCTCGAAGTTGCCCGCTGCATCCCGCCACAGTTGCTTGGCGGACCCAGCGCGCCACTTGCCAAGCACCCACGCGATCTCCGGCACGTGGGCATCCATGGCCCAGATGATTGGGTCTCGTCGCAAGCGTTGGAAGGCCGCCCCGATGTCCACCTGAATGAACACCGCCCCCAGCGAGCGTCTGACTGGGTCTGCAGCTGCTCGGCGACCAGGTCGGCCCCGCACTTCCGGCCAACTCCGCGCCGGCGAGGGCCCGCCGCCCGGCGGAGTTTTTTTTTTTTTGGGGGGGCCAGCGCGCGCGCCCCCGGCCCCGAGCTGGCCCCCGCGAGCAGCGGGCGGACATCGCCGTTCTCCGCGCCCAAGGCCACCACCTCGCCAACCCGGAGGCTTTGGAGCACGAGCGCCGGCGCCCCCCCGAAAGTAACCGCCTGGGCCAGCAGGGCGAGCGCCTCCTGATCGTCCGCCGTCGTGGCGAGGTGTTCTAGGCGGGCCCCGAGCAAGCTTGGAGCGGTCAGCCGGGGTGGCTTCGTCCTCCTCGGTGCCATGCAGACGCGGCCACCTACCTCGCCCTCCTTCCCCTCTTCCTCCTCCTCCTTCTGGGGCCCAGAGATGCCCCCGACGCCGAAGATGGCGAACACATATTATTCCGCCGTGATTTTCGCTCGAGCCGCCAGGGAGGTTTTGGCCATCCCTGCTCTAACGTCAAAATCAGCGAAATTGCCATCGCCATCGCCGACGCCGTCGTCGAAGCCCCGATGGGCGGAGCAAGGGGGGCCATTCGAGAGAAAAACAGCGAAATCCACGCCTTCGGCTGGCACACTAAGCAGAGTTGGCACAGGGTGATACGCCAAAAACGGAGCTTGCCTAAAGTGGGGTTTTGCCATAAACGGGAGCGTCTAAAAAACTGCACGTGGGCGCTGAACACGTTGCAAACGGGAGCGGTCGAGAAATTGTATCTCAGTGCTAAGCCGCCAAAAGCAGGAGCGCCAAAATCGGGATCTCGGCCCGACGGCAACGGTTGGAAAATGGAATCTCACGGACAAGAAGGCCATCGAGGACTACCTGAAGCGCGTCCGCACCAAGAGCGGCATCAAGCACACGCAGCACCAAGTTCGAGTCTGCCGGGTAGCCAAGGCATTCAACAAGGGGGATTGCAAGCTGGAGCTCGGGCTCGAGGTCCCGGAGAGCATCCGCGAGGCGATCTTCGACTGGACGGCGGCCGCGATGAGGGCCAGCCACAGGGCGCGGCTCTTGGCGGGCCAGGCGCCGCCGGGCCAATAGGAGGACCTCACCCAGCAGCACCCGGACAAGAACGCCGCGAAGAAAAAGGGCGACCGCAAGAGACGGCGCGCCGACCAGACAGGCGCCAGGATTACGGAGAGATCCCGTTTCAGTTCATCAGTGCTTGCCGGGAGGCAGCCGCTGCAGGCGCGCCATCGCCGTTTCTGACATGGGACGAGCTGCGCGGTGGCGCGCCGTTCATAGACCTCGGAGAGATGCCAGATGTCCGGGGCAGCCACGACGGATATTCTGAGCCCTGAGCAGCCATATTCCATTTGTCCTGTTTGCGTCTCGCCGTTTCTTCCCCTCTCTCTGCTTGCTTGCGCGGCTTCCGCAGCCCCCCGCGGGCGGCTGGGCGTCTCGCCTGGCCTCTCCCCACGGAGGGTAGGGGGCTCACGTGCCCTCTCCTGCTGCTTCTCGCCGCTTCTTCCCCTCTCTCTGCTCGCTTGCGCGGCTTCCGCGGCCCCTCGCGGGCGGTGGGGCATCTTGCCTGGCCCCCCCCCATCGAGGGACGGGGGCTCGCGCGTCCTCTCCTGCTGCTCCCCCCTTCTCTCGCCCCTTCAATCGTTGCCCATATTTCATGTGCCAGCATCCATATTTGCATTATCCCAGGAGACCTGCGGCACCACAAAGCAGGTCGCGCGCGGTGTCTGAGTGGAGGCGCGGGGCTGCAGTGCTCTCAGCCCGTCGCAACTTCCCGCCGTCGGACCACGCCGCGCGTTCTTTCCCGGAACCGGGAGTGGAGCGGCCGCGGCGCGGTGCGCGGCGTCTCCGCGCGCTTCGCTGCACAGTGGAACCTTGCGCGCCACGGAGTTAGTGAGTGAGCGAGCAAACGCATTTTCAATTTGATTTTTTGGGAAGCGCCCCCCCCCCCCCCCCCCCCCCCCCCAGGGGGCCCTAGGGGCGCCGCTCAGATCCTCGGGAACCCCTAGCGAATCCGAGGGATCCCATTTAGATTGCGAGGAATCGCAAGGGAATCCGATATCGCTGAGATCCTTCGGATCCCTTCGGGGACCTCGGGGATCCCTTTAGATCCCCTTGTGCATGTGGTGCCAGGGGTGCCCCCCCATGGACCCACGAGCGTTCCTGCCTGCGCAGCGCAAAGGACGTTCGTGGGTGCTCGTGGATGGGGTGCATTGCCGTGGATCCATGAGCAGTTCCTACCTGCGCAGCGCACAGGATGCTCGTAGATGCTCGTGGATGGGGAGCTCCCCCATGGATCCATGAGCGATTCTTACCCGCGCAGTTCAAAGGATGCTCGTGGATGCTCGTGGACGCGGTGCACCCAATGGACCCATGAGCGATTCCCACTTGTGCAACGCACAGGTTGCTCGTGGACGCTCGTGGATGCGGTGTTTTCGGAGGGGCCCATGAGCGATTCCTACAGCGCACATGACGCGCGTGGATGCTCGTGAATGGAGTGTTATCCCAGGGACCCGTGAGCGACACCTAGTTGTGCAGCTCACAGGATGTTCGCGCATGCTCATGGATGGGGCCCGCTCCAAAGGATAATGGACCATGGATTGTTCCTACATGCGCACCGCACAGGATGGTCGCAAATGCTCAGTCTCCCATGGACGCATGAGCGACTCCTTCTTAAGAGTGCAGCGCACGGGATGCCCGCGGATGCTCGTGGATGGGGTGCTCTTCCATGGGTTGATGAGCGATTCTCGCTTGAACAGCACACATGATGTTTGTGGACGCTCGTGGATGGGGCGCTATCCCATGGGCGCAAGAGCGATTCCGACCTGTGCAGCGGACACGATGCTCGTGGGTGTTCGTGGACGGGGTGTTCTCCCATGGGCCCATGATGCCCGCGGATGCTCGTGGACGGTGTGCTCTCCCATGGAGTGATAAACGGTTCCTAACTGGGCAACGCCCGCGGATGGTGTGCCCCCCCATGGACCCACGAGCGATTCTCACTTGTGCATCGCACGGGAGGCTCGTGGATGCTCGTGGGTGGGGTGTTCTACAATGCTCGTGGATGGGGTGCCCTGCGTAGGCCCATGATCTGGTCCTACCTGCGCAGCGCACAGGGTGCGCGTGGATGCTCGTGGGTGGGATGTTCCCACAGGGGCACACTAGCATTTCCTACTTGTGCAGCGGACAGGGTGCTCGTGGACGGGGCGCCCTCCCATGGGCCAGGGAGCGGTTCCGGTGCAGCCACAGGGTACCCGTGGATGCTCGCGGACGGGGTCCCCCCCCGTGGACCCATGAACGAATCTTGTTTGTGCAGCGCACAGGATGTTCGTATATGCTCGTGGATGGGTGCTCCTCCATGGGCTCATGAGCGGTTCTTACCTGTGCTGCGAATAGAGCTCCCGTGGATCCTCGTGGCTGGGGGTGCTCTCCCAGAGACCCACGAGAGGCTCCTACTTGTGCAGCACACAGGATGCTCGTGAATAAGGTTGCTTTCCCATAGAATCACGAGCGGTGCCCAACTGTGCAGCGCACAGGATACTCGCGGATGCTCGCAAGTGGGGTACTCTCCCATGGACTCATGGGCGGCTCTATCCTGTGCAGCGCACAGGACGATCCTGAATGCTCGTGGACGGTGTGCTCCCCGTGGAACCATGAGCGAGTCCTACTTGTGTAGCGCACGGTGTGCTCGTGGATGCTCGTGGATGAGGGTGTTCCCCCATGGGTCCATGAGTGATTCCGACTGGCACAGCGCACAGGATGTTCGTGGATTGGGTGCCTTCCAATGGACCAATGGATGGTTCCTACCTGTGTAACGAACAGGGTGCTCGCGGGTGCTCGTGGATGCGCTGTTCTCCCATGGGCCCGCGCTCGACCCCTACCTGTGCAGCGCACAGGACGCTCGTGGATGCTCGTGGATGGGGTGCTCTCCCATTGGCCCATGAGCTGCTCCTGCCTGTGCAGCGCACAGGGTGCGCCTGGATGCTCGTGGACAGGGTGGTCCCCCACGGACGCATGAGCGAGTCCGACTCGTTCAGGTCACAGGATGCCCGTCTTTGTTCGCGGATGCGGCGCTCTCCCATGGACCGCGCGCGGCTCCTACATGTGCAGCGCACAGGACGCCCGTAGATGGGGCGCTCTCCCATGGGCTCTGAGCGGTTCATATGTGTGCAGCGAACAGGATGCGCGTAGACGTTCGTGGATGGGGCGCCCTCCCAGGGACCCATCAGAGGTTCCTACCTGTGTTGCGCACGCGGTGCGCGTGCATGCTCGTGGTGGGGTGTTCTCCCATGGACACAGTGAGCGATCCCTACGTGTGAAGGTCTTCCTCCCTGGACCAAAGACGCCCAGACGGCTGGTGGCGCTAGTGTTGTTTATCCTCCAGCGCAGAAGGGAAGGAAACATCGCGGGCACCCCGATGGCTTCCTAAGCTGACCGCGACGTTCCCCCCCCCCCTGAAGAGTTGCGGATCGACGCTTGAGTGTGGCATTCTGAGTTCGATACGAGGCACGATCGAAAGGGGCACGGAAAGAAAGGGGACGAAGGCAGACAGCCGTTCTTGTCCAATTTGAGCAGAAATCAATGTCGGTGTCACCGAGGACGGAGTCCGCGTGAGACAGACAAGTCGTTTGTTCAGCAGCGGCCGTTGTCGGAGTTGGGCAACATGTGCTGGTGGGCATGCGAATCAGCGGGTCTCGCGGGGACTGACCCTTGTCGTTGTTGGGGGCGTCGTTCCCCCGAAAGAAACTAACGATTGCAAAGATCAGGACAGGCTGCAGTGGTCTTTTCTCGAGGGACTCGCCCCGTCTAGCACCCAACAGCCCCTGCAGCCAGCCAGCGCAAGCCACTGCCGCTGGCGCCCCACCTGGCGCCCCACCCTGGTTCGACAGGAGCGCCAGCTCTCAGGACTGGGCCGCACAAGGAGGAGGAACAGGAAGAGGACGAGGAGATTGAGGAGAAAGAGTAGGTCGACCAGGCGGCCATCTCTCAAGCGCAGGGACGTCTTGAAATCGGGCCAAGAGGGTGGTTCACAGGAGTCCGATGCCAAGCATTTGCCATCGTTGTTTTCTGTAGTTCGTTGGTTGTTGTGCCAAGTTGCGCATTCTTTGGTTCAGAGGCGGCGCGTTTCAACGCGGACCAGTTGGTTGCTCAGTCGTTCTCGAAGGCATGGCAGTATCGTCCTACCTTCCTCGTCGCCTGTTCTAGTCCCTCCTGCTCCAAGCCAGCCATCATCTTTGTCCTTGTGCCGCGTGCCGCCGAGCCTGCACCTCGGGGGGGAGAGAGGAAAAGGTGAGAGCACGGGGAGGGGAGGGGACGGGCAGAGGAGGGAGGAAAAGGAGCGGAGCAGGGGGGGTCGGGGTCTGGAGGAGATGTGGGGAGCAGAGAAATGGAGCAGGGCAGGGGGAGGAGGAAGAGGCATTGGAGGATGGGGGACAGAGGAATGCAGGTAGAGCCCCCCAGTCACGATCCTTCCTCGTCTTCTTCCCTCCTCCTCCCGTCTCCTCTCCATCGTCTGTCGCACTCCCTCTATCATTTCGACATCCGTGTCATCCTTCCTCCTCTTCGGTATGTTGCTTCCGGTCCTGGTCCTCCGTCGCATCGTCGTTCTCCCTCGTCCTCCCGCTTCCTGCTGCTCCTATGCCATCCTCCGTTCTTTTCCCGCCTCCTTACTCCTGCTCACGCCCCTCCTTCCTCATCGTCCTCCGGCTGGTTCTCGTCATCCTGTTCGCCCTCTTGCCCCCCTCTACCCTGCTCTCTGTCGCTCGCACCGCCAGGGCGATATCGCTGGGGCAGTGCTGAGCGGGCTGATGCTCTGCTTCGGTGTGGTCACCGCCGAGAAGAGGGGAGAGCGTCTCGGAGGAAGGTGGGAGTGCCAGCGAACGAGGAGGAGTGCCAGCGAACGAGGAGAAGGAGGAGAAAGAAGTGGAGGAGGAGGAGGAGGAGGAGGAGGAGGAAGAGGGCTTCGTCACCGTTCAGGATCCGAACGGCCGCCAGAAGCCCGAGTTCTGACCCGGAAGACAAGTTCCCACGCGTCGCATAAAAATCACCCGGGTTTTGAGGGAAGGGGGTCTTGAGTTTGTTCTCAGTTTTCAGGCTCTCGGGGCCCTCGAAAGCCCAGGGACCGTCAGAGGACGATTTCGGGATGGCGAACGCGTCCCAGGGGAAAGCATTTGTGTTCAGGATCCGATTCCTTCAGGACCCTTTCTTTCCCTACCTAGGCTCTGCCTAGAAGGGTTCTTACCCGGTTCGGTTAAAGGGCCGGGCAGTGTAACGCGCCCCGGGCGGTTCCCCCAGTCCCCTGGGAGCCAAGCAAAAGCAACAGCAAAGGTAAAAGCAAACGCGCGGTTCCCCCAGTTGCGCCCCCTGGGTGCCAAGCAAAAGCAAAAGCAAAGGCAAAAGTGAAGGCAAAAGCGAAGGCAAAGCAAAGCAAAAGCATAGCATAGCATAGCGCAGCATAGCATATCGCAGCATAGCATAGCATAGCCTAGCCTAGCCTAGCCTAGCCCAGCATGTCATTGCGCAGCATAGCAGAGCAGAGCAGAGCAGAGCATAGCATAGCATAGCATGTTGCTCCTACTAATGTTGCTTTCCTAGAGGCTCCAACTCCTAGGTAGGGTCGCACTGGGATAATTCATTTCGCTCTATCCGCCCTGGAACAAATCGCCTCGATGTCGTGTGCGTTCACGTGTGGCAATGACGATTGCGCCGAGACCCCCATCGCCAATGCATCTCTGGCCATGGTGATGACAACGAGGACGAAAGCCGCCAGGTCGGCCGTGGTGACAGCAATCAAGATGATGCGTTGACCGCCTGGGATATGCCAAGCGAGTGCCTGGGGTATGCCGAGTTGCTCGTGGCACCACGTCTAGATTGTGCGCTGGACCGTGGTCTCGTCTTGCTTTTGTGAGCTCCTGCTGGAGCATTCCGTTCATCCTGTCCTCATGTCATGGCGGTCTCGTGCCCCGTGGACGCAGGCGGCGAGGCAGCGTGGAGTTGGCAAATGGCACCAGCAGCCGCGCCAGGGTGGCAGGGCGCGTCGCCGTGCCACCTACTCTGTCTGCGGATCCTGCGGCCACTGGGAGTTCGACCACTTCGGCAACTGGGTGTGCAGCCAGTGCGGGGGCGAGTACCTTCCTCCAGGTGGTGTTCCGCATGGTGGTGCCGCTCCTGGCGTTCCTGGTCATGGTGATGCTGACCCCTTCGCTGCCGAGCTCGGCTCTGTCGCGGAGAAGTACCCCCACATGGCGGGCGCCCTCGGCCAGATCCAGGCAACCCCGCCGCCACCCGCTCCCGTCGTTTGTGAGCCTGCGTCGGAGAACCCCATCGAGAAACGCATTCTGGCGAGGCGCAGTGAGCTGTCTCGCGAGGCTGAGCAGTCGAGCCGTCATGAGCGGGTGGCCCAAACCGATGCACAACTGAAACATGAAGCTGTCGTCCGGCATCGTGAGGCGCTCGCGAAGGCGGAGGAGAAGCACAACGAGTCGCAGCGGAGGCATGCTGAAGCGGAGGTTGCGTCAATTGCGGCCAAGTGCAGCTTCGACGAGATCCAGTTCCGTGCTGAGTTGCGTGGACAATAACGTGCTGAAGCAGAGGAGGTTGCAGCTGCGGCGCAGGCGGCGGCAGAGCGGGTTCAGGCGGGTGCGGCGCCTGATCAGCCTATACTTGCCCAGCCTGGTATTCGTGCAGGTCATGGCCGTGATCAAGGACATGGTGTTGCTCCTGATGGTGTTCCTCCAGCCCCTGCTCATGCACCTGGGCTTCCAGTCCCTGGTCTCACGGCTGCGGGTGCGGTGGATTTCGCCTGGGCCGAGTCCAATTAGCACACCCTGGAGATGAGCCCGCGTTTCCAGGGTAAGTCTGCCATTGGCGCCGAGCAGTAGAAGGTGATGCTGGCGTAGGCGAAAGCCCAAGCCAACGGTCGTGATGTTGAGATGGAGGACAACAGCAGTGAGGTTGCTGGCGTGGGCGGCGCTGGTGACCTTGCTGAGCTGCGTGATCGTCGTAAACGTGCTGCTGAGGCTGGACTCAGCGCCCAGGACCCCGAGCGGTACTGCAACCTGGCGCAGTAGGCTTCTGAACCCCGGGCATGCGCGCGCGCCCGCCATGTTTTTGCGCAGCAGTCCCAGTCATTCTCTGCCAGTTGTTGCCAAGCAGCTGCCTCCCAGCTCCAGCCCGCCCTCTGGAGACGGGCTCTCTCCTTCGCCAGTCTGCGCTTGCAGAGCAGTGGCGCGTGCGCACGAAGTGTGAACCATTGCAGCTGGCGTTTGCTACTATCACGTCGTGGCCCACGCTGGCTCAGGGATGCGTGGCTGAATCGATCACCGAGGCTGATGCTACTCTGGCTGCTGAACACCATGTGCGGCATGGTGCTCTTCCGAATACTGAGATGGATGCTCGTGCTTTGGAGTGGCCTCCGCACTTCCAGGCTGCTGTGGAGTATCCTGGAGGCGACCCGCGCGGTGGAGTCGGCAGATTGCCCCCCCTCAAAATGTGCCCGAGTGTTTCGCAGGTTGGGTCTGGAACTGGTTGGCTGATTTGGAGCTCAAGCTACATGATTATTATGTTGCTGCTGGAGTGCGTTAACCTTGTGCCGTCTATCGGCATGGCGGGTGGAAACCTGAATATGACGCGTGACATGTGTCAGTTTTTCGGACTCTGGCGATCCTTTGGTATTACTCCTGAGGTCCGCGGGGAATCTGACTTGTTCGATTGACTAGACCACGCCCGATTGCACCGTCTAACGTTGAGTTCACCTGCGATGAAGATGAGACCATGATCGACTGCCCCGCCTGCTCCCAGGACGTCGCGCATGCTGTCTCTCTGCCGGCGGTCTTGGACGCACCGCTGAAGACGCATGCTTGTCTCAGGGCAGTTATCGACGAGGACGCGATGTCCCTGGCCGTGCTTCGCACGGGCCGAGCGCGCGTCTCCCCCGCCTGCCATGGGCCACGATAATACTTGGCTGCGTTGTCACTATGGGGATTTGCAAGATGATTTGGAGGTCGCGACCCCCGATGATGTCTCGGATGCTTTCTTGGGGCACACCGCCGAGCACCTGTCCCTGGATCTCTCTTGGGCGCGCGCGCGCTGTGGTCTAGGGCCTCTGAGCGCGCTGCCCCGGCCAGGGCGCGCGCGGCCGCTCGTCCTGATCACGCGTCGGGGCGCGGCCTGGGGCCCAAGACGCCCTCAAGTTCGCTCAGGAGAGGTGGATGTCATAAACAGAGTTTCGCGTGCAAGTACCTGTGCATCTGGTCCCCGGTCGATTCCCGACTGCAATGTTTTTTGAAGCGTTTGAGGAGAGCCCCCGATTGCAGGCGCCCCGTTGATCTGCGGGCTCTGCCACGACATCTGTCGGACCAGCCGCGGGTTCACCCGGGGCCTCTCCACGAGCCCGCTGAAGCCCCATGGCGGTCGCGGGCGCTTGCCGGCATCCGATTGCGCGGGCGCGGTCCGCGAGCTCGTCGACACGGCCGCACTCGCTCGCAAGCAGGCCCGGGTCAAGGCTAAAGTGGGGACGGAGGCTGGGGTTCACGAGCGGTTCCGCGCTAGTCTCCCTTCCCTGGATGCGCCCCAAAGCTCCATCAGTTTAAGTCGGATGACGGGGCGGTGGTTCAGCAGTCAAAAGGCTTCGAAGGGGTCGCGCAGCCCCCGCCCAGAAATGACGCAGCATCGCGAGCAGTTCTGGGGAAGTTGGCGGGCCCCCGAGAGTGACCGAGCTGGGCCCCTCCACTGTGCATTCGGGGAGTTGAGCGGCGGCCCAGCCTGCTTACTCTGCAAGCTCCTGAGCCCGAAGTTCGCGATTTTGTTCCAGCTACCGCCACAGGAGTGGATCGATGGGCCCCTCGCGCATGGCCCTCTCTGCCCGGGCACGCGCTCGACGGGGCCCTTCAGATCTTCAAGCGGGTTGGGCAAGAGCCCGCCTTCCCCAGTCGCGCTCGGCCGATATTATGGCGATGCCCCCCAGAAGTGTTTCTGATGAACGTTCGGCGTCTAATTGTTATGCGCGTCATCGCGCGCGCACGCGCGGCGATGTGATTGACGAGTGGAATAGTGCACATGGAGTTGTGGGATGCAGCAGTCATGGTGCATTCTGCCTGTCAGGGTGCTCCATTTAGGACCCTATGTCATTCGGTTTCGAGTCTCTGGCGGCGCATTGGGACGCGAGGCGTTTGTTTCCCGCTGCTTGCGCAGCCCGCTTTGAAGCTGGACCGACCGCCGCAGTTGCTATAGTTATGCCTCGGCGTGCACGCATGCCTTCGCGTCTTGGAAGTGGAGGGCGCTTTGTCTCACGGCATCCCCGCGGGCAATACCATGCTAGCTGGGCGTGCGCAGTCTATGCCGTGGGTCAATTGTACGATGCGTTGCATCGTGCGCATTGGCATGTACCGCGTATGAATGTGTCGTCGTATGTTGATGATGTCGCGCAGTACGCTCAGGGTGCGATTAAGCACGTCGTGTCCGTTGCTCCTGCCGCTGCCCTCTCTTTTATTCAAGGACGCCACTGCCAGTGGATGTCGCGCCTCTGCGGGGAGCGCAGCGATTGCATCCTCGTCTCAGTTGCGGAGGCAGGCCAGCGCCGAGTTCGAGCGCCTTGGGAGCCCTGCCATGGTTCCGGATGCGGCCATGGATCTGGGAGCGATGTCCACGACTGGGGGAAGGAGGCGCGCGCCCAGAGTTCGGTCGCGTAGGAGCACGGCTTTTAGGAGAGCAGAATTCGGTCGCGTAGGAGGACGGCTTGTATGAGAGCTCGTATGCTGCAGCACTTGGCTAAGCTACGTTGGAGGTCTCGCAAGTGACTCAAACATAGCATCTTGAGCACGGGGGCTTGGAGCCATGGCGCGCTTGGATCACCCCCGTGCGAGGCCCAGTCCCTTCGGGCGCCTGCGGCGAAGTGTTCGGGGCATCGGCCCCCCCGCGCCTGTGCGCCTATTGTGACGGGGCGCTGCATAATGGATGGGGGGGGGTCATAAATGGAGAGGGGGGGGGGGGGGGGGGGGGGGGGGGGGGGGGGGGGCGAAGGCGGTCCGAATTGGCACTTGAACGCTGCCCAAACGAGGCCCAATGGGGCTCTGGGGGGGCCCCATGGGGGCACGAAAGGGGGCCGTTTCTGACCCCCCCCCCCTTCCCCCCTCCATTTATGACCCCCCATTAAGCCACGCCCAACTGTCGGCTGTTCGCAATCAATGCGCCGACGACCCCGCGCACCGCTTGCAACGGGAGCAGCTCGGGGCTATTGGGGGGACATGGAAGCAACTCTCTCTTGGGCTGAGATCTGGCGCAGCTCGGACGTGGACCTCGGTCAGGGATAAGTTGATGGGCGCGAAAACCAATCGGCGCTGGGCTCTAGTGGAGGGTCACATTTCTGCTATTGCCGCTGCGCTTTCGGATTTAGGATGAGCGCCTGATTTTCCCACGAGATGGGGGGGCCACTACCACCGGCATGCTCGACCCTGGAGACCGACCTTGTTTTCGAGTTCTTCTTGGACAGATGCGGGGAGCAAATTGTTTCGAGGTTGCCCTGGGGCAAGGCATCGACCCATTACTGTGGAGTTGGCTTGGACGAAAGCGTTGATTTCACGGTGGTTCGACGCACCCGTGGGCAGGTAGTTTCTGAAGGCGCGCAAGGTGCAGCTACGCTTCCGTTGCATCGCGGCGGGGGGGATGCTGGCCCGAAGCACGACTCCGGCAGGCTGGCTACCTTTCATCTGGCGTTTGCCCGCGTTGCGGAGCAGGGCAAGAGACAACGATGCACAGGGCATGGCAATGCCCGTGCAGCGCCGATATCGAGCCCAGTGCCGCGTTGCAGCCGGCCCCTCTCACTCCCGAAGCTCAGGTGGCTGCTCGCACTTGTCCTGACAGTGCTGTCTGGAACCGTGGACTTCCTACCTTGGCTGTCGCCATCAATCACGTTCCTCCGCCGCGCCCCCTCGTCTTCGCCTGGGGCCTCCCGGTTAATGGCGGCCCTGTTGAAGGCGGAGTGCGGGCCTTGATGACTCGGGGGGCAAGTGGGCCAAGGATTGGAGGCTTCGGCGGTGCGGGCGGGCCCTGGTCAAGGTCGGTGGTGATAGTCTTCCTGGGGATTTCAAAGTCGATAGGGGTGTTACGTGGCATTCCCGTCTCCTGAGCAATCCATTCCGCGCGCAGAGATGCACGCATTCGTGCGTTTGCTCGTTCACGCCAAAGGCGACATCGTGGCGCATTCGGACTACCTCCCATTGGTGTGGGCCCTCAGGCGGTCACGAACCTTCGTCGCCCGTGCGTCCCCGATGCTCGATCTGCGCTGAATGGCCTGGGCCCAGATGGATCGGAGATCTGGTCGTGTTGAGTTGATCTGGACGAAGGCCCATGCGAGTGCACCTGCGAGGGATGCCTGGGGCCTGTCTGAGCAAGAACACGTTTCGAATGCCTGTGCTGATTATTTTGCTGGAGTGGCCGCTGCTAAAGTGGAGGTTGAGCCCGAATATGCAAGATTGATTGCCGATGTTGATGTGTTAACTTCCCAAGTTCTGTTGCGGCTGCTCGTCAACAGGGAAGTTGGCCTCACCTGCTCTCGCAATAAAGCCGATCGGGTGGTTAGGCCGCTTCCTCGTCCGAGGGCGCTGCCAACTGCCGTTGTGCGTCGTCTCCGCCTTCGGGGCCTTCGGGTTGCTGGCCACTCGGTGGTCAAGAGTAAGGGATGTGTGCGATGCGAGGTGTGCCAACGGAAGTTCCAAGCCTACAGAGGCAGGACTTCTGATTTTGACCCAGGGCAGTGCGTCGGGAAACAACCTATGCGTGACGGTCCTGAAGCGACCATTGCGCATCCCGCGTACCCCCGTGTGCAGGCCTCTCACTCCTTGGATTGTCTCAGGGGTGTTTTGTTTTGCAGGGCCTGCGGCCGCCATTGTGTTGACGTAGTTCAGTCATTGGCGGAGCCGTGCCCTCCTCCCTGCCCCCCCAAGGCGGGCCGCGAGGTCCTGTCTCGCCTGTCGCGGGGGCTCCCACCGAAGAGTGGGCAATCCTTCCCGCGTGGACGTTGATGAGGAGGTCGGGTCCCTCTTCCATCAAAGAGTGCCCATTTCTGCAAGGTCTGAAGGTCTCCTCGCGCCTCGCTCCTCCTCCCGTTCCATCTCTCCTCCTCACTGGGAAGATCCCCCCTCCTCGCTCATCCGCCTCCTCAGCCTCATCATCCTGCACCCCTCTCCTCTCTTCCCCCTCTGCCGGGGCGCGCCACTGCTGGGTTTTCCCCGCGACATGCCCCGGTGACGCCAGGGGGGCCAGCCGCAAAGTTGCTGCGGAGGCAGGTGCCTGCACCTCTGTCCTCTGTTCCTGCCTTCTCGTGGCCCTTTCCATGACCACCGCCTGGGGGATCGATCGTTGGGGACCTCGGCAGGCGGTGGATATGAATACAGTCGGGCCGGGGGGCGTGGGGGGGGCAAACGCATCCATATCCACCGCCTGCCGCACCTGAAATTCGATCCCATAGGATCGAAGTAATGGTTCAATGGGTCGTTGCGATGCGGCTCGATGCGGAGCCCGGTGCGATCCACGTCGACATCGCCGTTGCATCGGCAGCGCGGCGCGATCCTACGACCCCATCTGCTCAGACCCAACTTGGGCGGCCTCCACTTCCTGGATGGAGGAGGAGGAGGATGTTGACTGCCCATGGAGGGGGGATGGAAAGAAGGAGGAGGAGGTGGAGGAGAAGTACGGTCAGACCGCATCAGAAGGATGACAAGCTTTGCATGGGTACCCTTGCGCCCATGCCTCTCGGCCCTTCCTAGCCTTCAACCGTGGGAGGCGAATTTCCAATTTCGGCTTCAGCTTGTGTGCCTGAAGGCCTTGCATCATCACCGCGCATCCTTGTGATCCAGTCGCGCTGTAGCAGCAGCGCAGTGCTGAACCGGACGCGACCAGCCAGGTCATGATCCGCGACGGCATGCAGGAGATGATGAGGCAGCCTTCGAACGATTTGTGGGGTTGTTGTTTTTGAACGTATGTTGCCACTTCCATCGCTCCAAAAGTTTCCCGCCTTGGGGAGGGGGGCATCGGTGAAGAAAAGGGAAGAGGACATCGAGAGCACCAGGTGAGGGAGTTTGGGAAGGAAGAAGAGGGAAGTTACAGCAACTTGTTCGGCACGTTCACATGTGTTGTGGGCGCGGATGCAGTTGCAGCAGAGTGTTGCCACGAAAACGTCGGCCTTGGTTGCAGGGTGATGCACGGCGCAAGGTCCATCGGATCGAGGAAGAGGATGAACAGGGGCAGGAGCATACGCCGAAGAGACTGGAGGAGGAGAAGGAGGAAGAGGAGGAAGAGCAGGAGAAGGAGGAAGAGGTGGATGTGACAGGTACGCCCTGACATACGGCATCTTGTGCGCGCTGAATTTTGTCCTCGACATCGTGCGAGCTCTTGCTTTCGCGTCCATGTCGTCGATTGATCTCTTGTGCAGATGTGCGGGGTAGGAGAATGATAGGGACTGATAGGGCAGGAGTTTCTGGTAGGAGCTTATGTCGAATGCACGTGCATGCTCCCAGTCAAATATTGCCCTACCACGCACTATCTTCACGAAAAGCGGTTGGAAACATGGGCAGGCCTTAAAGGGGGTGGAAGTATGTACGCAGACGGATGCAAACATGGATGAAAACAGATTGGAAATTGCAAGCTTCTGACCTATCTGGGGATAGGCGACGCAGGAGAGAGGCAGGAGGAGGAAAGTCAAGTTCGCACGCAAGCGACAGGCAAATTCGCGTCTCCCCATCCTCCTCGCCAACGTCCTCTGCCGCATCCCCTCTCTCCTCCACCAGGGGCAACGGTAGGGGGGGATGGGCAAAGTCGACCCCCAATCGCCCATTGATCGCCGACAGGGGCCCGATAGCCCCAACCTGCCCAGGAACAAGCGGATTCACTGTCGGGGACTTATCGCAGATCTATCGGCGATGTATCGCCGATTCAAGGTCGCTGTATCCCCCCCTGTGCCAGTCCCCCCCTAGCGTTGCCCCTCACTCCACCCCCCTCCTCCACCTCCCTCCTCCACCTCCGCCTCCCTCCTCCGCCTCCCCCTCCCCCTCCTCCACCTCCCTCCCGTGGAAGCTCCGGGCGGGACCCGGAGGGTGAAGAGGGGCGTCGGGAGTGTCGGGTGGAGGAGGACGTGGGAAGAGGAGTTTGCGAGATGGGGAGGATCCGGAGGTCGAACGGGGGGGGGGAGGATTGGACGTCGCGTAATGGTGGGGCGATAAATGGGGAAAATGAGGGGGGCAGCGAGGACTGCGAGGGCTGCAAGGAACCGTTTAGGGCCCATAAAAGGCGCTTCAGGTCCAAAAAGGGGCCTTCATGACCCGAAAGTGTACGTTTCGTCCCCCCCCATGTATCGCCCCCCAGCTTGCGAGGCCCATGGAGGAGGAGGAGGAGGAGGAGGAGGAGGAGGAGGAGGAGTAGGAGCAGGAAGGAGACTGTGAGTAGGAGGAGGGTCGAGCAGGAGGAGGAGGAGGAGGAGGAGGAGGAGGAGGAGGAGGATCGAGGCAGCAGGGGCGTTCGGCCGCGGCAGGTGCCGCTGGTCATGGGCCTGAACGGCCGCGTGCGCCGGCACACGGAGCCTGTCGCGGTCGTCAACGACAAGGCCTGTGGGGGTGGGGAGGCGGTAGGAGGAAGGAGGAGGAAGGGTGAGGACGAAGGAGAGGAAAGGATGAGGAGGAGGAGAAGGAGGAGGAAGAGGAGGAAGAGGTACTAGCAGGAGGAGGAGGTAGGATGAGGGAGCTGGAGAAGGCGGAGGATGGAGAAGAGAGTACGTGGGAGTAATAATAAGAGGAGGAGGAGGAGGAGGAGGAGGAGGCCGGAGGAGGAGTGGAGGGAGGAAGGGGATTGAGGAAGAGGAGGATGAGGTTCAGCAACAACCTAAAGGGAAACAGTAAGAGCAGGAGGAGCGGCAGAACTAGCAGCATGAATTGGATGAGTAGCAGCAGAGGTGGTGCGAGGACGAGCAGGAGAGGGATGAGAGAGGGGGTGGTGGAGGAAGAGGGCCGAGGAAGATCAGGATGAGCTGGGGCAGCGGCAGGGTCCGCGCCCGATGTAAGTGTTCCCGCTTCACCGAGCTGTCGTGTGTTGTTCACAGCCTACAATGTCCCCATGTTTCCCGCATGTCCAGCCGCCTTGGGAGGAGGAGGAGGAGGAGGAGGAGGAGGAGGAGGAGAGGACAGGGAGGAAGGAGTCGAGAAAGAAACAACTGCATAAGAATAGATTGTCAGAGGTCCGCGCAGATTTCTTGGGTTGGCGCTGGGCCGCCCTGACAGCACCTCCAGCGCTGCCCCCTGGCACTCTCCGCCGTGGCCCGCAGATAGCCCCGAATGCTACGGGTTGCTGCAAGCCCTGCATTCGCAATCGCACAACGGTGGCAGTTGCAGTGGCCCCAGTTTCCAGGTTGTGTCTCCCGTCGCCGTAGCAGAGGACGTGGAGGGATTGATTAGACAACGAATTCATGATTGGGCTGACGCACAGGAAAGTATTTGCGAAGGCCTTACGGCCGGTGCCGCCGACCCTGAAGGCGGGGGGACCCCCGCTGGGGGCCCCCTCTCCAGGACCCTCCGGGAACCGGGGGGTGTGCGGCATTCTGACCCGGGACCCCCTCCCCCCGTCCCCCACCCCGGCAGAGAAGGGATCAAAGGGAAGGGTTTTCCCTTCGACTTGATTGCGACGCTCCTTTTTCCCAACCCTCCTATGTTGGGTTCTCGTTTTGAATGGAGCACTGTGGTCTCCACTCCTCCTTCCTCTTCCCCCTTATGCCTCCTACCTCCTACACCCTTGTCCTGCTAACGCCGCCTGGCCACCTTCGTGCGGGGCTCTCCCTGTCCCCACTTCCGTAGGCTCCTGGGAGGTCCAGCGGATTGGGTAGTCACGCACACCACGTCGAGACCTCGCGGCTCCCTGCCTGGCTGCGAAGTGCGCAATTGTCGCCACTTTTGTGGGCTCCTGGGAGGTCCAGCGGAGTGAAGTGGTACGCAGACCCAGTTGGGACCTCGCGGCTCCCTAGTGGCTGCGAAGTGCGCGATTGTCGCCACCTTCGTGGGCTCCTGGGAGGTCCAGCGGAGTGGAGTGGTGCGCGGACCCCGTTGGGACCTCGCGGCCCCCTGCGCGGCTGCAAAGTGCGAAAGGGTAGCCACTTTCGTAGGCTCCTGGGAGGTCCAGCGGAGTGGAGTGGTACGCAGACCCAGTTGGGACCTCGCGGCCCCCTGCGCGGCTGCGAAGTGCGCGATTGTCGCCACCTTCGTGGGCTCCTGGAAGGTCCAGCAGAGTGGAGTGGTACGCAGACCCAGTTGGGACCTCGCGGCCCCCTGCGCGGCTGCGAAGTGCGCGATTGTCGCCACTTTCGTGGGCTCCTGGGAGGTCCAGCGGAGTGGAGTGGTACGCAGACCCAGTTGGGACCTCGCGGTCCCCTGCGCGGTTGCGAAGTGCGCGATTGTCGCCACCTTCGTGGGCTCCTGGGAGGTCCAGCGGAGTGGAGTGGTACGCGCACCCAGTTGGGACCTCGCAGCTCCCTGCGCGGCTGCGAAGTGCGCAAATGGCGCCACTGTCGTGGGCTCCTGGGAGGTCCAGCGGAGTGAAGTGGTACGCAGACCCAGTTGGGACCTCGCGGCTCCCTGCGTGGCTGCGAAGTGCACAATTGTCGCCACTTTCGTGGGCTCCTGGGAGGTCCAGCAGTTGGGACCTCGCGGATCCTTGGGGGGCTGCGGAGTGCGCAAGTGTCGTCGCTTTCGTGGGCTCCTGGGAGGTCGCGCGGAGTGGAGTAGTACGCAGACCCAGTTGGGACCTCGCGGCTCCTTGCGTGGCTGCGAAGTGCGCAATTGTCGCCGCTTTTGTGGGCTCTTGGGAGGTCCAACAGAGTGGTCCTCGCGGCTCCCTGCGTGGGTGGCTGCGAAGTGCACAATTGTCGCCATTTTCGTGGGCACCTCGGAGGTCGCGCGGAGTGGAGTTGCGCGATGATCCGATTGGGACGTCGCGGCTCCTTGGGGGGGCTGCGAAGTGCGTTATGTCGCCACGTTCGTAGGGCTTTTGGGAGGTCCAGCGGGTTGGAATTGTACGAGGATCTAGTTGGAACTTCGCGGCTTCCTGCAGCGCTGTATGGTGCGCAACCGTCGCCAAGTTCGCGTGTTCCTAGAAGGTCGCGCGGAGTGGAGTTGCACGGGGATCCAGACCTCGCGGCTCCTTGGGGGCTTGTGAAGTGCGCAAGTGTTGTCATGTGCGTGGGTTCTTGGGAGGTCGCGACGAGAAACGCAAATCACGGGGGGGTCAATGGCGCACGTCGTTGTCCACTCACGCAGCGCTCGGCGCTGTCGCATAGCAGCTCGCAGAGAGCCGCTGCGCCACGCAGTGATTGGCGCTGTTGTTGTTGTCAACGTGGCCTCCCATCCTCAGCTGCCTCTCTCTCGCCATGCCACCCCGCGCTGTTCTGCTATAGAGCGAGCGCATGGCGCTGTTCGCTCGCGCTATGTAGCGCTCGGCGCTGCTGCTGTTACTGAACATGGATGCCCATCCTGCATACACCTGCGTATGGTGTTGCCTCCGTTTCTAAATGGCGTCGTATTGCATGCGTGATTGCGTACGTGTGGGAGCTCGTGCGCATTGCGGGTCAGTATACATGTTTGGTTGCAGTGAGCGGCCTTCTGTATATCTACAAATGCACATCTATGTGTATATATATACATACATATATACATACATACATACATACATACATACATACATACATACATACATACATACATACATACATACATACATACATACATACGTATATATGCACGCATGTGCACGTGTGCGTACGTACGTGCACCTTATATGCGTATATGCATTAACACCAACAAACAAACAAACAAACGAAGAAACAAAGAAACGAACGAACTGATACATATATATATACACACATACATACATACATACATACATACATACATACATACATACATACATACATACATACATGCATACATGCATGCATGCATGCATGCATGCATACATACACACACACACACACCGACAACACTAAATACAAACGTGCATACGTACATATCTACATACATGCACACACAAACATACGCACATATAAACAAGCATGCAACCATATCTACATACATATACACACATGCATACAGTCAACCATGCATACAGATACACAAACATAAAAAACATACATGCATGCATGCATACCTACATGCATGCAGACATGCATGAATGCATACATACATACATCTACCACCCGGCAATTTCCCAATCCTCGCGTTGGGTTCTCGTTTTGAATTGAGCACCGCCCTCTTCCCGCCCCCTCTGCTCCCTTGCTCCTCCTGCGCTGCTCCCTGGGTGGCTGCGAACTGCGCAAGTGTCGCCACTTTCGTGGCCCCTTGGGGGCACGGCGGAGTAGGGGAGCACGCGGACCCAGTCGACCCTGGGTGGTTGCGAACTACGTAACCGTCCGATTTTCATGGGTTTCAAGGAAGCACGGCGGAGTACGGGAGTACGCGGACACAGCCGACATTTCGCAGCTCCCTGGGGGGCTGTGAAATGCGCAATCGTCGTGGGTTCTTGGGAGACACGGCGGAATAGGAGAGTACGCGCATCCAGCCGAGACCTCGCAGTTCCCATGGTGACTGCTGCGCGGCCGCCGCCACTTTGATCGGTTCTTGGGAGGCGCGGTGGAGTCTCGGAGCACGCTGACCAAGCCGGGACACCACAGCTCCCCAGGAAGTTGCGATTTGCGCAATTGTAGCCATTGTCGTGGGTTCTTGAGGGAAGGGGGGGGGAGGGGGGGAATTCGCAACCGTCGACATTTTCGTTGGCTCTTGGGGAAGCACTGCGGAGTAGGGGAGTACGCGGACCTTGCCGAGACTTCGCAGCTTCCTTGGGGGTTTTCTAAATCGCAACGGTCGCCAGTTTCGTGGATTCTTTGGGGGCACGGCAGAGTGGGAGCCCAGCCGAGACCTTGCGTTTCCCTGGGGGGTGCGAACTGCGCAACCGTCGCCACTGTCGTTGGGCCCCGAGAAGCACAGCGGATTACGGAAGTACGCGGATCCAGCCGAGACTTCGCAGCCCCCAATTGCACAACCGTCGCCAGCTTCGTGGGCGCATGGGAGACGAGGTAGGGGAGTACGCGGACCCAGCCGAGACCTCGCAGCTACTTGGGGGACTGCGAACTGTTTCAGCTGTCGGCACATTCATTGGTTCCAGGGAAAGCTCGGCGGGGCGGGGGAGTACGCAGATCCAGCCGAGACCTCGCAGCTCTTATGGGGGGGTGCGAACTGCTCAACCGTCGGCGGAACATGGGGGAGTACGCGGACCCAGCCGAGACGTCGCATCTCTTTGGGGGGCTGTGAAGTGCGCAATCGTCGCCACTTACGTGGGCTCCCGGGAGGCACGGCGGAGCTGGGGAGTACGCGGATCCACCCGAGACCTCGCAGCTCTTTGGGGCGATGCAAACTGTGCAACCGCCGGCAGAATAAGCGAGTACGCGCACCCATCCGAGACGTCGCATCTCCATGGTTGGCTGCGAACTGCGCAACCGTCGCAACTCTTCGTGGGCTCCTTGAAGGCACAGCGGAGTGGGGGAGCACGCGCGCCCAGACGACATTTCGCGGCTCCCTGCGTGGCTGCGAAGTGCGCAACGGTCGCCACTTCCGTGGGCTCCTGGACGGTCAAGCGGGTCGGGGGCCCCACACACACTAAGGCGAGACTTCGTTGTTTTTGGGGGGGGCAGGGGCGAACTGCGCAATTGTCGCCAGTTTCGCGGGCTCATGGGAGGTCCACTGGAATCGGGGCCACGCTAACCCATTTGGGACTTCGCTGCCCCTCAGGCTCCTAGGGGACACGGCGGAGTGGGGGCCCAGCCGAGACCTCGCATCTCCATGGGGGGTTGCGAACTGTGCAACCGTCGCCATTTTCGTGGGTTTCGTGGAGGTCAGACAGAGTCAGGGGCCACGCGCACCCAGACGAGACCTCGCGGCTCCCTGGGAGGCTACGAATTGCGCAAATGTCCCCATTTGCATGTGCTCTTGGGAGGCACGGCTGAGATGAGGGCAGCGTTGATCGCGCATAGCTAGCGATGTGTTCTTCTGTATGGAGCGTTCATACAACGATTCGCCTCGTGTGGAGAAGGGGGTGGGTACGTCTCGGGTCATTTCGCTGTTCCTTAATTTGTTTGGGATTGACGGCGACAGCGTCTTCTACACGCCGAATTGTCGGCGGATTCTGATGATGAAGGGCGTATCTCGTCACTCCGTCACACGGTCCGCCTCTTTCTTGAATCGCCATCTTCTCCACTCTACCAGCTCGCGTGTTTCCAATCCAAGATGGGACCGAAGGTCAATTTAAACACGGCGTCCACCATGTCTAGCACGCGTTGGGGTACGATCTATCGCATTGCCAACGCGACATGATCAAAGTCGTTACCCATTACGGTCTGAAAAAGATGTGCGCAACATTCACGCACCAGATCTGTAAGCAGGAGCTCGGGATCCAAATCGTAGAACACTGATGTTCCGCACATCGAAACAAACGACTGGCCTTTGCTTGGGGAGAGGTGAGGTGGAGGGCGGCGGGAGCAAAGCAGGAAGGACGGAGAAAGCCGCTCATGGATGTCTGCGTTTCTCATGTTTATCCGCCGGCTCCTCGCCTCTCGTCCACCCTTGCCGTGTTGCTGCCGTCTCCTCACATGTTGCTGGTCTCTTGGGGGGGCGAAGGGGTAGGAGGAGCAGGAGGAGGAGAAGGGGGAGGGGGAGGAGGTCGAGAGAGGAGGAGGAGGTCGAGAGAGGAGGGGGAGGAGGAGAAGGAGGAGGAGAAGGAGGAGGACCAGTGCAAACCCAAGACTCATCATTGATGTTGGAATAATCCGTCCCTCTGAACTCCCTCTGCATTGACCCCTACAAGAATTCATGTCCACAGGGAACTGCCTCGTTGGGAGACAACCGTTTGAAAACCCTGAAGCATGCCAAAACACCATTCTCGAGACTCCAACGCCACAAATCAACCTGATTGTTGTGTATTGCGATCCTGAACCGTGCCAGAGCTCTTGCAAAGTTTTAAGACGACTGTACGCGGCGCTGAGGCGATGGCCACATGTTGAGAACCGCCCGCCCTCAATCCGTGAAATTCCGGCAGATGTTGAAAATGAATGTGCGTGGCGCTAAGGCGAGAGCCACATTCGGAAAATGACCTGCCTTCCATGTGTGAGATTGCTGCCCATATGTAAGTCTCAGGGTCATGAGTTGTGAGGAAGTCTCATGCGAAACGCCCAGTCCGCCCGTTCGACCGGCCTCGGAGTGCGGCAGTGAGGAGTTATTGAGGAGGAGGGAGGAGAAGTAAATTGCATTACAGCATCGGCGATGTGTCCTTGTTAGGCAGGCCACCTGTTCAGCAAAGCCTCATCCCAGATCGGGGAAGGAAGAGCCTGACTTTGGATGCAGCCCCCTGCGGAGGCGGGAACTGAGGTGCGCATTCGGCCTTCATGCTTCGAGGTGCGGCAGAGCTACAGTGCCGCCCACAAACCTCACAGCACAAACAACCCCCTCAACGCAGCAAGAGATCATGAGGGTGACACACCTCAGAGAGGGGATGGCCCAGCGGAGCCCCACAAAGCTCAGATGGTCCGAGGTCGTCGGGCACCTCCTCTCCCCGAGCTCCCGAGGCCCTCTCGGGAGCCCTCCGCACGTCTGGTGGGAGGGCTTGAACACTTTGCAGAGCCTGGTTCCCAGGCTTGCAGCAGGAGGGACAAAAAATCGACCAATTAACCTTTCCATGAGAAATTCTGCACACACTGCTTGCAACGGATGGCAGATATCCCCGAGACGGGGGAATGACCAGAATCACGCAACTTGCAAATCCGTTTCGAGGAAGAGGTTGAGCATCCTCCGACGCGCTGGGTCTTTTGGTGGCCTCGCTCGCGCTCCGTCGTAAACAGCACCTCGCGTTGGATGGCCAGCAGCCACCTCAAAGCTTGCGCGCGTGCTCGTCGTGCGGCAAGGCATGAGCATGCTTATCACTGAGCTGCTCTCTGGCGGCAGCCCCATCGGCAAAAAGTCAGCCGTTCTGATGAGATATAGCCCTGCATCTGACAACACCACGTTCCGTCTCTGGGCCTGGGTAGGGTGCCCTCTGGCCCAGATCACGTTAAGCGAGCCCCCCGACCAGTTACCTTTGGATACAGCATGATACTCCAGCCAGAGAACTAACATGCAGGATGTTCGTTGGGCTGTCAGGGATTTGAGGGGCCTTTCACAACCAATAAGCCATCACAATAGACACGGCACTCCCCAATTGTGGCACAGGCAAGTTTGGATGAGGGTAAACCGTTAGGTTGTCACAGCATATTGTCGGGTTGTCGGCAGCGTTCCAAAACGAATTGCATCCGCTTGCCCAGAAGCACCTAAGTGGACAATGGCCCATCCACATCTCCGAAGTCTCCAATCCTTAGTGAGCTCCTCTGACACATCTATGCCCAAGACACCTCCAATAACATTTAGCCCCTGGACGAGCCTCCCCCAGATCCAACACAAGGCCTGCGGGGAAGGGAGATGACCCACGGAGGCCGCCAGGGAGGGAAGGCCACGGGCCCAAAAATGATGCTCCTCAGGCTCAGCTTCAGTTCGATCTGCAAGCACCTGAGTGGGTCGAGAATATCATCATTGCACCTTGATTTCCAGAATCGATGGATTGGGGTCTCAGCTGAGGCATCGCACCGTGTGCACAGACCCCTCGATGAGGAGCAACAGCCAGCCTGCTGCAATCGGTCCTCGGGCCAAAAACCAGCAGATAGAACATTACGTAGCGCGCCAGCAGCCTCATGATCCCCATCTTTCTTTAGTTTGTGCAAAAGGCGCCTTGGAACAGTGAATCATTTCCATGCTCCAATCCCTGTCAGCAGTAGTGTTGAGCAGCCTGCTTCCACGACAGGCTTGAACAAGTCTTCTGCAGAGCGGTCCACATCTCAAAAAGGAAACTTCTGTCGGTCCGTAGCCATTTTGGCTCAAGCAAGTCTGGTCCAAGCGGAGCGATTACCAGCCTCCGGCCGCAGTCCCGGGTGTTGCGCGGCCAGGCCCTGACGGCCAGCGCTCTGCTGGCGGCGGCCGCCACGTTGTTGCTCGGCTGGGGCCCCGCGGGCGCCGTGTTCGCGGAGCCCCGGGCCGTCTCGGCCCGCCCGGCGGCCCAGCCGCGCGCGAGGGTGAAGATGCACGGGTCCTACAACAGGTACACGGTGAGGAACATCCCCGGCGATGGGCGCTACATGACCGACCGGAAGATTGGGGAGGAGGAGCAGGACATCCAAGGGTATTTGATGTTCTCGGACATGGAGAAGTCGGCGTTCGACGGGACTTCGACGGGAACCAAGAGAAAAAGACGATCATCGACAGGTATTGGGGCAAGAGGTTCGTGATCCGGACGGACACGTGGGAGTACGAGCTGTACAGGGACGACCAGGAGGACGACGAGGAGGAGTGGCCAAAGACGGGCCTCTGGTCGAAGGACTTCCGGATGCCGATCAACGGGCCGCATGGGTTCACAGCGCGCGAACAGGAGTTGCTCGGAGAGTACAAAGGGATGGTGAAGAAGTTGTACAAGAAGCACAGCCACGGCTACAAGTACCCGAACGGGAAGGCGGTCTACCTGACCAAGATCCAGCACATCCCGTTCACGACAGCCATCTACGGGGAGACGTACGCCGGGAAGGCCCCGTGGCTGCTGAAGCCCACTGAGGTGACGCTTCGCAAGCGCCAGCTCGAGGCCAACCGGCTCAAGAGGCGCCTCGAGCAAGAGGCCGAGATTCTGCGGGTCAAGCGCCTGCGCGACCTCGGGATCTACGCCGGCGAGCAGGAGTGGAGGCGCCCCTGGCAGCCGCAGGTGGACCTGCTCTCCGGGGAGCTCCTGGAGGACTTGCAGGACGTGTCGCTCACCGAGACGGACGAGGAGTCCGAGGACGAGAGCGAGGACGAGGATGAGTGAGCGCGCCCGAGCGCCTCGGCGCGGCGAGCGCCTCCGAGGGATCCCCGCCGGGGTCCCTCGTCTCACCGTGGGTCCCTCTTCTCGCCGGGGTCCCTCTTCTCACCGTGGAGGTCGAGCCTGAGGGAGTGGGTTGCGGCTGCAAGAGGAGGTGTCCCGGGGCCCCTTCAGAGGAGGGGGGCCCCCATCCATACGCGGCACCGCGCCGCCAGGCGCGAACGACGCCCGAGCCCGCGCCCGCGCGGCTGACGGTTGGAGAGGCGGCGCCTGGACGCGGCGTGCTCCTGCTGCTAAAGAGCGAGGAAGCCGCCGTCGGTGGTTTGCAACGCCGTGTCACCTGCCTTCCGGAGAACGGGGGAGGCAGGGTCCCAGCCCATATCCACCATAGAGCACAGCAAGAGTGACCGCAATGGGTCAAGTTACAGCTTGCCAGCGGTCTTAAACCTTGTAAAGTTGATCTTTGATGTTGCCCCATGTCTCAGCACACATCATGCGCCGTGTGTGGTCAAAAATCCCCCAATACGGCCGCAGAGGCCTGCAACTGCTGAGAGCGAGGGCCAAGGGGTCATCCTTGGCGTCCCTCAACAGACCGAGCGCAGTGGTGGTACAAGCCCCGGGGGACCACCTACCAGAGCACGTGGCCGCTTGGTCCTTCATCGACTGGATCAGACTGGGGGACAGGCCTAGCACCTCGTGGCCCCAAGACCCTACGGCAAGGACAGCAGGCTTGTAGAGTTTACTAGCCCTTCCAACAACTCGGGAGAGATAAGCAACCTTTTTGGTTTTGAAAAAGGCCACCTTCCTTCTCTGTCTCAGCTTAATTCGTGCACCTACGTCTAACCGCCGAAGTGATGACCCCTATGTATCTAGCTTAGGTGGCGCAGGAGATCGACAAGTTGACGCAGGCGAAGCGCTGCACCACTTCCCAGCCAACGCTGGGTGGGGACAAGTAAGAGCGCGCCTGTCGGCAATAGTGGTGCCAGCCTGTTCAAGGTAGCGGCACAGCAAGATGGCGGCGGGCAACATGAACTTCAACAGATCTTGCTCAGCGCCCTGTTGGGTCTGAGTGGTATCACCCACCTGCGATATGACACGGTCTGGCGAAAAACTCGCATGGGCAAGGACGATAATGCCGTACAACTAAGTATCCACAGCATGTATTATCCACAGCCATGTAGGACCCCCGTTCCGTGGAGATCAGGTCAGGGCCCCGTGAATACGGATCTCCAAGTACAGAAGCCGCAAGGGCGCTCCAAACAGCCAGTCCGACAAGGCGACGAGGGTACACAGTGTCAAAAACTTGTTCGAATCCAGATACAACCCTCTGGAATGTATACCGAGGTGCTTAGTAATGCATGGCAAACCTCACGATCCAACAGACACGATGCAAGGTGGGGCGTCTGCAAATTGGTTGCTCAGTCTCTGCCGCCTTTGGCAGAAGCGCAATGAGACCTTGAGGGGGCCCCATCATCCATCAGCCTCTTCTCGCCATGATTAAGCAAACTAGCATGTGAGATCAGCGCCCCGAGAGGGCGACTCACAAGCCGCAAGCGGCATCAAAAGCATCCAAAGCTCAAGACAGCTCCCCCCTCTGGTCCCGCGAGGCCCACCAATTCCCCAGAACTCAAATCTATACTGTATCGTAGTTTCGGGAAGTTCTTAAACGGTGGTGGCAGTGGCAAAGCAGTCTAAACCTTGTCCTTGAACATATTTTTAGCCAAACTTGCACTCGCTCGGGTTCTCGAGGCAGGGCCTTCGACAGCGACATCGCCGTGCCGGCCTGAGACTCCGCTCGAGCTAGTGAGGGTCGCACTGCACGCATCCGATAGTATAGTCAGATCGATCACAATGTGGGGGACGCTTTCTAACTGAGCTTACCACCATTCAGTTGCGCAAACCATTTCCAGGGACACAAAACTCAGCAATCCATGGTGTTGAACTTGGGGTACGCACGTCGATCATCTACAATTTTCGGCACATCAACGGAAGCGCTTGCTCTGGACAAATACATAGTCTCAGTGTCACGACTCCAGATCCAATATTCCTTTCTGCACTGTTGAGCAACGACGCCGGCGTGCGGCAGCAGGGTGTCCAGCAAAAAGGACGGTGCATTTTCGAACTCCGTCCCATCCAGCATGGCAAGATCTTTCCCCACGGTAAACCAGGCCTTGACGGGAAAGAGTCGTGTCCCGATTCGTTTCCACAGTTGTTGTTCGACCGTTGTACAAGCCAGGGAGGCTGCGAGGCAAGCGTGAGTCTGGAATGGGGACGGATCATGCTTCGCCATGTGCATTCAAGACTGCGATATCATGTGATGCTAGCACGTACAGTAGAGGGAAACAATTATTGGACACGCTCCTTCTACCCCAAGTGTTGGCACGCGCGGGGACCCCTGCGGTCGAAGTGCAATTGATTCAACCCACGGCAAAGATGATCATTGGGGCGACATTGATCAGTGGGGATTGGCATGAGCGTTCGCTAATTGATTCCTAGGCTTGTAGTCTATCATCGACCGTCTCCCGTGCGAACAGGTGATGGTCACTACTCCCGTCGGAGCAACAGCACGAGCACGAGACAGTCGTGGGAGCCCGCTCGACAACAAATCTGTGGTCGGCACTTTGAACACTGGTCACCCGTGAGAGTCCTGGGAACAGCCAAAGTGCCAGTTGAGTCTTAAGCTACAAAAAGCATCCAGCATTGCCCCGATCCCAAATTCGAAAGAGAGAGTGGTCCGAAGCTAGAACGCTGGGAGACCACCGCCCCAACGACCCCTAAGGGTACCCCTTCCAGGGGATGGGAAGGCTGGCTGGAAATTGAGGCGCCGCTTCATCTGATGACAGTTTCGCTTAGCACGCTTAACTTCAGCACCTCTCAGGTGGTGCTCACAGGATAGCTAATCTATCACGAATGGGCTTCATCTCCTGGATACAACGCGAGCTTGTTCCAAGAGGAGATGCTACAAAATGATACCGGAGAAAACCCCATCAAAGTCTTTTTAGGGATATTGGACCATAGGGCGATGGGGCTATGGGGCTATAGGGCTATGGAACTACAGGGCCATAGGGCTAAAGGTCTGTAGGGCTGTAGGGCTAGAGGGCCATAGGGCTGTAGGGCTATAGGGCTCTGGGGATATAGGAGTATCGCGTTGTAGGGCCACAGGGCTACGGGGCTATAGGGCTGTAGGGATGTAGGGATATTTGGCTATGGGGCTATAGAGCTATAGGGCTATAGGGCTCTAGGGCTATATGGTTCAAAGGCTATAGGGCTATAGGGATCTAGGGCTATTCAGCTATCCGGCTATTCGGCTATTCGGCTATGGGGTTGTAGGGCTATTGGGTTATTGGGCTATAGAGCTATAGGTCTCTAGGGCGACAGGGCTATAGGGCTATAATGCTGTAAGGCTATAGGGCTATTGGGCTATAGGGCTATTAGGCTATAGAGCTCTGGGGCTATGGGGCTGTAGGGCTGTAGGGCCATAGGGCTGTAAGGCACCTGGGCACCCGGGCACCCGGGCACTTGGGCACCCGGGCACCCAGGCACCCGGGGCACCCGGGCGGGCCGCAGAAATCGTCGACAGATCTCATCTAACCATATGAATCCGCTAGGACCCCTACAGAGGCAAGCTCTGATTGGGGAACAACAGCTCGATGCGATCTGGCACGTGAGACAAGTGGCGCGTGCTGAAGTTTCGGCTTCACTCGTGGCTTGCCCCCACTTGCGGCAGTTGAGGGGGCCGCCGCGGCAGGTGGGCTCCGCCAGGTGCAGCCAGGTGAAATTGATCGAGCATGCGGGCAAAATTGGCATCTACTTGCCCACGAAGTGTTTTGACTCGCCTAGCTGCCTTCTGGGATGCGTGCTTGACCAACAATTGCTTAAACCGATCACGATATTCCTGGTACAAGGCGTTCTCGATGGAATGATGCTTGAGTCCCTCCAGCTCTGGAAATTGCCCGCCACCGATCTCATTTTCAACAACATCAGACATCGCATCAGCCTGCGGTTGAGGATGTCTCTGCATCTGCAGTGCCACCTACCAGAACCCAAACTTCTGTCTATTGGTAGTACCGCACGGCTGCAATGCGGGATCATCTAGGGGCGGGCTGTTGAATTTGACCAGGAAGTTTGGGCAGCAGGTGGTACGCCCGCCGCAGCATCCTCAGCAGGTGCTCCACCAGGCGCTGCAGGCCCTGTGCTGCTGCCGCTGGCGCCTTCATCTCGCGCTGCTCCTCCATGCGCAGCTCGATAAAGGACTGCACAGGCTGGAAGCACTGCTGTGCCTAAAAAGCGGCAGCCGACTCGGCCTGAGTTGTTGCCAAAGCTTGTATTAGTTGAGCATGTAGCGGTTCTGCTCGGGCCAATGTTTCACGATGTTTGATCATCCCAGCCAGTTCGGATTCAATATCACATGCGGCGATTTTCTCCGCCTTAGACGTTCGTTCCATTTCTTTAGATAGTTCAGTTTGTCGAGCTGCTAACCGTTTCCCCAGCTGGTTCCGGGATGCTGGTTCAGGGACGGGGGCATCAGCGACAAGGAATTGTTTGTTGACGGCCTCCAGATTCGCTGTCGTTGCCGAGTGCATCTTGGCCAAGACAGCGGGGAGTTGAACGAGATCCGCGGTGTGCTGGCTAGTTGTCTCGCGTCCGTTATTTGGGTCGCAACATTTGCCTCCACACTTGCTGCACTTCCAGTTGCCGTACCCATCGTACTCCCAGTGGCCGTAAGCAATGCACTCTGAGTAAGAACCGTTAGCGCGACGTTGATGAGCACCACGCCGAGCAGGACCACCACGCAGCTGATGCCAGGAAGCGTTGCACCTCCAAGCCATTGATTCCTCAGCACACTATTCCTTCAGACGTTGTTCCTCCAGGAGCTCACAGACGGATTGAACCGACATGGGCGCATAGGGTGAAGCAAGCATCCCGAGTCTGGGCGGACAGACTCGGGAGAAGATTCATTGTGAACCCGAGACAGATGGACAGCTAGCCTCGGATCCGAGGTATCCGCGGTGCCCGCAGAAGAACAGAGCATTTGGAGCCCAAATGGTTGCGCGAGGAGGAAGGAGCAGGAGCGGAAGGAAGAGGAGCAGAAAGAGGAGGAGGAGAGGAGGACAGTGCAAATCCAAGACTCATCAACGATGTTGGTATAAACCCTCCCTCCGAGCTCTGTTTTCACAGGCCCCTACAAGGGTTCAGATCCACTGAGGGAACTGCCTCGTTAGGAGACAACCGTTCGAAAACCCTGAACCCTGAGGCCCTGTCTGGCCCCTGCCAGGCCCCCCGTCCGGTCTGGCGCCCCGTTCGGACCAGGTCGGGTCAGTGCAGCGCCCACCGCGGGTACCAGTGCATGCGAATGTTTGGCGGTCTAGCGCTTCGAGGGGGGAGGACAGAGGGAGGGAGAAAGGATGAGGTGGAGGAAGAGGTTGAGGAGGAGATTGGTGAGCACGAGGTGGTAAATTCCATTCATTTTCTTGCTCTCCCAAGGTTTAGCGTACTCGGGTGGCAAGAGGCAGCGCCAGAATTGAGCGACACCCCGGCAATCCCAAACTCTCCTTCTCCTACTGTTTCTCTTGTTCGTACGTGTTGGGTTCATATTCGTGTTACCACCGTGCGATCCTCTGGAAAGTCAATCACATGGTCGTCTTGCTATCGCGCTCCCAGTGGGTGCCGATCATATTCGTCGCAAGTGTTGCCGTTGGGGATCATCGAATCAGACCTATCGGTATGTGCAATGATAACTCTTCCTCCTTTCCTCACCCTACATATTGCCGTCTCATTCAACGGATCTGTCTTGGCCCGCGTCGACTCTGAGCGCATTCGTCAGCATAACCAAATGTGGCAAGGAACCGTGCACGATGTATGGCCAGCCAACAGGGAGATCAGGGTGGATTCGTCGAGGGAGGCGGATGAATTTGGGGAACGTCATCCCCGTCTCAGTCCTCCTCGTCCTCCCCTGCTGGTCGCGATGGAGGGTGGCGGCCAAATCGCATCTGCCAGTCCAGGGCGTCCAGCAGATCACGTACACGCTCACGAAGCGGACGACGCCGTTTTTCAGCACGTCGGAGGACCGACCGCGCCAGCGCGGAGGGGGTCAGAGGACGCAGTCGCTGGCCAGGGAGGAGGGGACTGGGCGGGGAGGGTCGGCGGCGCGCCGAGGGCGGAAGCGAGGGGGAGGGCGAGGGCCCTCTCGGAGGGCGTGGGCCCTCTCGGAGGGCGTGCCGGGCTCCGGAGGTGGTTCCAGAGAGCGCCTGGGGAGGCGAGAGGCCCTGTGAGCCTTCCGAGGAGGCCCGCCCCCTCTGCCTCGCCTTCCTCCTCCTCCTCCTCCTCCTCCTCCTCCTCCTCCTCCTCCTCCTCCTCCTCCTCCTCCTCCTCCTCCCCCTCCTCTCGCCGTCCTTCGGGCTGTTCGCCAGCACCGCCTTGTCATCCTTCGACGCGCCTGTCGAGCCTATCCTGTTCTCTGCCAATGTGTAGATATGGAGGAGGGGATTTGGACTGACTTGGATGGTTTTCATGAGCATCTACGTCTTATCATTCTGCAAAGTCTGGAGGACGAGGAGGAGGAGGAGGAGGTCGATATCATGGGCAGTTCTATCCCCCCTAATGCTAAAGACGCGCAGATACGTCGTATCAGCCGTTTGCAGCAAGCATGGGCTCGTGTTCGACGTGTGGCGCCGTTCGCAGGGATTTACAGCGACCTTGCGCGCTCTGACGATTTCGCTTCCTGCCACGGTCAATGAATTATCCGAGCCCGACGCGTGTGCTCGGACATTGGCTGGGTATTGGGGTGGAGTTCACAAAGGAGGGGAGGCGTCTGTTACTGCCGTGTCTGCGTTTCGAGATTTTATTCAGCTCGCGCCGTCGCACATCGAGTGGCAATTCTGCGCCGAGGAGCTTAACGAGAGGCTGGACCGACTTCGGGATTCGGCCCCAGGGGGAGATGGTTTACCTTACAGTTGTTGGAAGGTGGGCGTGGAGGGGAGACGGTTGCTATAACGCTATGGATTGCCGCCTTTTTGAGACGGGTGTATTGCCGCCCGAGTTTAACGAGTGCCTGGCCGCACTCATTCCGAAGGGGGAGAAGGAACGTGATCGAGAGGGAGTATTCCGTCTTCTTGCCAATACTCGCCCCATATCTCTCCCCAATTCGTGCAACAAGATTATTGCGGCGGCCATCGCACTTCCTCTTGCCAGAGTTGCTGTGCAAACTGTTGCCCCGCTGCAAAGGGGATTTGTTCCTGGACGGAACATAGTTGACAATGTTCTCGACCTTGAGGCATTTCTCGAGCATGGCACCACACATGGGGAACGGAGGACAGGAATTTGTTTAGTCCTTGTCAAAGGGGGACTTTTCGGGCATTCTCTTCGGCAAGTTTGCTTCCACGGCCGATCGAAATTCTGCAGTATCAAGGCTCCGAGCCGCACGTGTCTATTTGGAGGACAAGCCAGTCTGGGCAAAGGCGGATGCTCCTCTCGAGGTCCGGGTCCCCCAGTCCGTTCTGTTCGGCGCGAAGAAGCTATTCGTCTCGTGGGGCTTCGAGAAGAAAGCGTTCTGGGTGGACCCGGAAGCGGTCACGATGAAGATGGGGCCCGAAACCGTGATGGAGGCGAGCGTGACGACGGGAACGTTGAACATCAAGTACGGCGACGGCTGGGGGCAGTACCTCATCGCAGACACGGAGTGGCAAGGGCTTCGAAAGACGCATTCAGACAAGCTCCTGCGCGGAGGCACTGGCAAGGGTAGTGGTAAAAGGGGCAAGGGCGGGGGTAAGGCAGGACATCCACCTGCCCCAGCAGCTGCAGGCGGCCGCAGCTAGGGGCAACACCGGTCGAGGGGTACAGGAGACGTTTCACCAGAATTCAATGTTAAGTTTAATTGTAAGTTTAACGTTTACGGAAAAAACGCACGTGTACATACCCTTGATTGGCTAGGGTTTTTGCTGGGGGAGCTTTCGGAACCAAAGTGGGATGTTGTTTGTTTTAGTGAAACCCGTGCAACGTCTGATGATATTGATCTCGACGGGGGCCACCGCTTCATAGCGGCAGCGGGCTCGTCTAGATACGCTGGGGTGGCGATCTGCGTACATGCTCGGCACGCGGGAGGTGTCACAGCCACGCGTTCGCGTTTTGGCCGTGCGCTGGCAGTAGACATGAATACAAATGGCATTGCCTGCACGCTTTTTTCTGTGTACATGCCGCACGCGGGAGACCCGCACGCCGATATACTTGGTTGCTACACGGTTTTTACAACAAGAGGTCGAGTTTGATAGGAGGCGACGCCGAAAAATATGCATTGCAGGTGATTTTAGCAACCAGTTTCACTTTGGAGAGACAGGGCGTCTACTGCAAGCATTCTGTTTCGAAAACGGCCTCGAGGCCGGCAACGTGCAACACGCGCCCGATGCATGGACTTTTCGAACCTCGCTTGGTGCCAGGCGGGTTTTAGGTTACATGTTGTTTGCTGTTTCTTTCCATTGCCATTCTTGCTCACCGAGAGACTGTTTAGATCTGGGCACTGATCACCGTGCGGCGCACGGGACGTTCAATATAGGCCCAAGTTGTAGGCGCCAGAAGAGCCGCCAGCACGATGCAATTAGATGGAAACCTTCGTTCAACGCCGAAGGCCGCGATTTGTCGTATGAGAGCGTTGTGCAGGAATCTCTCTCAATCTAGGCCGTCTTCACTCTTCGCACTGGAGGGCCACGTTGCTGCCGCAGCCAAGCGGGTTGGAGCGCAAAGTGACGCAACTCGTTCGCATGCGAAGCCATGGGATGCACCTGAGTTACGAGAGATGCGTCAACAGCGGCGCGATGCACGTGACCCACAGGAACGGCCCAGATTGTCCAAGCAGATTTTTCGAGAGCACCGGAAACGCACGCGGGGGCATTGCGATGCGCGTGCTGAGTCGCACTCGTTGAAATTTGAGGGCATCAAGCATTTGCCTCGAGCGCACGCCTTCCCTTCGCAGCAGAGCAAGCGCTGCCCATTAGACTGCGACGTTTCTAAGGCTTCGTTCGAGCAGATTTTTGCCACGGACTGCGGCGCTGCCAGGAACAACTGGGCCGAGGCGCACTGCAACAGGGGCTCGCACAACATTCCACCGTTTTGCATGGAGGAGTCGCGGCAAGCTTTTAAGCGCACGAAGCGCGGGAGGTGCGCAGGTAAACGCGGCATCGCTCTCGAAATGTTTGCTTGCGGAGGCGATGCTCTCCTCGGGCACTTTTTGCAAGTTTGAATTCGTTGCTCAGCACAGGATGCGCCGACCCCACCTGTCAGGAAACGCGCTTTGTCATGCCGCCGAAGACGGGGAGCAGAACTGCTGTAAACAAACTGGCGCCCCATAGCCATACTACGCACCACCTATAAGCTATTTGCACGGTTGCTGCTTGCACGCTTGCAGCCTGATCTAGAGAAAGAACACACGCATGACCACGCTTTTGTCGTTCTTGAGGATCTGCCCACGAACGCTTGGGAGTGGCAGCTCCCGCTGTGGATCGCTAGCATTGACCTCGCGAGCGCTTTCGACAGGCTGGAACACCACGCGATTTCCCAAGCATTGTCGGAGCAGGGAGCTCATGCAGAATATGCGCGCCTCTTGTCAGATATGTACAGCGCCCAATGGGGCAGCGTCAACGGAAGTGAAGCATTCGACATTACACGCGGCGTCAAGCAAGGAGACGCGTTGTCCTCATTGCTCTTTAACGCCAGTTTGGAACACGCAACTCGGAGGTTCAAGTTGCGCGCTCGGCAGCGCGGCTTTGACGTTGGAGGCGCCAGCTTGCTCAGCAACATACGTCACGCCGACGATATTTTGATGCATGCGCGCTCTGCAGCAGAGGCTTGCCGCACGCTGGACACCCTTTCGGTAGAATTGTCAGCGCGCGGGTTCTCATTAAATGCAGACAAGACGCGAGCATTTACTGACGGCGTAGCTGTTTCCAATGGCGCAGAACCCGCCGCTCTGCAGCTTGCCGGCTGCCAGTTGCCAGCGATGAAGCCCCAGGTGTTTCACAAATACTTAATAAGAATTTCGGGGGCGACTTGCGCAACAGATCAGAGCGCAATGCGAGCTACCGCGCGGAGCGCGCGCGGGGGAAGGCCCATTCCCAGAAGGCGGTATTTTTAAACCGATATATATATATATATATATATATATATATATATATGCGCCTTCGTCTGAAGTACTTCGACGCGATTGCGGCGCCCGCGGCTGCCCACGGTCTTTCGACGACATCCATGACAGCACAGCAGCGGTCACGAGTTGCATCGACGCGCTCACGAATGCTCCGCCAGATAGTTGGTTTTAGCAAGCTTCCCCACGAAAGTTGGGGGGAAGCGGGGCGACGCGCCATACAGAAAGCAACCGCTGCTTTGAAGATTTTTCCCGCGACGAATCGTTCAACGCGGCGCCTCGCGGCACGACTCGCCACCGGCGACTCGCAAGAATGGCCGGCGCAAGTCCTACGGCGGCGCCCGTCCGGCGTCAGACGCCGAGGGCGGTCGCGTTTAAGATGGACAGATGCTGTCGATTCATTTCTGCGACAAGGGCACGGCGCGAATATATTTAACGCGGCTCGCAGCCAGGAGCCGTTCCCTCGGCAGCGGGTGGAACAGCATTTTCTAGGTTTCATGAAGAGCGAATGATGCATATTATGCGTAATTCAAAAGATGCCCTGTCCACTACTAGTCTCTTGCATGCGCACTTTGTTGCCGTAGTGCCTCACGCCCTCCGGCTCCGCTTGCGGGGCGAGGTGCCTCCATGGGCCCCTCGACCGGACTTGACTCGGTGCGAGTCTCGTTTAAGGGTTGCCGCGATGATTTTTTACAACTGGAGAGAGGAATCCAACAGGGGCGCCCGCTAAGTGGAATCATACTTGCGTTAGATTTTGATCCGATTCTTCGAAAGATGGAAGCGAGCATCCCTGTACCCAGTGCGTTGCGGACATTTGCAGATGATGTGGGGTTGGCCAGCTCCGACCTCTACCAGAGCCTGCCTGCCCCCAGTCTTACGAGTGTGGGTTCCTGCTGCAGGAGCTGCAGGCCTGGTACTTAACCTTTCCAAGAACGAATTATGTTTTTTGTTTCCGCAACCTGATATCCATGGAACGTTTCGGGCTCGTGGGGCACGTACCCGCCGCTTTAAGTTCTGCAACCGAGTCAAAAACCTAGGTGACTGGATTGGGCCTGGTGCTATGGAGGAGTCTTGGCCGTTGGCGGTGATAGCATTGATCGCTACATGCAGTGCCCCATCTTCATTGTTGTTGTCGCTCGCTTGCTCCCCGCCCAGCCTCTTGCCTGGCCGTCTCTGTCTGCTCTCGATCGTCTGTTCATCCGCCGCACGTCCTGGCACACTACTGAACAGCTGTTTGCTTCTGCCGTGGCTTTTGACCTCGCTCTTTCTGTTTTCAGCTCGCAGCGCTCCACTGATCAGTTCAGTCGAGAGAGAGAGAGAGAGCGCGGAGAGGCTGTTCGCAGGAAGGTCCCGCGCCCTCAGCAGGAGGCCGAGGATCCTGCGCAGCCTGTTCGTCTAGGCACCGTGGAGCTTCCTTGATGGGTGGGTCCCTCCTCCTCCTCCTCCTCCTCCTCCTCCTCCTCCTCCTCCTCCTCCTCCTCCTCTTCCTCCTCCTCCTCCTCCTCCTCCTCCTCCTCCTCCTCCTCCTCCTCCTCCTCCTCCTCCCTCCCCCCCCCTTGGGCGCGCCGCCGATGGGGGGTCGAGGTCGGGCAAGGGCGGGGGACGGAGCAAAGGAGCAGGCCGAAGGCGAGGGCGAGGGCGAGGGCAGGGGCGCCGCGGGCGCACCGGCGGGCGAGGAGGGGGCTGCCGACGGAGACGGGGAGGGGGAAGACTCGAAGAGGGAACGCCGGGGGGGGAGGGGAGAGGAAGCGCAAGCAAAGAGTAGGGCGCGTGGACTAGCGAAACGGTTCCGCTTCCGCGCTGAAGCGGCGCGCCCCGTCGCCACATCGGGCGGCATTGACTTCGTGATCTCGGGGGGGGGGGCCTTCCCCGATCCGAGGGTCTGGCGCCCACGCGCCAGATCCAAGGACCCCTGATCCAGGTGAGCGCGCGCCCGAGTGGGAAGATGGGATGGGGGAGAGGGGGCGAGCTTCGAGGAACAAGACGACTACATCAACACAACTTGTCTGAGGTCCGCGCGGATGTCTTGGGTCCGCGTTGGATTCCCCCGGCGGCGCGTCTAGCGCCGATTCAGGAATTACGCGCGGATTTTACCCTGTCGCCCAGAAGCCCCCTTGCATTGCACATGTTTGCGCATCCGTTTCTACGTGTTGATAGATTTTGTAGTGAGTGAGTGATTCACTGTACGAGTCATGTTTGTCGTGCGTTTTTGTTGATAGCGTGTGGGTTATATGAGTTCCCTCGTCGAGGTACGTCCCAGAGCACTGCGGAGGGACTGCCATTGGAACGATATGGAGTTGGCAGCGCGCGTTCTGGCGTTGGGCTAAGAATTGGTCAGACTTCGAGTATCGAATGGGAACTAGTGACGATGTACACAAATTCAGCATCAGGAGAGCATCCAGGTAGGATTAGGAATTTACATTCCCCCCTGGGACGGACGTCTCCCATCTACAGCGCTGTCTGAGGGAAAAGTTTGCCAAATGAACTACTAGGGCCGAGGTCCCGCAACAGTGCAAGAAGGACCACCAAAAGTGGGCAAATGAGCGTACAGCAATGCTCTGGGTGTTGGCAAGGATTTCGACTGGCTAGGCGCTATAGGTGGCGCCCGTCTGGTCGTGACGATGCCGTTCCGAGTGGCTCGGGCCATCTTCTGTAAGATCATTTTTCTTCGTTCTTCTCCACCTTCTCTTGCTACGGCCAGTTGGGCCCAAGGCTGTCGGCAACATGCTGCGGGTGTTATTCCGTCTGGCGTCTGGCGGATGCGAAATACATATCGTAATCATCCACAGTCTGTTGCACGAACGCATTTCAGCAGTTGAAGGCAGGCTCAAGAGTGGCGCCGGCGAAAAGTAAGAAAACCATGTGGCTTGCGCAAGCCAAGATAAACGAACAACCAAGCGACCTGTGAGGCACATGCAAGCTAATGAAGAGGAAATGGGCCAAAGGATTGGTGTCAGGGTGGTATTTCGATTGGTTTGCCGCAGCAGTAGTAGCAACATGAATCGAAACGGCGGGTAGAGGTTCGCAGGTTGCGTGCGCTTCGGAGGGACATGCAAGATCACTAGCTTCATGCGAGTTAAGGCAATCGAAGAACGGGCGTGGGCGTATCCTTGGTCCTGGAGGAATCGGGGCAGTGTCGTTTTTGTCACGCGCATTCGGCCAGAATGGACTGATGATGGAAAGCGCGCATTTCAGTGTCTCGGCGCCTCCAGGGTCGTCATAGTGTTGTTTCTGGCAGCCCCGGGCGTTTCAAAAGGGGGCTCAGAGGAACTCTTGAGCTTTTGCGTAGACCCATTTAGATTATATGTTGTTTTTGTGTCCGCCTTGGTCCCATCCTGGAGCGTGATGCGGGGCCTCTTGCAGCGTCTCAAGGCTGGCCATCCAGGGCGGTTTCGGGGCCACTTCAGACCGTCTCGACGGGGGGTCGAAGGGCCATCGAAAGTCACACGGAAGCAAGACTGGGTAACAGACACAATCACCGAACATGGATTCGATTGTTCTAGTTCTCCCATCAGTCTTGCCCACAGGACTCCTTGCGCGATCTGAAATAGTCGTGGTATTGGTCTCTTGCGACGGCCAGCAAGTGAAAGCCATGTTGATGGTATATCCGTAGCGGCGGACAAGCCAGCAGTTAAGTATGTTGATGATTGCCTCGTGGCGCATGGCTATGTTGATGCTTATGTTCATGTTCATGTTCTGCTTCACTCTTCTGAATATCAGGTTCCCTCTGATGCCTCTTCCTCCTCCTCGTCCTCCTCCACCTACGTACCCCGCTCACCAGCCCCTGGTACACTGCCGCACCTGCTTCGCCATGCCTCTCGCGTTCTGAGTATACGTGTCCAACATGTTCGTGGCGTCAGCTGTTTTGACGTGTACAGGTGCGTTCGATGGTATCTGATCCCTGCGATTATGTCACGATTTGCCATCTTGTCTGCCTGCCCCGCAGGGCATCATTTATAACGCGCAGAGCTTGGCCATGCTGCTCTCGCCGATCTGTATGCTCCTGGGTGGCAGCCTGCGCCGTCTCCGCACCCCTGCAGAGTGGGGCGCACGACGATCAGTGACGGCATCAGAACAGCAGTGATGATGAGGATTCGACACAGTCCGGGGAGGGACGAGGCTTGATGTATCGTTGCGCGCGTGGGCAGGAGCATTGGCATGTCGAGCGTGGCGAGCTCTAGACAGTCCGGCAGGGCCGGGCTCTCGAGCGTGGATGAGAAAAGCATTCGGACGTGGATGGGGAGGGCGAGAAGGGGTGCCACGGGGTGCAGCCACGGAAAAGTGCTCCGCTCTATTCGGGCTCGAGCAACTTCCTCGCTCGAGCAGCTTCGGTGGCGCGCACGACCCGCGTGCGGGGTGCAGCCTTCGCGCGCACACGGTAAATGTTATCGCTCTTGTAGGGCGTGTTCACTCATTATGGTTTTGCATTTCTTTCTCGGTCACTTGCCCTCCTGATTGACCTACTCCTTCTGTCCTCCAATCCCCTTCCCCGCCCTGGATCCCGTCAGGCAGGCCGCCCTGGGCAAACCAGCTCTGGGCCAGCGAGATCGGTCTCCCAAGTTGGTTCGTGCTCTCGCCCTGGCTGGGGTCTGTCGTCCCGGAGTCTTCCGACGTCGCTGTGTTTCACAGCGCGAACCTTTGCAGTCACTACCCACCAGACCACCCCAAGCCAACCCGAAGGCCCCTAGAGTTGCCTTCCATTCCCAGTGGGTATCCGGGAACATTGAATAAACACAGTTGGGACCCGTATTCCTCCCCCCAATCCGAAATTTGGGACGTCGGGTTGCGTTGGGTTGGTCCGGTAGGTAGTCATGCAGGTCTATATGTTTTCCCGATGAATTGGTTTCTCATCCCGAGTCGTTTCTTGACGGTCCTGGGGCACAGTGAGTGTCCCCAGAGCCGAAAACGACGACAGCAGTTCCGTCGAGACTTCTGTCATCTGACGACGCGAGATTCTGAGGGAAGTGGCTCAAAGGAGGAGGTGGAGAAGGACCCCACCCGTCCCCATCGCTTCCCGTTACCGCCTCCCGCTCGCCCTATCCCGTCCCTTTATGCCCCCACCCGTCCCCTCGCCTTCCGTCCTCCGTTTGTCACCTGCCCTTTTTTCCCCGTGCGAAGAATCGAATCGGCAGAAACATAAATTGTCGGAGCCCCGCGTGGACTTCTTGAGTCAGCGTTGGGGTCCCTTGGCGGCTCCGCGCGCCAGGTAGAGGATCCAGCGCCAATCCCACTAATTCACGCGGTCTTCGGGAGATTCGTTATGAAAATATGGTTCATGTGTCTTCTAGCTCTCCCGGTTGGTCCCGCCCTCTCTGCCTTGGTCCACCCCTTCGCTTCTGCGATGCCCGCCTTCTCGGGTCAGACAATGGGGGGGGCACTGGGAAAGGGAAGGGTGGCGGGGGGGAAATCTTCTGCATGCAGAGCTGGTTTTTCATCTCAGCCGCCAGGCCCTTTCCTCGACACACTGGCGCCAGGAGCACCAGGAATTTCAGTTGCGTGAGCTGATTCGACCCGACCCTTCCTCCCGCATCGCCTCTCTTTTCCTCTCTTTCCGTGTCCTTTCTTCCGTTGCCTTTTTTGTTGGGCCGCCGCGGGGGATACCCCAAGGTGGTGCCGTCACTGTCAGGCGCCGTATCACGCAGGCCCAAGCGTGTGCATTGCCGGCGTCTCGCTGTCCGCGGGCGTGGAGATGGGGCGAGTCTCCCCTTTTTTTGTCACCACTCCCCGGTTTTGTTTTCCAGTCGGGGTCTTCACAGACCGCGCCAGGGGGGAGGGTGGTTTCCCCATCCCCGCTTCTCATGCGGCCCCTCCCGCCACAAGCGGTGAGCGCGGCGGGGGCAAGCGCCCCACACGCCTGGGCGGCACTCCGCGCGAACTGTTACGATCTTTCCTTCTCTTGTCCGTGCCCCTCCCTCGCCGGACTTTTTCTCCGTCGATCCCGCTCCTCCCTCTCACTCTTCCCCCCCAGGCTGCCCCCGAATCTCCCCACCCCCCCTCCCCGCCCAGTCATTTCCTCCCCCTGCCCCCCTCCACAGCCTCGCCATCCTCTCCGCTCCCTCCCGTCCCATCCACCAGCTGCGCCCTGGCGCGCGGAGTGCAGCAGGGGCGGCGCCGCAGTCGCCGCCAGGAGGGTGCAGCGCCGATATCCGAGGAATCCGCGCGCAGCTTCGAAGCCTCATGATCATGCAGTTGGTGTTCGTCGTCGAACCGTTCCCCTCGCCCCTCCCCCACCAGGGCCGCCAACGAGTCGATGCGATTCGATCTGCTGGCCTGGGCCACGATTCCGATTCGATTCGGTTCGGCTCATTGGCAACGGCCGGGGCCAACCGGAGCCGGGCGCGTCGATCCGATTTGGATTCGATTCGGGGCGGCGATTCGTTGGCAATCCCATCCGTTTCCGCCCCGATCCGATTTCGCGATCCGATTTGGGCGCTTGCCCACCCCCTCGCCCTCGCCCGCATTTTCTTTCCCCCCCACTGCAGGTGCTTGCCTTTCGATGAGCGCCCACCTGGCGTACCAGCGCAGCGCCCCGCGGTTCGACGCGGAGCGCGCGGGGGGGGTATGGATGGACACGAAGGGGCGACGAGAGGGCGTCCTTCTCCTCCTTCCTCCTCCCTCACCTTATTCCTTTTCCTCCTTTTCCTCCTCCTCCTCCTCCTCCTCCTCCTCCTCCTCCTCCTCCTCCTCCTCCTGCTCCTCCTCCCCCTCCCCCTCCTTATCGTTGTTCCTCCTCCCCCCCCCCCCGCAGAGCCCGCGCGCGCGCCCCACGGACCGCGGGGCGCGCCCCGCTGCGCGGCGGGCCACGGGTGGCGCTGGGGAGCAGCCTGCCCGTGTGGCGCGGGCCATCGCACCCTCGTCCGCAGGCGCCCACCGCCGCCGTGCCCTTACGAGCAATCATCGTCCCAGGCGACGGGGAGGGGGGAGGGGGGGAAGGGTGGAAGCGTCAGGAAGGAAACGGGAAGGGAGGCGTCGCCGTGGGCTGCTGCAGGGGGGGGGAAGTGCAACCGGTTACGTCGTAGGTCACTACTTCCCCCTCGGTTGACTAGGTAGTTCTCAGAGAACCTAGACTTTCAGGGGGGGCAGGTAGTTCGTCTCGTCCGCACGAACCTCCCGCAGTTCCACAACCACGTCGTCGTAGCTACGCTGGCCCCCCCAGTTCGGATTATCGTCTAAATGTGGGCCTTGCCCCTGGGGTATCGAAGAACACTGCTTGCTGAGCAGGAACGCAAGGGACAAGGAGAGTAATTGTGAGGAGTCCAGCACCGTTTACCCCAGGGCTGGCCAGGAAGTCTACGACTTCCTGCGGACGGCGGCCCGGGCTACAGCAGAAACACTTTCAATCTTCGGGCCACCCGTCCAGCGGATCTTGAGGGTGTGACTGCCGAGCTCCAGCATGGTGCAATCGAAGTACGCCTTGCCGCACTTGCATTCGTCCGTGTCTCCTACGGCGATCGGTCTCTTTGGGGTCACGAGCCGGCCAGTTTTGGGATTCTGCCATTCCTTCGCAGCAACGAATCTTAGCCTGTCCACCAATTGTTCGCTCAGCGCCTCCTTGGCACTCGTGAAGGTGATGCGAGAGAGGGCTCCGCCAGCGATGTCCTTAATCTCCTGCCATAACCTGCACTGCTTCGTTGTGGACCCGCTCCAGGGGGAAGTCCGAGGATGTCTTCAGGGATCATGCTGGACGTGACCCAGTAGATCCACGCTGGAATGTCCCGGTCTACATCTGCGGTGTTTTCCTGTAGGTGTTCGGCATGGTCCCGGTCCCCAGCAGTTGCCGGAAGATCAGCGTTTTTTTGTAGGTCATCTCCTGCCAGCATTTGGTCACCCCGTATTTGAGTGCGAGCAGCATCTTCCCATATGTCGGCGTCTCCAGGAGAATGATGAACGCCTTTCTGGCGCGCAGGGCCCCCGCGTACATCTTCGAGACAGTCGGCGCCTCTATGTGATTCGCCGCTGTCGTCTACACCAATATGTGCACTCCATGTTTGCGCAGCCTCTCCAAGCTGGTCTCCAGTTCGCACGTCCTGGTTGTGCATGTGGCACAATGTGTGCAGCACATCCTCCTGCTGGACGCCAAGATAGGCGCTCGATCGCGTTCTGCCTGTCATGCCAGCCCTCGTACGTCTGGAAGCCGGACCTGTCCTCCGCGTCTAAGCCCGCATCCTCGACGTCGCCCTGGCCGCACACGTGGTCGGGCGGGTAGTCCGGAGGAGGTGTAATGATGCCGTAGAAGGGGATGGGCAGGAATTGTCTTTCGGGCTCCAGCTCGGTGGTCTGATGCACTGTCGGCGCCTTCATGGGGTAAGGTTTCGAGGTGGGTCCAACCGTGGCGAGAGGCGCGGTGTTCTCGGCGACATAGCCCGAAGGGCTAGGTGGGAGGGACCGCCAAGGGGGTCCCGGGGGGGATACCTATCTTTTTTGTTTTTTGGCCGAAGGCCGGGTCCTCTCCGAGACTGAGCGCCCGTAGGGGCTCGGTCCTGTGTCCGTCCAGGCGGCCGGGCGCGTCGAGCTGGAAGGAGTCGTAGCCGTAGATGTCCTCGTTCTCGCTCTCCTCCCCGGCTTTCCTGATGGGTACCTGTTTGGAACGCACCTCAGGCTCCAGTGTCGCGCTCCCTGTCCAGCTGGTACGCATGGCATCGTCCTCGGCCAGGGGCTCCCAGGCGAAGGGGAGGATAACCGAAGGTGTAGTGGACTCCCATGATTGAGCTGGCCCGATCTGCGACTCCAAGTGGCAACACGAGTAGCTGGGCTGGCGCGGTACGAAATCATCAGCCTCTTCTCTCATGGGTGTCAGCGCAGCCGCCTCCTCGACAATGTACGGCACGAGTGCGGGGGCGGGCTGGCGGGACGAGGAGGTCGCCCGGAGCTCCTGCTGGCAGTTAGTACAGGCAGTCATGGCATGGTGCAGCATGGCGACGACGTCTCTGTGCGCGAGCCGCCGCACGGCCGGCTCGGCCGCAGCCAGGCGTCGGCGCGCTCGCGGCACGGCGGGCCGCGGAGGCGCCGAGGGCGGCGGCCTCCTGCGCCCGCAGAGAGCATCGGGGCCGCCCGAATGGTGGGCAGCACCCTGTCTTCGGCGCGGGCTCCGGGCCCTCAGTGGCCCGGTGCCTCGCCTGGGCGCTGCCTGGCCGGGAGGGGGAGGCGCGCCCCGACCCGGGTTCTTGAGCCAAAATGGTTGCGGACCTTCCTCCTCCTACTCCTCCTTCTCCTCCTCTGGCTCCCGCTGCGATGTCACCCCCGCCCCGGGAGGACTTGCAGGGGCAGTTGCCTGCGGGCTTGAGCCACTTGCCCCAGCAGATCGCGGAGGCCCAGCAGGCTTGGGGTGGACAAAGGGGAGGAGAAGAGGCAGGGAGGGGAGGAGTCGAGAGAAAGGAGGGGGTGGGAAGCAGGGACGGGGGAAGACGGAGGAAGGAAGGATGAGGAGAGAAGATGTATGGATGCCGGCAGAAGTGGAGCGGGTAGAAGACCCAAACATGTGAGAGAGCGTGATCCACCGCCGCTTTACTGTGGAGAATTGCCGCCCTTTTCCTCCGGAACCCGGGGGTCCCCCCCCCCTCCCGAAAATCCCCCCCCCCCTGCTGGAACCCCTCCCCCCCCCCCTTCCCCCGGCGGCAAAACCCCCCTCCCTAACCCCCCCCCCCCCCCCCCTCGACTCGAAAACCGAGGGGGGTCACTACCGGTTCGAACCCCCCCCCCCCCCTCCCCCCCCCCCTCGAAAACCGGAGGAGGGGGGGGGTACCGGTTCGAACCCCTCCCCACCTCCCCTCTCACCTCCAGCAAACGACTCCCGGTCCCTACCACCGTCCTCACCACATCCCCCACTGTTGTTCCCAGCGCCACTGTCCTCACCACCACTGTCCCCACTGGTTCCACCACCGCCCCTACTGTCCCCACCAGTGCCACCACCACTGTCGCACTGTCCCCCACTGTCCCCACCACTGTTCCCACCACGGTTCCACTCTCCCAACTTTCTCCACGACTATCCCCACTGTCCCCACTGTCCCACTGACTCCTCCGCTGTCCCACTGAGCTGTCCCACTGTTCCCACCACTGTCCCCACTGTCCCCACCACTGTCCCCACTGTACCTCTGTCCCATTTTCCCACCGCCGTCCTCGCCACCGCCTTCACCACTGTCCCCACCACCACTGTACCCTCCACTGTCCCACTGTTTCCACCACATTCCCACTGTCCCCACCACCACCGTCCCCACCACTGTCCCCACTGTTCCCACCATTGTCCTCCCCATTGTCCCCACCACTACCGTCCCCACCACTGTCCCACTGTCCCCACCACTGTCCCGTTGTCCCCTCACCACTGTCCCCACCACCACCGTCCCCACCACTATCCGCACCACCCCTCGGTTTTCGAGGGGGGGGGGGGTTCGAACCGGTAGTGACCCCCCCCGGTTTTCGAGTTCGAGGGGAGAGCGGGGGGGGGGAGGGGTTCGAACAGGTAGTGACCCCCCCCCTCTTTTCATGATGAGCTGGGGGGGGGGGAGGGGTTCGAACCGGTAGTGACCCCCCCCGGTTTTCCAGAGGGGGGGGGGGAGGGGTTCGAACCGGTAGTGACCCCCCCCGGTTTTCCGCCAGCAGCGGTAGAACACGCTCTTTCAAGCATGTAAACACCAATTTTCGGAGGTCCGCGCAGAATCTGGGATCGGTGCTGGGCCCACCTGGCGGCGCCTCCAGCGCCGCCCCAGGCGCGCCCCGCCCGCTAGGGAAAGGGGGTCCAGCGCCGACCCAAGAATTCCGCGCAGACTTCTGAACGTCTACACTAATTGCGACTTGTCGTCTTCCGTTGAAAGGTATGAGCGGTGGGGAAAGAATTGGAGAAGATGTGAATAGAGCGCATGGAGAAAGGAAAGGACGGCCGCCGAACTGCTTGTTTCCTCATGTATCTTCCCACGGGCATCCCAGATTTCGCCTGCGGGCCTTCCTCTGGTACCCTTCCCAAGCCCTGCCGTCCTGGCCCCAGTGCCTTTGCCAGGTCTGACCCGCCCCTCAGTCCTCCCACCTCTCCACTCCACCGTCATCCACATTCTAGATTCGTCTTTCCCCTCCCCTTCCCTCCTCCTTCCACGCTCCTCCCTACCTCTTCCTTGCATCCTCCTACAGCCGTCTCTTCCTTCCCCTTCTCCCTCCCTCTCTTCCTCCTCTCCTTCTTCCTCTCTTCAGTCATCCTTTCCTCCTCCTCCTCCTCCTCCTCCTCCTCCTCCTCCTCCTCCTCCATGCCGCCATGACTCCTCCTCTCCTCCATCCCTCGTTCACTTCTTACATACATCCTCCCTGTCGCGCCACCAGACATGTCCGTGGGCTGGGCGGGGCGTGTCGCTTGAGTCTCCGCTGAGCTGTGTTATGGAGGGGCCCCTGTCAACATGGGTCTCGCCCTGGCGCCGTGCACAGTCGCCCTAAAGTCTTCAACTGATGCATGGAGATAAGCTGGACCATTTTCAAACTGGGTCTCTCGCCCTATAGCCGCGCACAGCCGTCTTCAAATATTAATGCACTTATGGAGTTGCAATCCTGTTCAACATCGAGCTCTAGCCGTATAGCCGCGCACATCCGTCTCAAGTTCTTACAGCGCTTATTACACTTATGGAGTCGGGGTCCTCTTCAAAGTTGGTGTTTCGCCCCATAGCCGCGTACATTCGTTGTTTCAGGCCTGCTGCAGATACAAGGATGGAGGCCGGCTCTTTTTCAGCATGGGGCCCGTGTTCTAGTTCTGAAAACATATGACCACAATGCAACATTGTGCAACACATATTCTGATGAAGAGTGGTTCCTTCCCAAATTGGAGTTAGTAGTTGGCATTTCATCGAAATCCACGACCGGAAGTTTGAACATGTAGCAGTTGCGTGGATGGAGGGCGTTTTTGTCAAGCTTTGGGTCTCGCTTGAAACTTCCTCAAGCGTAACGACCCTCAGCGCAAGTTTTCGCAACAGTTACACGGATGGAGTTGCGTCTTGCTTAAAACGGGGTGTTGGTTAGACACGCCGGTTAAAGCTCTGATCTTACCTTGCCGCATTCTCCACCGTTCGCTAGAAGGATGCACGACAGCTCCTTCTCAAGACGGAGACCTCGCCTGAATTGCAGGACCATGGTGCGCTCGTCTTTCAAGGGGGCGCTCCTTGTAGTGGGAAGCAAGCCTTGTAGCGCCTTTTGCGGAGAGTACTTTGGACGAGAGGGGATATTGCAGCATCGTGGATACAGCTTGGGTTTACTCGTGTCCTCCTTCTCCTCCCCTTGATCTTCAACCCGATGCTTACGGTAGGTTTGCGTCGTGTCGACCAGCGGCGACCCCAGCGCGGGCGTTCAAGGTTGAACGCCGCCGGCGACCCAGAATCGATCGATGTTGAACGATCGGACGTTGCGGTGACGGCCGATCGTTCAAGGTTGAACGATCCAGCGCGGTGTCAGGAACCAACGCCAGGGTCGACACGGCACGGACCTGCAGTACTTCGCATGTTCAGGTTCATGACAGCAGGCCCGTGGCGGCCAAACAATCCCGAGGAGGCCCTCTCAGAAGGGGACAGATTCGCCCCACCAGTACAAGATGAACCAGCTGACTTAGACCGACTGCGACGCAGACCCAGGCCATCCTGATGAAGGAGGCCTACACAGACAACACCTGGACGAGGGAGGCGTGGCTCGGCAACTGAATCGCCGACGCACTGGCAGAACGGACAGCCTCAGATTGCGAGGTCCCCGAGGTGGAGATGCAGACGTACGAGCGGGTGTGACCTTCCGCGGCTGCGGCGTGGAGGCGCTTGGCCCGTGCTGCTACGGAGGCCTGCGAGGGATACCCTTCGAGACAGATCTCTGAGCGGGACGCTGCCCGCGCCAGAGCAGTGACAGCTCGGAGCGATATGAGCCTTGTTTTTTCTGCCTCGCGCAACGTCCCTGTCAAGAGCACATTCGCAAGCGAGCTAGAGATTCGGTCACTCAACGTCGGCTTGAACAATGCAGTCCGCCGCATCCCGCAGATATGACTCCCAGAGGCTACGGGCAGTATGTGAGTAAGTAGTAGGTCCAGGCACCCCTCCCACACCATGAAATAAAATGATTTCTCCCCCACATGATGGTGCACAGCATGTGGCCGTTGAGCTAAAGCGCCTGACGGGTGTGCGTGTGTGTGTGTGTGTGCGTGTGTGTGTGTGTTTGTGTGTGTGTGTGTCTGCTCGCTCTCCGCCGTCGCTCCTTGGCGCACTCCTTTGTCGGCCCCCTCTTGTTCACTCGTTCTCCCCGACTTCCTGTGCCGGTTTCACTTTATCACCTGCCACCCTCACCGTAGTTTCGTCTACACATCGCCCCTCCCCGCCATCCAGACCCGGATGGTTATGGTTGCTGCTGGCTGCGGGACCCCAAGCGGTTTGTGAGAGCTCGGCCGTGCGTAGACGCGCGTGCCTTGTTGCCTGCACTCGATGTTCTACGCCCGTCGAGGCCGCGACGCCAACAAAATGTGCGTGTGTGTGTGTGTGTGTGTGCGTGTTTGTGTTTGTTTGTGTGCATACGTGTGCATACGTGTGCGTGTGTGTGTGTGTGCGCGCTTGTGTGTATTTGCGTGTACGTGTGTTTGTGTGTGCGTGTGTGTGCGGGTGTGTGTATAATTATGTGTGTGTCTGTGTGTTTCTGCGTGTGTGTTTCTGTGTGTTTCTGCGTGTGTGATGCGCGCGGGCGTGCGTCCGCGTGCGGGTGTGTGGGTGTGTGGGTGCGTGTGCAGGCGTGTGCGTGTGTGTGTAGATGTGTGTGTGTTTGTGTGTTGTGTGCCTGTGTGCCGTTGTGTCTGTGTGCCTGTGTGACTGTGTGCGTGTGTGTTTCTGTGTGTGTCTGTGTGTGCCTGTGTGTCTGCGTGCGCGTCTGTGCGTGTGGTTGTGTGTGCTTGTGTGTGTATGAGCGCGTATGTGCGTATGTGTTTCTGTGTGCTTATGTGTGTGTGCCTGTGTGTTACTGTGTGTCTATGAGACTGCGTGTCTGTGCGTGTGGGTGTGCACGTGTGTGCGCGTGTGTGTGCGCGTGAGAGAGAGGGAATGCGTGCGTGTTTGAGTGTGTGATTGTGTGTGGGCGTATCTGTGTGAGTCGGTGTGCGTGCCTGTAGATGCCTGTGTGTGTGCGTTTGTGCGTGCCTGCAGGTGTCTGTGTGCTTGCGTGTGTCTGTATATGTGTACGTGTGCGTGTCGGTGTGTCTGTGTGTGTTTGTGTGTTTGCGTGTGTCTGTGCGTGCGTTGTTGTGCGTTGCTGTGCGCGCGGGTATGTGATTGTGTGTCTGCGCGTATATGTGCGTGTGTTTGTGTATGTGTGTGTTGTGTGCGCGCGTGTCTGCGCATGCGCGCGTGCGTGTACCTGTGTGTTTGTGTGGCAATCTTTCGTGGTAAACGTAACCCCCATCCATACATGAAAGTAGTCCCCACCAGGCGCTTGTCATCCAGCACCTGTCGGCATCGTCGAAATCCCTCCCCTCCATCCTTCATCGCCCCTCCATTTTCTGTCCCTCTTCCCCTCCGCCCCCCCCTCCCTCTCCCCCACACTTGTGCTGAACATTTCTGCCCCGCCCCCAACCTCCCCACAACGGATCCGCCGTCATCACCTTGCCGCGTCCCGAAGCGCTTCCTGCAGCGCTTACCCCTCGTACTCCCCACTTTCAGGTGGCCGCGCCTGTGCGGGGGCTGGCCTCCCCCTCCTCTTTTTTCTTCCCCTTGGTGAAAACTGCATGCCCGAGGAGGCCCAAGCATGCTTCGTAAACGTCGAGTCTAGATATGTTGGAGCGCGCCAGGCGTCGTGCAGGGTGTGGTCGACGCCGTGGAAACACCCCGCCGCCTTTTCCAGAGTTCGCGATCGGCCTCGATAAGCCCGTCGTCGAGCTCGCTTGAGCCTCTACGACGGCACCGGTGTTCTCACCCTATGGGGGCCGCTGTTGATTCCGCAGTCTCGCCGCCCTCTCTGGGACAACCCCGCAGCTTTGCTCTGGTTTACCGGCTCCTGGCAGAGTGTCGCGCGTTGGTCCGCTTGTTGCATGTTGGCCCCCGCGTGAAAGAAACGACCCTTGTACGACCCTACCTATAAGTTGGAGCCCCTAAGAAAGCAGCCTTAGTTGCTATGCTGTGCCATGCTATGCTGCGCTATGCGATGCTATGATATGATGCGATATGCCATGTTAAGCTATGGTATGTCATGTTGTGCTGTGATATGATAAGCTATGATATGATATGATGCGCTGTGCTGCGCTGCGCTATGCTATGCTATGCTATGATAGGTTGCGCTATGCCATGCTGGGATAAGCTATGATATGCTGTGTTGCGCTATGATCTGCTACGCTATGATGTGCTCTGATAAGCTGAAGTTCGGCGAAGCTAAGATGAAGGTAAGTTAAGACAAGGTAAGACTGAGCTAAAATGAAGCTAATCTTAGCTAAGCTGAGATGATATAGGCTAAGTTAAGATGAGGTAAGCAACGCTAAGCTAAGGGGGCGTAACTGGGGGAACCGCAGGGCGGATCCGGGGGGCACCGCTTGGGGCGGTTTACACAGCCCGGCCCCTTTAAGTTCAGAGAGTAAGAACCCTTCTAGGCAGAGCCTAGGTAGGGAAAAAATGTTAGCCTTCGCGTGAAACCGGGTTTGCCTAATGCGTTGTGCCAACGCACCGTTGTGTTCGAATCGTCTTGGTTGCGGTTGATGGAAATAGTTGCAGTGCCCTCTCGGTGGCGCTGACATGCGGCCCGTGAAGCGCAGCCTGCGTTTGAACCTTGAACCCCCCCCCGACATTTCAGAACTTTCGGATGGTGTCCGAGCATGGAGCCGCATCGCCGATGCATCGGCGACGCGGATCGACGTTGAGCCTGGCATTTTCCGCGGCGACGGCGCAAGTGCATCGCTGACGTTGCCGACGCATCGCCGATGCGTCTGCGACACATTGGTGATGCAGCGCGATTTTCCGACCCTATGAATCCAGACCCACGTGGGGGAGTTCTGCGTACCCGATGCGGTTTCAGTTTTTTTAGCGTTGGGTTGCACCGCTGGGGGAAACAAGGCAAGGGTGATGTTGCAGGGGACGTGAGGCAGGGAATGCCTGCGACGGGCGTCTCCCGATGCGCGAGCCTTCGGCCAAGCATGCCGGGTCGGACAAGACGCGCACTGTGCCCGAACAGCGCAGCGCAGTGGACGATATATGATTTTATTGTTTGGCGTATCGATCGCGGGGTAGCGTTCCCCTCCGTCACTTTTCACCATCACGGTTCAGCACCGCTCCTTCGACCAGCCCCAAAGGTGCCGAGAGTAGTGAGGCCCTTGTGGCGCCTAAGCGTCAGGTACAGAGTTCGTCTGTTTTTCATCCTGGCACCAGGGGCCAGGAATCCTGTACACCCCAATGCAAGCCTCAGCGGCGCGCAGCTGCAATGATCATATCGAATCAAGAAAAGTTTTCCCCCCGCCCTCCATTCGGGGCAACGCTAGGGGAGGAGAGTCTCACGGGGGACGCATTGGCCCCCCAATCGCACAGTGATCGCCGATACGGGCCCGACAGCCAACCCCACCCAGGAACGCGCGTATGCGCTACGGGGGGCTTATCGTCCATCTATCGACGACGCATCGCCGATTCCCCCGCCTGAGCCGGTCCCCGCCCCCGGTGGTTTTCAAGCCATAACTGTGGCATCGGGCGGCCGTTCAGGACGAATTGGCCAGCCCTGAGACGCTCCCTGCGAGGCGCAGCTGCTGGAAGGCATCCCGAGGTTGGAAAGCCGCCAGACACCGACGGAGTTGTCCGAAAACCTCGATCCTTCATCCCTTCGCAAGGTCGCTCTGCCTTGTGCCGCCTCCGCCAGGCGGCAGCCGCCCAGGCGGCCGCAGCCAGAGCCGAGGGGCGCCCGGTCGGAAGCAGGGGAGGCAGGAGGAAGAGTCCGGAAGTACAGGCGCATAAAACCACGTGAATGAAGAGGAGGAGCAGGAGGAGGAGGACGAGGAGGAAAAGGACGAGGAGGAGGAGGAGGAAATGGAGGAGGAAGAGGAGGAGGAGGCGGAGGCGGAGAAGGAGGAGGAGGAGGAGGAGGAGAAGGAGGAGGAGGAGGAAGGGGGGGACAAGGAGGACAAGGACGAGAAGGACGACGACGACGACGACGAGGAGGAGGAAAAGGACGAGGACAAGGACAAAGACGAGGAGGAGGACGAGGAGGAGGAGGAGGACGAGGAGGAGGAGGAGGAAAAGGACGAGGACGAGGAGGGATGGAGGAGGAGGAGGAGGAGGAGGAGGAGGAGGAGAGAGGAGGAGGAGGAGGAGGAGGAGGAGAGGAGGAGGAGGAGGAGGAGGAGGAGGAGGGGAGGAGGAGGAGGAGGACGAGAGGAGGACGAGGAGGAGGACGAGGAGGAGGACGAGAGGAGGAGGAGGAGGTGGAGGAGGGGAAGGGGGGTGGGGAGGGAGAGGGGGAGGGGGAGGGGGAGATGGAGGGGGAGGGGGATTGGCAGAAGAGCGCGACGGGGATTGGAGGAAGATGGGTGGATGGACGGATGGATGGATGAATGGAGGAGAACGAGGAGGAGGAGGAGGAGGAGGAGGAGGAGGAGGAGGAGGAGGGGGAGGAGAGAGAAAAAGACAGGATGAGCAGGTGAAGGAGGAGGACGAGGAGGAGGACGAAGAGCAGGACGAGGAGGAGGGGTCGAGGGAGTGAGCCGGGGAGGACAAGGTGCTCGACGCCCTCATTGCATGCACTCTTGGATGCCAATTTCGGCACGCTCAAGCACGAGTCGAGATCGATCGAGCACGTTTGCACAGGTCACGCGCAACAGCCTGACGGCAGCATATGGCTATACCAGCACGAGTACACCAAGGCGTTGCGCGTGATCGACATGACCAAGTACCAGCACGAGGACTTCGACGCACGAGCTCTGGCGGTGCTGGCCACAGCTTACCAGACCCTTCCAGGCGGTACTTGCAGTGCCACTCAAAGAGCCCATGCTTCAGACACGTGCGAGATCTGAACAGGTTGGTCACGTGGATCAGGTCCGCACACGCTCAAGTCCAACAAGCTCGAGACTCCGCTCAAGCTCGTGCGTGTCGGAGAAGCTCTTTCAGCGCCCAGGACACCGAGGGACTAGTTATGAGAGGCTGCGTCCTCCTGTCGGTGGACCGTGACAACGCTAGCCAAGGCAGCGCGGCAAGCCCGTGCGGGCGAGTCATGGTGGTAGACTGGCGTTCGAAGAGGCAGCCACGCGTGTGTCGCAGCACATTTGCCGCGGACCTGCATGCAGCCCTAGAGGCCCTGAAACAGGCGATGAGTGTGCAGGCATCGCTGCATGAGATCGCCTGCGGTGTGGCGAAACCGTCGCAGCTACTCGGCGTGCGCGTGCAATCCGTCCGCCCTACGCCCTGCCTTAGAGCTGTGTTCAGATGTGCGTTGTGTCGTTGACGCTGTGACCGCGAACATGGTCCAACTTCCAGCAGGTATGCACTTATTGCTGCTCATGGTTCAGCTCTGCGAACTCCTAAACTAGAAGCAGCTGGGGCGCTTCTGGTGGATAGACCCACGCATGGTGCTCACTGGCGGATTCACCAAAGGCGCAGTCGGTCGCGACGCCTTCACAGCAGCCTCAGAGGGCACCTGGAGCCAAGCGGGGTTCCCGTCAATGCTTGGGCCAGTAGCGGCATCAGTGGCAGTGGTGGAACTCTTAGACGCAATTCCTTGCAGTTTTGGCTTTCGACAGCAAAGCTGTTCGGAACTCGACCAGAGTGGTAGTATCACTTGCCCTCATGTCCCTTCCTCTTCTTCTGCTGCCACTTGCACTCAAGATTGCGGTTTCACTTAAACGATCGATCCTCCATCTTACTACCACCCATAATTTCATTGTACCTAGCTTGCGGAATGCTTAAGCACGGGCCCCGTATTGAAAAGGAACCCCCCGCCATCTGATTGATGGGACGTATATGTACGCGGCATTCTGGCGAGTGGAACATCTTGAGAACGACGCGCCTTCCAATTTCAACAAGTGCAGCCACGTTTTAAGACGAACGCTTGCGGCGCAATAGCGGTAACCAACGTTCAACACAACAAACGTAAGTTGACATCGTCATGCATTGTTGGACGTGTTATGACGAGTGTGCGCGGCGCCGCACTTTTGCACCACCTTCTTTCCATCACTGCAAGGGTGGGAAGCCTCGTGTGTATGTGTGCGCGGCGGTACGGCGAGGGCCACAGTTTGAAATCCACCCTCGTCCCGTCGATGTAATAACTGGAAGTCGTTGGTATGAGTGCGCGCGTCAACGCGAGAGCCACACTTTGAAAACCGCCACCCTTCGATCCATGCAGCTGTTGGAAATTTCTCGCCGCAGGACCAGAAGCGGTGAGGAATTTATGAAAAACGCCCAGCCGTCTCTACCACCACGGGCGATGGTGAGACGACGAGGAGCCAACGAGGATGACAAGGGGTTTTCCGTAAGGAAGATGGATGGAGGAGGGGAGGGAGGAGGCAGACAGCAGGGAGTAGTGAGGGAGGGAGGGAGGACGGGGAAGGGATGACGCTGGCCTGACGAGGCCCGAGGGTTGTGAGCTTCCTCTCCTTCTCCTTGTTGGGCCCCTTTCGCCGATGGAGGAGTTCGCCACCTATGAGCGCTCCAAGATGACGACGACGAAGACGACGGCGACGGAGACGGCAACGACGACGGGGAGGAGGAGGAAGAGGCCACACGTACGATGCGATCCGTTGCCCGGCCAATAATTTGTCCCACGAGGCACCTCCAAGTTCATTAAGAGACCAGAGAACGACGGAACGGTGAAGCAACGAGACGGATCTGATCTCGAGCGTGCGCAGGGCTTCCGCGCAGGTTCGTCTTGCGCAGCCGAGGGCGCACGCATCAGGACCGTAAGAGAGGGAGAGAGGGAGAGAGTGAGGGGAGAGAAGAGGGATGGAGGCAGAACAGGTAGCGGGCCACACGAAGAGAAGAAACGTGCACAATGATTAAGCGGGTCCAGGGCAGCTCACCAAATGGCAGCATGTTGTTCGTGATCGCCGCGGGTGTGTTTCTTCGCTTGGCATTCTGTACAGACGGGGGCGGCAGCGGACACCAGGACAGCATGGTAATTCAATGAAACATGCGCTACAGTGCTCAGCACGTCTCACAACGTTGCGCAAGATTGCGGAGACGATAAGCCACATACACACGAAGAAAGAGAGAGACAGAGACAGAGACAGAGATACATCCCCACAGTGGGCGAACGGGCGAGTGTCCTACCCGCTGGCGGCCCACCCTTGGGGTGCTGAAACCAGCGCCTCGCCTGAGACATCTTCGCAAAATGCTCCGAAAGCAGAACAGTCCAAGCCACCAAGCAGGCAAATTGCTGGATACATCCCCACCATCTGGGCGCGAACAGGCGAGTGTCCCATCCCCTGGCGGCTCCCCCAAGTGAGTGTTGACGCCAGCGCATCGCTAGAGGCATCCTCGCAATGTGCTCCGAAAGCAGACAAGTCCAAGCCACCAAACAGGCAAACCGCCTGAGACGTTCCCACGATCTGGGCGCGAACGGGCAAATGTCCTACCCCCTGGCGGCTCCCCCTCGGGGTGCTGAAACCACCGCCTCGCTCGTCTGAGTGTGGTTGAGTTTGGATGTGATAGTCGATGCTGCGTGTGAGCTTGAGTATGAGTGAGTCTGAATGTGAGTGAGTCTGAGTACGAGTTCGTCTGAGTGTGAGTGAGCCTGAGTGTGAACGAGTCTGACTGTGAGTGAGTCTGAGTACAACTGAGTCTTATTGTGAGTGAGTCTGAGTCTGAGGTGCGTGAGTCTGAGCGTGACCGAATGTAAGTGAAAGCATGCCTGCGTGCGAGTGAGGCTGAGAATGAATGAGTCTGAGTATGAGCAAGTCTAGTGTGACTCAGTTTGAGTACGAGCGTGTCTGAAGGGGAAAGAGGACGCGATGCGGAGGAGGAGGAGGAGGAGGAGGAGGAGGGAAGGAGTCGGCGGCGTCTAAGTTCGAACAAGATCCTCATCTTAGGACACAGGGGAATTATGGCAGTGAGGAGATGGAGTATCGGAGTACTTGGTGCTGAGGCCATGCCGACTACGCTTACTGTGCAGTGCATAACAGATTATGTAGTTGACGACGAAAAAGGAACGACGTCCGCGCAAGACGGAGGACAAGGATGAGGAGAAGGAGGAGGAGGAGGAGGAGGAAGAGGAGGAGGAGGAGGAGGAGGAGGAGGAGGATGAGGAGGGGGAGGAGCCGCTGGGGGAGGAGGAGGAGGAGGAGGATGGGTGCAGAGGCATCAAGGAGGGCGCGGCTGACCGCGCGGCCGCTCCCTCTGACACGGGGAGAGGGGGATGTGCGAGGTCCCAGCGCCCAACAACTTGGACCGCCGGCTTGCGATGCCCGAGCCGCCACGACGCTTGATGATTTGTTGTTGGGAGGGGGAGGAGGAGGAGGAGGAGGAGGAAGAGGAGGAGGAGGAGGAGGAGGAGGAGGAGGAGGAGGACGGACGAGGACGAGGACGAGGACGAGGACGAGGAGGAGGAGGAGGAGGAGGAGCAGGAGGAGGAGGGAGAGGGGGAGGGAGGAGGAGGAGGAGGAGGAGGAGGAGGAGGAGGAGGAGGAGGAGGAGGAGGAGGAGGAGGAGGGGTTGGGGGAAGAGGAGGAGGAGGAGGAGGAGCAGCAGGGAAATGTTGGAGCCGGTCGGGGGGCTGGGGTGGCCCAGCATTGGTTCCGGCCAGACAGGGGTGGGAAAGGGTAGACGCGGCTCGAAAACTTCGTCAGGTTGGCTCCCGGGAGGGGGTCTGGAAGCCGATCTTGAGAGAATTTGCACTTTGCCATCATCCCCCCTTCTTAACAGAGTTTCTTTGGGCTTATCCAGCTCAAACAGACCCCCCGGCTGCCTCCAAGGAGGATGAGAGAGATGGGAGGAGAGGAAGCGGGGATGGACGGAGGAGAGGAGGAGGAGCCGCAGAAAGATGGGGAGGACGATGGGAAGGAGGAAGAGGTAGAGGAGGGGGAGGACGAGTGGGAGAAGGGGTAGGAGAGGGGAAGCGGACGGTAAAAGAAAAGGGTGTATGGGGACAGGTAGGGAGTATTGGGAGGGGGGGAGAGAGAGAGAGAGAGAGAGAGAGAGGGATGGGAGGCAAGTGATAAAGGTAGGGGAAGAGGAGGAGGAGGAGGAGGAGGAGGAGGAGTAGGAGGACCAGGTGGGCATGGGGGTGGAGAGGAAGGCTAAGGGGAGAGGAGCGGGACTTGGAGACGGGGGAGAGGCTGACCGGGAGGCGTCGGGGAGCAGGTGGGCGAAAAGTGTAGGCGGGCGGTAGATGGTGGGAGGATCGGATCGATTCGGCAGGAGAAAGCGACAAGCTCCACAGCGCCGTCTGAGGTCCTTCCATTGCTGGAGAGACCGCAAGGATGGAACCTATAGCTCAAATTCACGACAGTATTCATATCCCGCCCAGTCCGGCGGACGAAAACCGCCCAGGTCCCAACCATCCACCCTTTTACCAGGGGCTCATGTGAGCCCCTCTTCGAGAAAAACTCCGTTCTGTGAGGTGTCAGTTTGCTTATCGGCATTTGCGGCGACCTGTGGCCGCAAAAAAAAACAATGGTGCGATACGCATTCCAGTGGGGCCTCCCCCCCGAGTTAGACCCAACGACTCCTCCGCCTTATCTTTTCCGCGAGCGCGGTCACTTAAATGTGGGGGCATTCAGGGTGAGTTCCGCAGGGGAGGGCCCTCAAACAGAGACCCCGTCAAGCAAATAGAAGGTGGAGGGGAGGTCAAGAAGGCAAATGATAGCAGAGCGAGGGGGGCGCGATGCGCCTGCTCCCTGAGAAGACTCAAACACGCAACTGTGAGGACCCTCTCTCAAGTTCCTGCTGTCTGCTTTAAGCTTCTGCCAGGCGGATGCAACAGGTGCTGAATTGATCAGAGACCCGTTGACAGCAACGAAAAAGCGAAAACGTGCATCTTCTTTGGCAATGTCGTTGGCATGGTCCTTACACTGCAATTGCTGCGACTGCCTTCCTGGAGCTCTGAAGACAGTCCTTCCTTAAGCTGGCTGTCGAATACACCACCTCAGATCTCCACCCCGATCCTTAAACCACCCCCTTAGCCAGTGCAACTCAATATGCTTGGTCATTTCGGCGCTCGCGACTGCAGCAGGTGCCGAGGGAGAGCTCGATGGTGCGTCGAGGGCCTTCGATCAGAGACCTGCTGCCAGCAAACAAGGAGGCAAACGATCTGGATTCGATTTCCGCCTACGCGGCTACGCCAGATGGCCGGATTATTCAGAGGCTTGTTGGCAGCAAAAGGACGAAGGTATGCATCAGCTCTTCTATGCCGTTGGCAGGCCCTCTACTTGTGACTGGTTTTTCCGAGCGCACCTGGAAGGCGGCGCTTGCATTGAAGTGGGGGCTTTGGGTGCAGCCTCCATGGACACTTACGACGTGGCTGCCTTCATTCAGACCCCTCACCACCCTCCATGTCCCCAACGATGCCCCCGCCTCACCCCCCCGTACTTATGATGAAGAATGATTGGTGAAAATGGCTGGGAATGTCTCGGCGCGCCTCGTAAACCAGTCACGCCATTGATCCATGTCCTCAACCGTCGTACACTCTTCGAGCCAGTATTCCTCAACAGACGGAGCCTCTGCCTTTGGCGCACATGTTGTTTCCTCGCCAGACTCCGTTGAAAGTCACTGCCCTGCGGGCTGCACAAGTCGGTGTCCATATGTGGCACATTCTTGCATACATTGCAATGGCATGTGCTTGAGCTTATGTTGGAAACGGGCGACCTTCGTTTGAGGCATGCGATGCACATTCGTGACGCGATCGAGGCAAGATTAAACGCCCAATCCTCAAGATCCTCACGGGAATTCTGACTTAACATTGAGTCTGTGGCAATGGTGTGGGCCTCTGTTGAGAGTTGTTGATTGGCCTGTTTACGCTTCGGCGGGCTGTTCCTGCGAAGCCACTTGGAAGGGGTCCGCGGCACTCGCAGACCACGCTGTGGGCTGTCGGCAGGCTCCCGCTTTACTCGCATCGTTGTAAACAGGAGGTTTGGGGTTGTCGGCAAAGACGCGCGTTGAGCTCTAGGATCCTCGTGAGGCTTGTGAGGCTGGACGAGGGCCCCTCGTTACCGCTTCTGTTTCTGCTCAGCCCCCCTCTGCCCGCACGGAAGAGATCATGTTGGGATTCCATTTCTTCTGTATGTGTAGACCTTTTGGCCTCAGCATCGGTTTGCCAATTGAAGTTGTTGTTTTTCAACGGTGGCTCGTCAAAATTGCCTGGTTGCCTCTCCAGTGGAGGCTCGCTAACTCTACTGACATGTAAGGTTGGGCACGGGCAGCACCGTTGGAACAGCCGTGTTGGAAGGAAGGACAGGTATCAAAGGGAAGGCGCCGCAAATTGCGCGTATTGTGGGATCAAGCTGCAGTGCGAGATCAATCTGGCTGCCAGATTTTCTGCTCAACCCTCGGGCCTAGAGTGGTTGCGGTCTGACTTCTGCTGGGGGGAGGAAAGGACATGTTGGGAGAGAGGGAGAGTTAGGCGACCCATGGGGACAACCAAAAACTGATGTCCCCTTTGCCAAACTCCTGCTGTGTCCTTCCACCTTGCCAATTCTGGAAAGCACGCCTGACTTCAGGATGGGGAACCAAACTGCCTGCTGCCTGCGAATCCTACAAAGTCGAGTCGCCTCCTCCTTGTTGGCTATCATTATGGCCAGTTGCTCTGGTGTGATGACGACGAGGCTGGAGGCAGGGGGGGAAGACGGTGGAGAGGATATATCCCCCCTTGACTCGAGATGTTGCGACCCTATTCGGGTGTGTTGATCTTTTTCCTGCTGCATTGACTGGTGGTCAGTTTGGCCCTCTGCTTGCCGAAAAATCTGGCCCAGTCTCTGACACGCTACAGGCGCACTGTTCCTACGCGGGATTGCAATATCTGGTCCAAACTTCGGTTTGCCACTCTTTGATCAAACTCGGCGGCTCTGCCTCCGTGTGCAGATCTACCTCTGCTGAGAAGGTGGTCTGATCCATCATGGACCGGGCAACGGCTCTGCACATGCTTGTTGGGGGTACTTGTTTGGCCGAGGTGCGACATTCTCCGCCCTCCTTCTTGTCAATTAGTTTGGCGTGCGACCCCGTTGGATGCCAGCAGCATTCTTTGCCTGGGGCATCCTGCAGATGACTATTCTCGCATGGTGGGAAGTCTCGCCAACACGCCTGTTGGAGCCCGCACAATCTGACCGTGTTCGCATGGGTCAAACAATAGAAATCCGTGGCCGGTGCAGCCCTGGCCGCTTGCAGCGGCTTGAAAGACCAACTCGGAACCGATTTTGCCCTCCAATCTGTTGGTGCTGGATGCTCCCATCCAGGCCGCCGCACCACCAGTGATGGCGGTCAGCATTCAACGCACGGTGGCTTGAAGCAAAAGATTGCCGACCTCCAGCTGATAATGGGGGGAGGAGGGAGAAGGGCATGAGCAGGAGCAACAGTGTCGGCAGGAGGAGCAGGAGAGGGACGCCGAGGCGATGGCACGTTTGACGCCATATTCCCGCTGTCCACACATGGTTACTGGTGATTCTCTGCTGCATGCGTGGTTGCCTTGTTCCCTGCCGCCACACGTTGCACTCCACAGTTAGCCTTCTTAGGTGGAGCCATATTTCCCCCATCAGGCTTTGCCTCTTCCTTCTGTCTGAACAGCCAGTGTGTGAGAGGCCTGTGCTGGCCAGCGTTGCTTGGTGTTCCTTGGTCTTGTTTCCATACAGTGGCGTTGTTCGGGGTTCCTTGGTTTCGTTTCCTTGCAATGGCGCTCCTCGGGGGGATCCTTGGTATTGTTTCCTTCCTTTGTCGTTCATCGGGGTGCACGGTCTTGATTCCACAGTGGCGCTCCTCGGGGTTTCTGGTCGTCTTTCCTTGCAGTGGCGTTCCTCGGGGTCCCTTGGTCGTGTTTCCACAATGGCGTTCAAGACCTGCGGCGGCCGGCGTAACGCCAAGCAATGCCAATCAATGCCGAGCAATGACAAGCAATGCCGAGCAAAGCCAAGCAACACCAAACAGCGCAAGTAATGCAAAGCATTGCCAAGCAACGCCAAGCACTGCCAAGCAACTCCAAACAACGTCAAGCAAAGTGAAGCAACGCCAGGCATTGCCAAGCAACGCCAATCAATACAAATCAACGCCGAGCAAAGCCAACCATTGCGCCAATGCAACAGGAAGCTTTCCCGCATTGAGGTCGCACTGGGTTCATTTTTTGAAGTCGGTCTCCCCTCCCCAAAAAATTCCCGACGATTCCCACCCCCCCGCCCTCTCCTTCTCTCTCCCCATCCTTTCGTCCCTATATCCCCCATACCCCCCCCCTCGCCCTCGCTCACCTCTCGTAACCCCGAGTTCGCCCTGGTCCACCATCACCCCTCCCGCCCTTTGTCCCGCGTTCCCCATGTCCCCCCGGTCGCCCCCTTCCCCGGTCCTTCCCTTTCCTGCTTCCCCGCGCTCCCCCCTCCGTCGCCCTCTTCCCCCCTCCTTTGCCGATCATCCCTGAGCCCCCCATCCCGGTCCCCAACCCTCCTGCCCCCATCCTTCCCACCCCGGCGAACCTGTCATCGACGCGCTAACGGCATGGCCTCCATACCCATGCCCCCTCTCCTGTCTCGCTCCCCCCCCCCATCCCTTCACCCGTCAGCCTCCTCCCTGGTGCGGGGTCTCCCGGTGGCCCGTGAGCGCAGGTAGGAGGAGGAGGAGGAGGAGGAGGAGGAGGAGGAGGAGGAGGAGGAGGAGGAGGAGGAAGGGGAGGAGAGGAGAAGGAGGAGGAGGAGGAGGAGGAGGAGGAGTCCGGCGCCCAGGGTCGGTCTCCCGAAGGCCGTCCGTGTATTGAACACGCCCAGCCAATGAATTACCGCCCGGAAAGCAGCAACAGCTGCGCAGGAAGGGCATAGGGGGTGACCACGTCGCCTGTGAAGACTCGCGGCCCAGCGGTTCCGACATGGTGCGTTGGGAGCCAAAGGCATCCCAGTCGGAACAGCTGGCACGGCATACTGAGGAGCACAAGCTCCCCAGCCCTGGGTGGGCACAAGGCCCCTTGGGACTCACGTGGCACAAGCCACCGCCTCCCGAGGAAATGCCGATCCCTGAGAGTCAGATCACAATGAAATGACCGCACAGGCGCCGCTACCCGCCTTCACCAGCAGGGCCAGGCTGAGACTGGGGCCGTGCTACACCCAACGACGGGAGACCCGTCGATACAGGTTTCGCAACGTCCACCCCAAGCCCCAGAGCCCGCGGTTCCAGAAAAACCGGCCGGTTGCACCCCGCCCAACCTGCGAAAGAAGTGCCATGTACAGTGTGCCCCGAGGGTGTTCGGCACTGACACCATGAAAACAGGTGCCAGGCCTCACCGGAGGGGCTAATGAGGAGGACATTGGCATTCGCTTCGGGGTGAACTAAAGTCAGGCGCGTTCCTCGGACAGCAGCTGGCCCCCAGACCATTGCCTGGGGCGCTGCCGGTTCCGATTCGGCTACCGAACCCTGCCCCAGAGGGAGGAGGAGGAGGAGGAGGAAGGTTGGAGAAAGGGAGGGGGAAGGAGATCAACTGCTATGCGCTGGGGTAACTCACTTCCCACATTCTAATGGGCTGACCACCTAGCAAAGCGAGACCTGACCTTCCCTTCAAAAGGGATGAAAAAGAGTAAGAATGCCCACCCAACCTTTCCCCTCACAGACAAGAACATCCCCTGGGCGCCAACGTGCAGGTTCGGGCTTTCAGGCATGGCATTGCCATGGCACGACCCGCCAGGAGAGGGCAGAGTTTTGCAACCTAGCCCTGGCTGCCAATTCCATGCGCTGTCTGGTGGGAGAGAAGGGGATAAACTGGGCTGAAGAGGAGGAGGGAGGACTGGAAGGATTCAGGCTGCAAGACTTCGCTTGCCTGCCTGCTGGCCTACAAGATTACTTGTGCCTTATTTGCTAGGAAAATATGCACGCGACGCTGTAAAGCTCACCCTCACAGAAGTGTGAATGGTCCCTGAAATGACTTGCAACTGCACATCCTAGTGCTTGCACAAAGCGAGGGGCCTGGACAACATTTGACAATAATGGCTATACGCTGCGCGTTCTAGCGCCTGCGGCCGTCACGATGATGAGGGTGAGCTGAGGGAAGCCATGCTTGGCTAAGTGTGCCTGGTTCGATTGTATGCTAGCGAATTGTTTCAGTGCTGCCAGCAAGGTGGCTTAGAAGTGATATTAGACATGGAGAAGTCCACATCAAAAGCGCAGATACGACCGCATTGAGAAGAACATGCCGTGACCATTGATAGCTCACGCCAAATGGCCTTCTAGCCAAGCTGATGTGCTCCGTAGCCTGAGGTCATTTCCCAAAACGTGCTCACGACTTGCAAAGTTAGGCATTGGCTTGATGGACTCTTCCCTCATTTTGCTATCTCTGCCGACTTGCTGTTCTGGGCTGGATCTTCCGAGCCCCTGGTCTGCTTGAGCCTCTTGAACTCGTCCCTAGCACTGTCGAGCTGCTCTGCCAACGATTTGATGCGAGCCTCCTGTAAATTCTGCTTGAGTTCTTCCATTCTGGATAACGAACGATCGCCTTCGCTGGTTACCTCTGGATGGGCTTCGGACTCTGAGCTAGAGTCCTTGCGCTTGCGCTCCGATTAGGACACGGGCATTCTGGGATCTGACGGCCACCTAGCCTTCTCCCTCTTTGACTTCTTCGATTTCTCGTCCTTCTTGGACTTTTTGTGAGCCTTCCTAGGCTTACGAATGGTTCTGTCCTTAAACTGCTTCGAGCGGGACGCCATGGCTGCAATCTGTGTGAGCGCGAAAGACACTGAGTGGCCTCCTGGGAGGCCGGTCTGGGAAATTGCTGACCTGGCCCGCTGCCTTGAGAAAATGACAACTTGAGCCAAAATGGCTACGGAGGGCTAATGAGGAGGAGGAGGAGCAGGAGCAGGAGGAGGAGGAGGAGGAGTGAGGAGGAAGAGTGGGGAAGTTGAGTGAGGAGTGAGGAGTGCGGATGAGAGTGCGGAGGTGGAGGAGGAGGAGGAGGAGGCGAGGAGGGGAAGGAAGAGGAGGGAGGGGGAGGGAGGAAGGATGCGGAGAGAGGAGGAGTAAGAGGAGCCTGATCGTTCCCTTCTCTTCCCCCTTTGTTCCTCCTTCCCCCGTTCCGTCTTCCGTCTTCCCCCCTCCTCTTCTCGTCTTCGCTCTTCCCCCCGTGTCCCCCCCCCACCATTCCTTCCCTTCTTCCCCCCCCCCCCATCCCTTCTTTCCTTTCTTCTTCTTCTTCTTCTTATTCTTCTTCTTCTTCTTTTTCTTCTTCTTCTTCTTCTTCTTCCCCCCGTCTGCCCTCCCACCCGTTCCCTCCCCTCGCGGCGGGCCCGCACAGGCCAGTGGGCCAGGCGGGCTGGGAGAGCTTCTCGGGGCCGGGCCACAAGCTGTGAGGCGTGCGCTCAGCGGGGTTTCCCGCCCCCCCTCCGTCCTCCTCTCCCTCCCTCCTCGCTCTCCTCCTCCGTTCCTCTCCTCCTCCGTTCCTCTCCTCCTCTCCTCCTCTCCCTCCTCCTCGCTCTCCTCCTCCGTTCCTTTCCCTTCCTAGATAACTCCTCCCTGTCGCACCCCGAGGCTGGTCAAAAAGGGCAGGCCGGGCGTTTCACTTCAGACCTCCGCGCCATGCATGATCCAGGAGTTTAGGGCTCGGCAACGGCTTCCCAGCTGGAGGGCGGGTCGCTTCCTATGTGTGGCTCTCGCCTTAGCGCCGCGCACATTCGTTTAAACAGAATTGCAAGAGCGTCACGGATGGAGGGCGGGTGGTTTGCAAAATGTGTTTCTCGCCATGCAAGAATTTCACGGATTGAGAGCGGTTCGTTTCCAAAAAGTGGTTTTCGCCTAGATGCCGCGTACATTCGTTTAAACAAAATTGCAAGAGCGTCACGGATGGAGGGCGGGTGGTTTGCAAAATGTGTTTCTCGCCCTAGCGCCACGCACATTCGTTTAAACATTGAAAGAGCGCTTCACGGATTGAGGTTGGGCTGTTTGCAAAATGTGGTTCTCGCTTTAGCATCGCGCACATTCGTTCTCAACATTCGCAAGAGCTTCACGGATTGAGGGCGGCCAGTTTTTCAAAATGTTGTTATCGTTTTAGTGCCGCGCACATTCGTTTCAAACATGAGCAAGAGTCTCACGGATTGAGGGCGGCCCGTTTTCAAAATGTGGTTATCGGTTTAGTTTCGCTCGCATTCAATTAACAAATGCAAGAGTTTCACGGATTGAGAGCGGTTCGTTTCCAAAAAGTGGTTTTCGCCTAGATGCCGCGTACATTCGTTTAAACAAAATTGCAAGAGCGTCACGGATGGAGGGCGGGTGGTTTGCAAAATGTGTTTTTCGCCTTAGCGCCACGCACATTCGTTTAAACATTGAAAGAGCTTCACGGATTGAGGGTGGGCTGTTTGCAAAATGTGATTATCGTTTTAGCATCGCGCACATTCGTTCTCAACATTCGCAAGAGCTTCACGGATTGAGGGCGGCTATTTTCCAAAATGTGGTCAAGTTTCAAGGATTATCGCGGTTAACGTCTCAGAAATGGCGTTTTGGCACGATGTCAGAGCGGAACAGTCTTGTTGATTCGCGGTGTTGAGGTCCCAGGATTGGTGGCACGATTCTGGATCGTCAAGACGCAACGCTAGCGGTGATTCGCAGCGTTGAAGTCTCAGGCATGGTGTCCTGGCACAGTTCCAGATTCTCATACGGTTGATTTCCAACAGGGCATTTCTTTCAGTGAAAATGGAATCCTTGTAGGGGCCGACGGTGAGGGAATTCGCAGGGAGGGCTTATTGCAATACCGTTGATGAGCCTTAAACTTACATTGGTCCTCATCCTTCTCCTTCTCCTTCTCCTCCTCTCCTCCTCTCCTATCCCTCCTCTCCTCACCATGTCTCTCCCTCCTCCGTCGCCTACTCCACCTCCAGCTCATCGACAGGCTGCTGCTCCTCCCCCCTCGTCCTCCTCGCCCTCATCCCACTGTTCCCCCGTCTCCTCCGCGCTCTGCGCTGCTGCGCCGGCCCGTCCGGTGAGCACAGTGTGCACGATCAGGCTGGCAGGGCAGCTGGGCAGATCTCCGAGGCGGGGATTTGTCCATCACTTCCGCCCGGGGGGGGTCGGTCCTCGGCGACCTGGGCAGGCGGCGGATACGGATGCGCTCGGGCCAGACATCTCCATAGATCCCGGGGGGCATGTCCTTGGGGGGGGGGCAAGCCTATCCAGATCCACCGCCTGCCGAGTTCCACGAAGGTCGATCCCCCAGGCGGTGATGACGGATCCATCTTCGCCTCGCACGACCGCCTCGTCTCCCTTCGCGGGACGGGCCCGTGCCTCCCTCGGCGGAGGGCTCTTGCTCCTCATTCGCCTCGCTTTCTCCCCGCTTCGAGGGCGAGCAGTGGAAGGCATCTGCTGGAGCAGGAGGAGGGGGAGGAGCACGAGAAAGTGACGGCGCAGGGTCATTTTCTCGTCTCTCTTCCTCCTCCTCCTCCTCCTCCTCCTCCTCCTCCTCCTCCTCCTCCTCCTCCTCCTCCTCCTCCTCCTCCTCCTCCTCCTCCTCGTCTCAGCACAGCTCCTCTCCGCTAATTCGCGCCTTGCCCGCGTACCTAGCATGGAAGGCTAGGTGTCAGACAGACTGTTCGCATGGCGCGCGTGCTGGCGCCCTTTCGCTCTTCTGGAAGTGCTGGACCAATCGACGTTTTGAAGTCGTCCGCGCACGGGGGGGGGGTGCGCGGGGGGGGGGGCGGCCTTCCAAGAGGGCGGGGGGGGGCTTGCTCAGAGAAGGCATGTGCCCTCTTGGGAGGGGGGGGCCTGAGGCCCCCCAGATGGCTTCCACGGGTCACGTTGCCCTCCCAGAAGCCCCCTCCCCCCGCCTGCTCAGAAGGCTGCGTCCCACATTGCCATATCACTGTGCGCGCCGCCAACTGTTGGAGGTGTTGGAGCGATCAATGTCCTCGCGATGCCATCGTCGTCACTCGGATATGTCGCTACTTATGCGCCGCCTGCCTTTCGCTGCCAGCCATCTCGCACGGTCCTGGTGCCCACAGCTTGTGCAAGAGGAAAAGGTGCGGTCGTCACGGGAAAGAGTACGATTCCTATTCAAGTTGTCGGGAAGTTTGATTTTGTCGATCCGCCCACGTGTGCCCGTTGGTGGACGGAGGTGCACAAAATTCGTGTCAGTCGTCTGGACGTTTACCAGCGTCTCTTTTATAGCATAGCAGTTAGTCATTGGACAGGTCATTACAGCGGATTTTATAAGTAGATAGATAATAGTTTTCGGCACAACCCGCCACCGTGCCTGGGCTGCGGGCACAAAGCCTAGAGGATGTTCGTCGGGATCTCGTGTGGGGCATCTCGGGGGCCTCTTGGAGGCAGTTTTGAGGCCTCTTGGGGGCCGTCCTGGGGCCTCTATTGGGCCTCTTGGGCGGCTCTGGGGGCCTCCTGGAGGCCTCTTGGGGCGAAAGGCTCTGAGTTTCGGCCTCTCTTGGGCCCCATTTTGGAGCCGTCTTGGAGCCCCCTTGGGCCGTCTTGGATGCCTCTTGGGCTGTCTTGGGGCGGTCTCTCGTCGTCCTCGGCGCCGTGTCGTCGTTCGTCTTTGCGCTTCTCTCGCCTTTCCCGCTCCGTCATCCTTTTGGCTTCCCCCCCATTCGTGGGGCCGTTCCCTGCTGCTTGTCGGTGAACGCTGCGGTTCCCGCTCCCGCTTGCGGGAGTCGGGAATCGCGGCGATCGCCTCCTGCGGCTTGGCGTGGTCCCTTGCTCCCTCCTGTGCCCTTCGGGGCCTTCCCAGTCGTCTGCTGCTTGCTGTTGGCCTCGGCTGGGTTGGTCGGAAATTCGCACCGTGGCCGAGCGAGGACCACTCGGGGCTCCCGCCGCGGGGCCTTGCTATCTCGCTTTCGAGTGCACGGTCGGTCGCACGTTTTCTGAAGTCCCTCGGAGGCGTGGTGTTTTCGAGTTGCTCGATCTTCAGCCCGACATCGGTCGCCGCCGCCGCCGCCGCCACCGCCTCCTCCTCGGGGTCGGCGGGTCTGGGCCCCGCCTCTCAGCCCCCAGCGCGGGCCATCATGCCGCCGCCGGGCGCACAGCGGCGGAGGCCGAGCGGCGCGGAGGCGGTGGGCCAGCGCCCCGCGGGCAGTGCGCCGGCCGCCTACGCGAGCGCGTCGGAGCACGCGGTGGACCTGGAGCCCGTGAGGCGGAGCGCCGCGGGCCCGCCGACAGACCTCCGCGTTCGAGAAGGTTTTGATACCCTTGTCGGTCTCCGGGAGCCGCTCTCGGGTCGCGGGGCCGTCGAAAACGGATCCAGGGTGAGAAATGGCACCAGGTGGACCCCTGGGGACCGATTTCGAGCGGACTTGCTCTTGTCCCAGCGGTCTCGGGGGCGGCACTCTGGGCCGCGCCGCGGGCCCGCGGCCGGACCTCCGCGGTGCCTTCAGGCCTCCCAAGGGGTGTCCGAGCAGATGGGATCAGAGGATCGCGCTGCCTCGCCGATGCATCGCCGCGATGCGCCGCGATCCTCCGGCCCCATCTTCTCCGGCCCCATCTGGAAATCCTAGCGTTCTAGGGCCGAGGATCGACGTTCGAGGATCGCGCTCCGAGGTTGGAGGATCGAGGTTCTTGGGGCGTGCTTTGTGGCACCGTGGGACTACTTCCACACCTTCCATTCCTCCTCCTCCTCCTCCTCCTCCTCCTCCTCCTCCTCCTCCTCCTCCTCCTCCTCCTCCTCCTCCTCCTCCTCCTCCTCCTCTTCCCCCTAATCACCTCCCTCCCTCCTCTCCCTGCCCTCAGCCACTTCGTGCCCAAGCGACCCATCCTGGCCGGCGCACGCGAGGGCGGTCTGAGCGCCAATTTTGCAGTGGCCATGCGCACAGGGAGCCACAATCAAGAGGCGTGGTGTCCAACACCATCAACTACCATACTGACACCAGGCGCTCAGGCGCGCACGCGGCCCACAAGAGTCCTCTCCCTCGCCTCCCCGTCCTCCCCCCTCTTTCCACTCGTGTGCCTCCACGTCCTCCTGGAGAGCAGCAGCGGCATCCGCCTCGGCGCCGTTGCAAGAATGCAGGCGGAGCTGCGAAGACATGCGGGCAGTGTCGGCAGGCCTTGTCATTCCTCCGGGTGGAGGTGCAGCCTAGCATCATCTGCTGCAGCGCTGGCCGACAGGTAGTGGCAGCAGTAGCAATTACGACGGGGAGTGGCAGCGGTCTGTCGATGCCCACGAGCGGAGCAGAGAAGCCAGGGCGAAGCCCCATCAGCTACATTGTCGGGGGAAGCTCAGGCGCGAAGCAAGGCAATAGCAGCTTCTGTCACTACGAGAAGGCGGACAATGAGCGACACATTGGCTGAAAACGCTCTGGGAGTAGCTCATGCGAGAAGGGCGGCAGCGAGCGACACATCAGCTACGACGCTGGAAGAAGCTCGTGCGAGAAGGGCGGCAGTGAGCGACCCATGAGCCACGACGCTGAGAGAGGTTCGTGCGAGAAGGGAAGCCGTTAACACATCAGCTACAACGCCGGGAGGGGTTTATGCGATAAGGGCAGGGGCAGCAGGTGGACGATGAACCTCAGCACCCGCCAGGGGGAACAGCAGAGGCCGAGCATCACCAGCTACAGTGCGAGGAGCGGCTCGCGGGAGGAGGCAGACAGTGACAGCACGGCTTGTAGTCCATGCGAGAAGGGTGGCAGTGAGCGACGTCTTAGCTACAAACAGTGTTGGGAGTAGCTCACGCGAGAAGGGCTGCAGTTAGCTACAGCGCTGGGAGTAGTTCATGCGAGAAGGGCTGCAGTGAACGACGTATTGGCTACAACGCTGGGAGTAGTTTATGCGAGAAGGGCAGCAGTGAGCGACGCATCAGCTACAGCGCTGGGCGTTCTTGAAAGAAGGACGACAGTGAGCGAACGACAGCTACATCGCTGGAAGTATTTCTTGCGAGCAGGAATGCCGTGTGCGGTATATCAGGTGCAACGATGAGAGTAGTTCGTGCGAGAAGGGCGGCAGTGATCGACACATCAGCGACAACGCTGGCGGCAGCTCGTGTGAGAAAGGCGGCAGTCATCAGCTACAACGTTGGGGGTTGTTCATGCGAAAAGGTCGGCAGTGAACGACATATCAGCTACAAGACTGAGAGTAATTCGTGCGAGAAGTGCGGCGGAATGGCAAGGGGTGCTAGCGTGCACGGCATGTTCACAAGGAAATTGGAACGGCACCGTGAATTTCGGTTCGGACAAGTAATTTGTCGCCCCGCCGTGTCGTCCAGGGAAAGCCTGGGGGAAGGTGATGCGTCCTTGCTCGAGCTTCCGTCGGATCGATAGCTCCTGTCTCCTGTCTCGTCCGACTGGTAGATCCATGCTAGATCCCTCCCTCCTTCCCTCCCTCCTCCCCCTCCTCCCCCTGCATCCCTCCTCCTGCCTCCCTCCGAGCCTGCGTTTCCTTTCCCTGTGGGGCGCCGCCGGGCTGCCGCCGGGAGGGGCCCAGGCTTTGCCCCGAGCTCCCACGGCGTGGTTTCTTGCAGTCCGGGTGCTGTTCCTCGGTTTCGGCCTCCAGGCCCTGGGGGCCGCCAAGAGCGGATCCGCGGGGCGGAGAGCTGCCCCCGCGGGCGGGAAGCGACCCTCTCGGGACGCCGCTGGCCTGCCGCCAGGCCTCCTCGGTCCGAGGCTCGTGGCCGAGGGTCGAGGTCAGTGGACGTTTGAGGCTTGGGGGCATCGTGGGGCGCCTTCGTGGCCACGGTGGAGTACCCCTCGAAGGCCTGGCTCGAAGGCATCCCTGGAGGGACCCAGGGGCCGATGTCGGTCCAGACTTCTCTTCGCTGCTATCAAAAGTGGGGGCGGCGGGTTTATGTAGCATCTCGGCCCCCGCGGGGCCTCACCCGGCCCTGGGGGGCCGTGTTCGGCTCTTGATTTTAGTCTGGGCGCGCCCCGCGAAGAGTCCAGGGAGTGGCGGAATCGGCGTCTTTCTTGTTCCCTCAATGGGAGGGCGGGAGGAAGAAGCAGGGAGGGGGAGGGGAGGAGTAGGATGGTGGTTAGGAGGAGGTGGAACGAGGAGGAGGAGGAGGAGGAGGAGGAGGAGGTGGAGGAGGAAATAGAGCGAGCAGGAGGAGGAGGGAGCAGGAGGAAACTGGGAAGGGGGCGGAGGAAAAGGAGGAAAAGAAGGAGAGCAGAAGCAGCTCCAGGAGGAGGAGGAGGAGGAGGAGGAGGAGGACCAGGATGCGGACGAGGAGAAGGACGGGGAGGAAGAGGAGGAGGAGGAGGAGGGAAAAGGAAGAGGAGGAGGAGAAGGCGGAGGCGAACTTGATGGGCGGGGGAAAGACGACCGGCGAGGCAACACGCCTCCCGCCTCCGCCGGAGTGTCGACGCGGGCGAGTACCCAGGCTTCATCTTCTGCGTGGCCAAAGCCGGGAAGTTGCTGCACGCGGAGGCGTATGGGCACGCGGACACGCGGGCGACCGTGCCGATGCGCTGGGACACGTTGTTCCGGCTCTACTCGCAGACGAAGCCAGTGATCTCAGAAGAGGCAGAGATGCCGATACCACTACCCTTCCCTCGTCGCCACGGTTGAATTCGCTACGAAATTCTGGTCAGATGGCACCCCTGGAGAGGCCCAGAGAGCAGCCGTATCAGTACTGCGTTGTGCCCCCACGATCGGGGGTGCTGTTTCGCTCAGTTGAAGCCCCCGGGGTCCTCTCTGGGCCGTGCGAGGGGTGCCGTTGGAGACAGTGGGGGCCTCCCTGGAAAGCTTGGGGACGGTTCGGGCCAGGGGCAGTTCTGGCCAAACCCGAGGTGACAGTGATCGCCTTCATGCGCCTGTGGGAGGAAGGGCTGGTCGGTCTCAACGACAAGGTGTCCAAGTACATCCCAGCCTTCAAGCGCCTGGTCGTCGGCCAGAAGGCCAGGAAGCCAGTGTCGCGGGCCATGACAGGAGCCCTCTTTTCCATCCTCCAACCATTCTCCTCCTGCCTCATTCCCCCTCCCTCCCCCCCCCCTTGTCCTCCTGGCAGTGCGCGACCTCCTCGCGCACACCAGCGGCGTGGGCTTCGGCCCCGGCTTTGGGTTCGACGTGGACCGCGCGAATCAGAAGAAGTACATTAGGAGACCTTCGTTGCAGCCTCCAGTCCAGCCTCCCACCTCTCGGCCTCCTCGCCCCCTCCTCGCAACCACCCCCACCGCTCCTCCTCCCCCACCCCTCCAATCTCTCCTGCTCTCCCCTCCCGTTCCCGCCTCCTCTCCTGCTTCCCACTCATCCTCTCTCTCTCTCTCTCGTCCATCCTTCCCATCCGCTCCGAGGAGGGGGCATGAAGTGGAGGATTGGACTGGCAGATGCAAGGAGGGTCTCCGAACATCGACCTGTGCGCCAGGGTGGACAGAGGTCGAAACGCAAAACTTCTGCGGGCGTTTCTGTCGTTAGACTCGTTAGACAGTGTTGGGTTGAAGGGGAGTGGTGGTGATGAATTTCTATGTTACGCTGCCGCTCGAATCCGCCACCGCGCTCGGGCTGGTGCCAGGAGGATGGACAACTTATGGTGACCCTGTGACAAATGAAAATGATGCATAGGATAAGGGGGAGGAGGAGGAGGAGGAGGAGGAGGAAGAGGAGAAGAAGACAAACCCTTGGATCCTGAGGCTTTGGCCTTTGGACCGTGGATATTTGGTCTCTGGCTTTACAGCAAATCATATAGTTATGTTATTTGGACCACGGCAGAGAGCAGCTTGAAGATTCTGGTCAGAGCCATGGCCCGTGCCAGAGCAGCAAATCTCTGATACACAGTAGATGATGATTTCCACAATGGGACTCCATCCCAAACCCCCACCCCCAAACACACACACACACACACACACACCACACCGCATAAAACTACCACCACTAAAGGTGAGATCAGCTCGCTGGAGCAGTGGTGCTCCGAGCTCGCCAAGGTGCCGCTGGACTTTGAACCGGGCGCCTGGTGGGGCTACGGCTACAGCTCCGACATCCTTGGCCGGGTGGCTGAGGTTATCTATGGGAAGCCGCTGGGTTGGAGGAGGAGGGAGGAGGACGACGACGACGACGAGAACGGGGACGAGGAGGAAGAGGACGACAATGAGCAGGACGTGGAAGGAGGCAGGGGAGGAGGCAAGGGGGGGGGAGGGGGGGGGGCACGCGGGGAGGGAGCAGGACAGCAGGAGCCTCAGCAGAAGGAGGAGGAGGAGGAGGAGGACGCCCCCGCCGGCGCGCGCCGCCCGGAGAGGTGGCCTCCGGGAAGCCGTTGGACAGGCTCTGTCGGGAACTGGTCTTGGAGCCACTCGGCATGCACGACACGGCCTTTGCCGTGCCCGCCGCCAAGGCGGAGCCTCCTCTTCAGAGGAGGAGGAGGAGGAGGAGGAGGCGGAGGCGGAGGAGGAGATCCCGACACCGCTGCTCATCCTGGAGAGCCATCGTCACCGCGGCTGGATGCTTCTCGAAACTCTGGCCCGAACGCACCCAGGGTGCTCCCGCTGAAGCGTGGGCCTCATTTTCCGATCGGCGCTGTGCTCCCGTCGTTCAGAATGGCGTTCTCGTCCCAGCGCAGGCCACTTTGTTGAATCCGAGTCCTGTCTCATCGTTGTCGCCCCCGTCGTTTCCCCTCCTCCGCCTTCCCCTGCCCTCCTGCTCCTCCCACTCCTTCCACTCCAGTTCCTGCTGCTGCTCTTCGTCCTCGTCGTCCTCATTTCCCTCCTCCTCCTCCTCCTCCTTCTCCTCCTCCTCCTCCTCCTCCTCTTCCTATGTACGCAGCTCCCCTTACCCGATTTCGCATCACACGATAGGGGGTTGTTTTGGAGTTTCAGGTCAGCTGAGCCACGCGTCCGCGGATAGAGGAGACATGAGCAATGGGAAGGGATGGGAGCGAGGGATAGGATGTCAGAATGGCGCGAGCGCACCTAGCTTGTCTTCCCTGGCCCATTCTCCGTATACCTAACTCCCCCCCTGCCGCACCACCAGACGTGTCTGTAGGCCGCGCCCGCGCTGTTCGCTGGAGACTTCCGCACTTAGTACGATCCAGGAGACCGCTTCAAGGATGGAGGCAGGTACATCCTCAAAAAGTGGCTCTCGCTTGTTGGCGCAGCGCCTACGTTCCAAGGTCCCATTCAAAATGTTGTTCTTCCGATTTGAGTTTCGTTGACATAAGTGACCCAAACGCGGAAAATTGTAAGACATCCAGGCATAGTGAGGGTGGTTCCTTCTCAAAATTGGGAGCTCACTTGAGCCTTCTGTGAACGTTCTGACGAGGATTACGAAAGCTTGCTACGCTCATATTAAATTAATGGAGGGACATGTCGAAAATTCAAAACAGAGCTATCGCTGGACATGTCCTTGAACTGTAACATCCTCTTGTTGTTCCTAACCATCCTATGGTGTTGGGTCCGCGTCATGAAGGTTTGAAGAGATAGCGCCCCGCGTCCTCTCCTCTCCTCCTCCCTCCTACATCCTCCCGTCCCTGCCTCCGCCCTCCACGTGTCAACCATGTTGGCACGCCCCTCATGCGTTTCGTGACCCCATAGGGAGCTCCTCCGAAGGCCCCAGGGGGAGCGGTCGCATGTGGGCGTCACGCCCGTTTCGGCACACCACTCACGCGCTTCGTGATCCCATGGGGGGCCTCCTCCGAAGGCCCCAGTGGCGGTGTCCAAAGGTTGCCGCCCCACACGTTTCGGCGCACCCCTCACACGCTTCGTGATCCCAACGGGAGCTCCACCGAAGGCGATATTCACGACGACGGCACGCGCAAGGGTATACGGTGAGGCCCTTCGCCAGAAGAATCCGTCAGCCTGGAATTAGAAGATGGCGTGTGGACCCTTGACAAGACGGGGTCCTGCTTGAGTGGCAGGCTCACCAGGCGCCCGTCATTCCAGCGAGACGTTTCCCGCAGAGGAAAGGGGTATTCGTAAGAAGTTATCACGGGGGAGGGTGTATTTTGCAGCATCGTTGATGCATCCTGGGTTTACTCTCGTCCTGCTCGTCCGCCTAATCGACAACGATCGCCTGTGAGCATTTGCGGGGCGGATCCGTGTCAGGGAGGAGGCATCCATGCGATCCGGATGTGTTACCGTGGGGCAGTCGGGTCTTCTCCGTCTTCTTCTAACGCAACGTTCGGATCATGTCTACGTCTCTTCTGGCGCTAAGACCATGGAGATATGGAGAGATTGCCCGATGCGATGACGCCCATTGTTTGTTTTCGGCCTCTAGGGGCCCTCGTGGGGCCGTGGGACCGTCAACAAAACTAGATTTGCGGACTCATGCTCTCGCACTGGAGTTTGCACGGACCAGTCGAGTTGTTTGTACTTGGATCGTATGGGTTCTGTAGTATGTGGTTGGGGCGTTGGGGGTACAAGACATCTGCACACACACACACACACACACACACACACCGCGTCTTGCTCCGTTCTCGTGTCGCTGTGCTCCGTGCATGGTCGGGGCAGTTTGTGCATTCGTCCAGTCCAGCTCGTTACGTTCACCGTGAACAAGTCCGACGTAGGCGATCGCCCAGTGGCGGCATTTTTGCGGCCACTTTCTGGGCTATTGCAGAGACCCGCAATTGATTGTATGATTCCTCGTCCCTATCTCAGCGGTGTCCAGGCTCAGACTCACACGACTATACTGCAGAAAGGCTCATGCCTGCCACTTCCCCCCAATCGCGAGGCCATGGGGCAGGCTCTGTGATCTAGTTCTTTGGGGGGAATGGTTGTCCGCGCTCCTTTGTGCAACGACAACAAATGTGCCCTCCAAGCGGTTGAATTTCGCAATACGCGTCAGTTAGTTGCCTTCCTCTCATACCGGGTATTGGGAAGCAGGGAAGACTGGCGAGTGATCCGGATTGCGGAGTCCTTGCGAGGGACTTGCGAATGCCCCCTCTCGGAATCGGAATTGGTCTATAGTGGTATCGGGCATCGTTTCATGTTGGGGATTTCGTCCCGTCCTCGCAGCTCGTCGTCGCCCCACAACCTTGCAGTAGCCTCCCACCTCCCTCCCGCCCGCTGCCTCCTCCGCCCCGCTGCCCCGCCTTCTCTCCGTCTGCCTCGTCCTTCTCTCTGCGCCCCGTAAGCTGCGTCGCCAGTGCCAGCAGCACACGACCGAGGGCCCCGAGGGGCTGGCCAGCCTGAAGAAAGCGAAAAAGCCCCCGGCACGCCAGGCTGATGCCGCTTTGCTTGCGCAGCAGTCTGCGCGCGGGGCAGTGCGGCGCCGTGTGCTCGGGGCCACCAGCGCGTCCCGGGCAGGCCCCGAGGGCCCCTCGTTCGGATCTTGAACGGGTGCCCTCGTCCAGCGAATCCTCCCGAACGAGGCGGCTGCCCAACGGCGGGGTCTATCGGGCTCGGCCGAGCCGCCGAGAGTTGTTCTGTCGGTGTGATTCGGTAGCAGCTCAGGGGGCCCTCGTCTGTCTCGCAGTTCCGTCTCTAGAGCGCACTCGCGTGCGCCAGCGTGCGGTGATTGAGGAGAGGGCGCCGATTTGGCGTCGATCTAGCGCCAATCGGCGTCGGTCAGCGCTGGTGTCGCAAGGGAGGCTCACGTGAGTTGCCGCCGACGCGGCCCAGCACGCGCACGGCCCATGCGCTGCTTGCGCTGACAGCTGGTCGCGGCCGAGCCGGCCAGCTCGGCGCCGCTGCCGCCGCCCTGGGCCAGGGCGCGGAGCGCCGCGGGGCCCTGGGCCAGGGCGCAGCGGCCCAGGCGCCGCCCCGCGCTTGGTGTGCGGGGCGTGCCCGCGGCCAGGTGGGCTCCCCACCCGGGGGCGCGAAGTGGACTGCGCCGCGCGACCCTCCCGAGGCCTGGGTCGGGGGCAGTTCGCCCGCGCACGCGTGGGGGGGGCTTCAGAGTTGTGCAGGCATGCCGTCGCAGAGATTCGGCGCCACCGTGCCGGCCTCGGCTGCTCTCGACTGCAGGCCAGCTGCTGCGCCGCACTCCCGAACAGCAAAAGATCTGGAGCTTCCACACGCGGCACCGTCCCCCGCCGGCCGAGGCGGGCCGCCTCGCTTCGCTGTACAAGTTCGACCCGAAGGCGGCGAGCGGCGGGCCGCTGCTGCTGTGCGACGCGGGCGGGGCCGGCGGAGCGGGCGCCCCCTCCCGGGGGCTGTTGAGGGTGCCCATGTCGGAGTCGGCTTGGGGGCTGAGGTGGCCCAGCACCAGTCTTCGAGGAGATCGGCTACAGATCTGGTGCACCCCAAACTTTATGTGTTCGCCGAATCTTGTTTTTGTTTTAGAAGAAGCGTAAAATATTCGTGGCTCGATTCGGACATTCTACATAGTTCTTGAAGGCTCGACGGAAAAACAATGATGGGCTAAATCACGTATGTAGTCGATCTCCCACTCGGAGTCTGGGCCTCCCAGATGGGGTCCGAGCAGATGGGGTCAGAGGATCGCGCCACATCGCCGAGGCATCGCCGATGCGGCTCGATGTCGAGCCCGATTCTGCCCACGCCGACGATGCCGATGCATCGGCGATGCGGCGCGATCCTACGACCCCACCTGCTCGGACCCCATCCAGGAAGCTTCGAATTGGTTCCAGCCAGCAGAAGTGGGGAGCAGGGCCCCTCTCGTCACCAAGGCTGGGCGCGGCTCGGGAAGCCGGTCGGCTCGAACCCCAGGGGAGTTCTGGGTAACGGTTTGGGGCGGATTTGGAAAGCGCGCCAGTGGATCTCCCTGAATACACTAAAGGGGGGGGGGGGGGGGGCAGAACCCCCCCCCCCTCCCCCCCCCCCCTTGAAGGGGGGGGGCACCCTCGTGGATTTGCCCTCCTTCCTCTCGAGGCCCATCCAGCGCAGACCCCGTGGCCGCCTCCACTGTCCATGGCCCAGAGTGTCCCCAGCTCGCCGCTGCATCTGGGAGCCCCAGTGGCACCTCTGGGCCTCGCGAGGAAGGCGGATCTGCAAGAGCAAACACAGATGTGTGGAGGTCCGCGCGGAGTTCTTGGTTCGGCGCTCCGAGAATCCCGCGCGGAGCACCGACAGGTTGCGTTTGTGCCGATGTCCATCCTTCCGTGCGTGGACGGATGCTCTGGAGGGCGTGGGGGCCTCCTTCGAAGTCCAGGGGACACCTTGGGCCAGGGACACCTCTGGCAGCACCCGGCCCTCTGCGTTCTTGGCGGGCAGGCAGTCGCCGGTCCTGCAGGGGGGCGGCTGCGTCTGCAGCATGGCGGGCGGGATGGTCAGTTCGCTGAGTGACTACTTCCGGCTGGGCCAGATGCTCCTGCAGGAGGGCGGGGGGAGGCAGGGGGATGCAGTGCTCCTCCGTAGCCTGGCTCAAGCCATTCTGGCTCAAGCTGGCTCAAGCCATCTCCCCTCCCCTCGGAGGGGGTCAGGGCTCGAGCGGCACAGCGCCTGTTTGCAGCATCGCGCCCACACCACTGACCAGGGCCACAGCTGGGCCGTGGGCGTGTATCGAACACTCCTGTTAGTGGAATGGGAGGTCGTGGCGACGGGAAGGGCAAAGGCAAGAGCAAGAGGAAGGGCAAGGGCTCGGACCCAGGCAGCCGCCCCGCCCCATCGCCCAAGCAGGCAGCCGCTGCTTACTCATGGACGTGCTCTGTCTGCACGGCAAGTGTTAATCTACGGCATGCGTGGTGCTGGCAATGTGGCTCACACTGGGAATCCTCAGGTGACGACCAGCAGCCTGTGCCACCGAAGAAGAAAGGGAAAGATAAGTCAGAGTCGACTGCTTCCAGCTCCAAGCAGAAAGTGGGTCCACAAATCATTCGGCTTCAACAATCCCTGGACATGCTGAAGTCGCTCGAGACCAATTCTGAGACCTTGGAGTCCAAGCGCAGCTGCGAGGAGGCCATCGCCTCGCAGGAAGCCGTTTTGAAGAGGCTGCGTGAGGAACGCGATTCTGAGAAGTCTGAGAGTCAGCTCACTCAGGCAGCCCTGAGTAGGCTAATGAAGGCTCAGGCTCAATTGGAAAAGCAATCTGAATATGTGGATCAGCAGGAGCAGGCACTGGCCGACTTAGAGCTCAAACAGGCTCTGCTCAGGGCGGACCTCGAGGCTGCCCGCACCCACAAGACCGAACTAGAACTACGAGTTTATAACCTGATGCGCGAGCCCCTCTCGGACCCGCACAGCCTCCCGCCAGGCCTGGAGCACCCCTACGAGCACCAGGAGCAGCTGGGCGAGGCCTTCAGCTTCTTGAACAAGGGGAAGGGCAAGGGCAAGCTGGACGCGCAGGCCTTCCTGCAGGGGATGCACTACATGAGCCGGCAGCTCCAGCCCGACTTGCTCGAGGGGCTGACCGCGCAGATGGGTATCTTCGCAGCTCAGGTGCGCTCAGCTGGGGGCATGTTCGAGGCTCCCAGAGAAGAGCGTGCAGAAGCTGAATCTGAACAAGCTGAAGCCCAACAACCCGAAGTTGCTGCTGCTGCCGCCGTCGCTGATGAGGCGATGCCCCCCGCGCCTTTGGCTGAGCGCAGGGCAGCCGAGTCGGAGCCTGAGAGCGAGGCAGCGGTGAGGAGGCGGCTCACGGCGTCGGGGGAGGCCGCGGCGGGCTCAGGCAGAGCCCCGCCGCGGGGGTAACACCCAGCGCCAGGCAGCTGAGGGGGGGCTGCAGATCCTCACGATCAACGGCAACTGTTGGTCTACTGCAGCCTCTTTCATCAAAGAGTGTGGGGCTCACATTGTACTTGTTCAAGAACATAAACTACATGGTCAGGGCCTCAATGAGGCCAGGGAAAGTGTTCGCAAGCTCGGGTGGAAGAGCTTTTGGGCTCCGTGCTGCATCACGCAGCGTTCGGGGCGATCCGCTGGAGTCTGCATACTGGCGCGTGCTCATCTTGATCTCTGGCAGCAGCCAGGGCGTGAGGCCCCGCTAGTGGAACACCGTCTTCTACAGGTCTTCTTTCGTTCGCGGACGCTTGGAGTGATTTCGATCTATTGTGGATATTGGAAGGACGGAGAAGGGCTTGGTCCAATCAATTTACACATTGCCAGCGTTCTGGGAGAGGACATTCTGCGAAATAATTTGCCCTATGTGGCAGGCGGAGATTTTAACTTCGAGCCCAACGTGTTCCAGGAGGGCTTCGCGCCCCACAAGCTCAAGGGCCAGCTGGTGGTGCCGACGCCGATGATCACCTGTGTTGCTTCAGCTCCTGGGACTTGCATCGATTACTTTCTAGTGGGCAAGTCTCTGCTATCTTGCATAGATTCGGCTCGCACCGAGATGGACGAGCACATTTTTCCGCACCGCCCCGTCTTCCTCACCTTGAAGGAAGGCCTGGACAAGATCACTGTGAAACGGCTTCGCCAATATGCACGCCTGCCCGTCGACCTTCCAATCGGACCTGCGCCAGAAGCCCCCGTCTACGAGGATCTCGGAGCCCGTCTGGATGCCCTGCTGGAACCTTTGGAAGTGGAAGGCGGCTATAGGCTGCCGAACGGCCCCGAGAGGGCTGATCTTCAGAATGTTCTGGATGATGTCTATGGGACCTGGTGCGACCGAGCTTGGGGCGAACTTGAGGGCACTCTGCAGTGTTACCCTGAGGGCTTGAGAGGTGGTTCTGAGTTTCAGGTGGTGGAAATATCTCTTGGGGAACTCCTATGTACCCGCAGGTCTCCTACTAAGAGCCCTTATCGTGCCCTACATTGGCTAGCTCGGCGTGCTCACGAACTCTATTCTTTGGTGCACAATGGTAAATATCGTCTGAATGTTGAGTATTTTAATGATTTGGTTTCTTCGACTTATCGTTCGACGGTTTCTGGCGGAATATTTAACTATCACTATCCTGGTGGAAGGTCTCTCTGGATGGGTCTCTTGCAGGCAGCCTTAGTACCTTTGCACTGCTCAGGGTTCATTTGGTGCGCTGAGCTGGTCGCTGAATCTCTTTTTGCTCTCTACCAGCTTGCAGACTTCAATGCTGAAGGTTTTCTTCCCAGAGAGCGCAAGGACCGTGCACAGAAGTGGAAGGACTGGTGCACAGAGGCGCTCTCGGGAGGGGCCAAGTGGGCTCATGCTTACACCAAAGCAGCAGAAGCGCGCCGTCAGGACCTTGTCAGCACTGATAGTGGCAGCCACACGTCCTGCCTGACAGCTCAGTTGGAGGAAGAGGTCTCTTCTTGGGCTCAGGCATGGGGGGAAGCAGGACGTGATCCTTTCCAGACGTTTGAATGGCCCGAAGACATGGTCTTCCCGAAGGCCCCTGAGGTTGACGAGGTGATAGCCTTAAGCAAGAGCTTCAAGAGGGCAACCATCGCGGCTGATGGCTTTCACCCGCGGCATTACTCTATTTTATCACGTCCTGCAGTTGCAGTCTTTGGACAAGTCATGTGTCTCATGACGGTGCTAGGAGCGTCCCCTTCCTGGATGCGCACACTCCAGATAGCTTTGTTCCGAAAGCCAGTGGCTGGACGAAGACCAATCGGATTTTACCAATCCATTATTCGGATGATATCTCGGTGGCATTCTCGGGACTGCAAAAACTGGGAGAAGTGTGTTCAGGACAGGGGGGTATTTTCGATGGCGCCGTCCAGGTCCCCAGCTGATACAGTATGGCGGCAATCTCTTCGTGGGGATCTAGCTGTAGGAGATAACAAGCACGTTTTATCACTCTTGGGAGATCTGAAACAATGCTATGAGCATGTCCAACATCCTCAGCTAGTACGCACGGCTATTGACTGGAATTTCCCACTGCACTCATTAAGATTCGCACTGCACACTTATGGGTGGAGGAGGGTCTTATGCATGGATGGGATGGTTTCAGATCCTATTGAACCTGGGCAGGGGATTGTGGCGGGGAGCAGCACTGCAACGTTTGAAATCAAATGCTACTGTATCCCTAGTGTTAACGCCTACCTCGAGCGTGGCTTCACCCCTTCGCTGACGGTTCATGTCGACGATTTTGGTTTGAATGAGTATAACGATTCTATTTCAGGCTGTGTTACGAACATGGCCATGGCTTTGGCTTATCTTATCGATAACCTCTCCAATCTTTTCAACCTCTCCTTCTCCCTCAAAAAGTTCTGCTTGACGGGCACGAGCGTGGCTCTGGTCCGCGCTGCACAAGCAGGGCTGCAGAAGTTTGCAGGATCTCACGACCCGTCGATTGTCAACCTGGGCGTCGATTTCGCCCCTGGTAAGCATCGGAAGGCGATGAAGGGCAAACAGAAGAGGAGGGAGAGGGTGGTCAAAGGGAAGAGACGGCTCTACAAAATCGCCTCTCTGAAGAATCCCAAACGGTCCAGGGCCAAGGTTTGGTTTTGCGGGGTCAAGCCGGCTGTGACGTACGGGGAGGAGGTGGTGGGGTGGAATCCGATGGAGATCAGGAGGTTACGCTCCCAGGCGGGAGGCTTCCTGGGACTGACGAGCTGTGGAGCAGATCTCGACTTAGCTTTTTCGCTGGAACCTGAGAGGGATCCGCTTCGTCATGCAGGTGCTACGGTCACCAGATATGCCAAGGAATATTGGCTGACTACCTCGGTGGAGCACAGGCAGGGAGACTGTCTGACGGTAGGTGAGCTGTCTAAGATTATTCCGCTGGTTCAGGGACACTTGGAGGCGAACCCTAGAAGATCTTGGGACTTCAGAGCCTGGGGACCTGTGGGGGACATGCTCCAGTGGATGCTCAAAGCGAAGTGGGATGTTGTGGGGCCTGGACATTTCTCGAGGCGCAATGGGGACCCCCTCATCCTGACGGCCACGCCCTACTGTCAAGTCTCTAAGTATTTCGTGAGCGACTTAGGTAACCAGATGATTTCAGAACGAATGGACAAATACTTAGGGGAAAGCGACCACGAACGTGCGAGAGAGATCCTGGACAGGGGACTTTGGGTGGAACCTCCGAGGGCCTTCTGGAGAGGAAAATCGCACAAGAGGTCGAAAGTTCACCGTCGTTGTGTTCGTCAGGTATTTACACGTTCGTATGTCACTGCCAGTACTCTCCATCGATGGGGATATCAGGTTTCTCCACTGTGCCCTTTCTGCCGCAGCGAACAGAGTGGGTGCGTGGACACGATCTGGCACACAGGCTATTTGAATGCCCAGGCTTGCAGGAGAAAAGGACTGAGTTTTTGCCTGAGGAGCTGGTCAAGCGAGGTCTGGAGGCTGGTGCTGAGGACCCCCTGTACAGCTACCTGTGGCACCCGAATCCTGCTGGCATCTCTCCGTGTGCTTGGGATGGGGAGGTGAAGTATGTGGGCTCTGACTACCAACCGTGCGACAGATTTTGTTTTTCTGGGAATGAGTATATCTATTCGGATGGCTCCTGCGTG